ACTATGTCTGCAACCCAGCAGGAACAAGCTCGGACCCAGAGGCTGTTCCGAGCAACGAATGAGCTGAGCGTCCCAGACACACCACCTTGTTCCAGCCTCCCCAGCTTCCAACTCGGAAACTTGTTCACTCCCCAAGACAGCATCTCCTCGCTACACCAGGCGACAGGGGCCCAACCCGGTCAAACCACTCACTACGCCAGTAGTGGAGTCCTGACAGCACAACCTGTGATACCACCTACTACTGCTGCACCGCCGGGTCGGCCACCTACACCCCCTGGTTTGCCTCAAGGACCTGTCGGACCTCCGCAGGGCGGCGGACCTCCTCAGGGACCTGGCAGACCTCCGCAAGTCGGCGGACCTCTTCAAGGACCTGGCAGACCTCCGCAGGGTGGCAGACCACCTCAAGGCGGTGGACCTCCCCATGGCGGCGGAATCCCTCCAGGTGGCGGACCCCCTCAAGGACCTGGCGGACCACCACCTGTGGCTCCTCTCAGCGTACCAGGTGCCCCCGCCGGCCGAACCAAAGTCCGCGCCCCCAATGTTTTTGACGGAGATCGCGACAATCTATGCACCTTCCTCAATGAACTCTTCCTGTTCTTCGAGGCACGACCAGCCGACTACGCCACAGACCACAGCCGCATTGTCACCGCTCTAACGTTCATGGACGGACCGAAGGTGATCGCCTGGAAAGACGGATACATCGCTCAGGCCCGACGAAACGGCTGGAACACCTGGAATGCGTTTGAGACGGTCTTACAATAGACCTTCCAGCCCATCGAGGAAGCCGCTACGGCCGCCTCCAAGCTGTACCACCTCGACTACCGACCTGCCGCACCAGACACCTTTAACGCGGAATTCTTCCGCCTCTGCGCCCTCGCCGGTATACTCGAAGACAGTGCTCAGCGGTCCTTTTATAAGGAGCGTCTCCCAGAAAGCATGTGACGACGGGTTCGCCTCACGTACCCCATCCCCACCACCATTAATGAGTGGGCAGCACGGGTGTTAAAGATCGAACACTCCAACTACGAGGAACGACACCTGCGCCAACTCGAGGGACGCTCTTGCAACGACCGACAGGGCCAAGGCACAAAGGGACAGTCCGCTCGTACCAACTCCATACGATGAGTCGACGCTCCAGCCATGAAGAAGGACAGAGAGAAGAAGCAATGCTTCTACTGCCACAAGACTGGTCACATTGCACCTGATTGCCTTAAGAAGAAGGCGGACAACTGTGCCAAGGGACGACAGCCTGGACAAAAGAGGCGGAAGGTGCGCAAGGTCAATGAACTAGAGGATGGCGAGGTCGCTGACGGCGAAGACAATGGCGAAGACACACCTGACAAAACAATCAGTCAGGTCAACGTAGACAATTCGGATGAGGGTTCTTGAACGGGCAGTCTTTGCCGACAGAAGAACTGCCCTCTGACTGTATTAGTATCTCGTTTGTTGCCACTACAGAACGACGACGTCAATCTATTCTTATCCCGGGCAACATCGAGTACAAATCTACAAGTGTCGGAGCTCATGCGTTCATCAATTGCGGAGCAAGTGCTTCTCTCCTTAACCGGAATTTCGCCAAGAAGTACAAACTCCCTCTCATCATCCTACCCTCCCCCCTTCGTTTCACCAATGTCGATGGCACCGCCAACACGGCTGGACCAGTCACCCAGAAATTCGTCGGCCACTTTCGAATCAATAGCCACGAGTTCCCCACCAAACTCTACGTCGCGGACTGCGGCCGGGATGACATCATTCTCGGAATGCCATGACTAATCCAGTATAACCCCCATATTGACTGGGTACAGGGCAAGGTCCGGTTTGACGCCAAATACCTGCGGGCGGAACAGCGCCTTTGGGAATACCACCAGCACCCCTCAGGGACTCCCCGTCAACACCTTACCGCTTTCCTTCATGGAGACATCCATCCCGAATGGAACCCTTCTGCCACCATTTGACGACTCATCATCGGAGACACCGCCATCGCTCGCACCACCGTATCAACCCAACTGGCCATCAACGCAGGGTCGAAGGCAGCTGATGTCAAGGCTCCCGTGGCCATCCCAGACTACCTCAAAACCTATCACCAGGTGTTCGAGAAGAAGGTGGCCGAAAGAATGCCCAAGCCCCGGGCCTGGGATCACCCCATCGACCTGCGACCCGACTTCAAACCCCGGGACTGCAAGTTGTACCCCCTGTCCCCGCTCAAGATGCAGGAACTTCGGAAGTTCATCGACAAGAACCTAGCCAAGGGGTACATCCGCCCATCCACCTCACCAATGGCATCCCCGTTCTTCTTCGTGGACAAGAAGGACGGTTCCATGCAACCTGTTCAAGACTACCGGTACCTCAATTCCAGCACAATCAAGAACGTCTACCCCCTCCTCCTGATCAACGACCTCATCGACAAGTTGCAGGGGGCCAAGTACTTCACGAAGTTGGATGTCCGTGCTGGGTACAACAATGTCCGCATCAAAGACGGTGATCAGTGGAAGGCTGCCTTCAAGACCCCCCTTGGGCTCTACGAGCCAACTGTAATGTTCTTTGGGTTATGCAACGCCCCGGCAACATTCCAAGCGATGATGAACAACGGCTTCAAGGACATGATTGCTGAGGGATGGATCATCATCTACATGCACGACATTCTGATATTCTCCAAGACGGAGGATGTCCACCATCGTCGAACGCAACGGGTCGTTCAGCGTCTCATCGAAATGGACCTGTTCCTCAAGCGCGAGAAGTGCATGTTCGACGCTAGTGAAGTTGAGTTCCTGGGCACCATCATTCGTGAAGGATCGCTTGGCATGGAGCCGGTCAAGCTCGACGGCATCCGCACCTAGCCTGTACCCACCACCGTCAAACAAGTCCAGAGCTTCCTCGGATTCTGCAACTTCTACCGACGCTTCATCCGTGACTACAGCAAGATCGCTCGACCACTCACACAACTCACCCGCAAAGACCTACCCTTTCAATGGACGCCCGAATGTCAGGTTGCATTTGACACGCTTCGCAACCTGTTCCAGCAGAAGCCCATCCTTTGCATGGCCGACCCGTCCGGGGCCTTCCAGATCGAATGCGACGCCTCCATGTTCGCCACTGGGGCCGTCCTCCGCCAATGGAACAGCAACCAAGACTGGATGCCAGTAGTGTACCTATCCCACGCCCTCTCGCCTGCGGAACGCAACTATCAGATCTACGACAAGGAGCTCCTAGCAGTTGTTCGCGCGTTCGAGACCTGGCAACACTATCTCGAAGGATCCCCCCACGTTATCTAGGTCATTTCCGACCACAAGAACCTCACCTACTGGCGGTCCGCGCAGAAGCTGACCTGACGCCAGGCCCGATGGAGTGCATTCCTCAGCCAGTTTCACTTCGAAATCCACCACCACGCCGGGAAGACCTTGACCCAAGCCGACGCCCTGTCCCGCCGCCCCGACCATGCGGATGGGAAGCATGACAACGAGGACGTTGTCATCTTAGATGACGGGGTATTTATTCGAGCTGTCACTGATGATCTACTGCTACGAATCAAGGACACCACCCGGAAAGACACCAAGGTGGTACAGACTAGCTGTCATGGACGTCTAACCCTTGTCAGGCCACCTCCGTACGGCAAACCTGAAGACTGGAAGCTGGACGATGGAGTTGCCAAGTACCAGGGCAAGATCTACATACCTCCAAATGAAAACCTACGACGCGACATTGTCCAGATACATCACGACCCGGCAGTAATGGGCCACCCCGGACAGGACCAGAACACTGGACTCGTCTCACGCCAGTATAGTTGGGGCGGGATGGAAAACTTCATCCGCAAATTTGTGCAGGGATGCGCCATCTGTCAAGGATCCAAGGTTAACACCCACCCCGTGAAAGCTCCTGCCATGCCTATTCCCCACGCAGGGAACACGCGGCTGTTTTCAGTCATCACCATGGATCACATCACGGGCCTTCCAACGTCCAACGGATTCAATGCCATTCAAGTGGTAGTAGATCACGACACCACCAAGGGTGCAGTCATCACCCCCTGCACTATCAATGTCACCGCCTTGGAAGCAGCCGAACTACTGTTCCGAGATGTCTACAAACGGTTTGGAGCCCCTCAGAGGATCATATCCGACCGAGGACCCCAGTTCGCGTCCGGGGTCTTCCAAGAACTGCAACGACTTGTAGGAGTCAAGACTCCCCAATCCACGGCGTATCACCCTCAGACGGACAGACAGACAGAACGGGTCAACCAGGAGATCGACTTGGCTCTGCGCATCTACTGCCTCAACGACCCGGACAGCTGGTCAGACAAACTCCCCGCCTTTGAGTTCTGCCACAACCAACGCAAGCACTCTGTTACGGGCAAGTCTCCGTTCGAACTCATCATGGGCTACAACCCCGATGTATTCCCCAACTCCCTCTCTCCATCCACGCATCCAAGTGCAGAAGAACGAATCCAGCAACTCCTCGAAGACAGAGCCAACGCGGAAGCCGCGCACAATTGAGCAGCGGAGATCATGGCCCGAAGGGCTGGAACCAAGCCGGTCACGTTCAAGAAAGGCGACAGGGTCCTCCTCGAATCAACCAATCTCAGACTCCCCTATCCCCACCGAAACTTAGCCCCGAAAAGGGAAGGACCCTTTGAGATCGACGAGATCACTGGTCCAGTCACAGTTCGGCTAAAACTCCCTAAGGCCTGGAAGATCCATGACGTCTTCCATGTGAATCTACTCAAGCCTTATCGAGTCACCAAGGAACACGGTCCAGACTACCCCAGACCGCCTCCGGAAACCGTAGAGGGCGAAGAAGAGTGGGAAGTCGAGGCCATCTTAGCCCATCAGAAATGTGGGAAAGGCTATCAATACTTCGTCTCTTGGAAGGGCTGGCCTAGCAGCGAAAACTCGTGGGTTTCCGGGAAGGAGATGACTAATGCGCCGAAGCTCCTCACCAAGTACAAGAAGCAACAGCAACTCTAGGGAACGACCCCAACCCACTCCGCTCTCCCACCAATCCACACCATGCCCCAACTCGCCTCCACCTACCGCGCTGCCCCCGAAGACGTCCCCACCCCCCAGTGGTTCCTCGACCACGACTTCCACCTCTCCTTCCTCCGCCTGCCCGGCAACGAAATCGCTGGATACGGTTAGACCTCCCAATGCCAATACGTTGGGTGGCTCCTTCTCCAACCCAACCCGGAGTTGTGCAACGTCCTGGAATGGTGATTCCGGGACGTCCCGCCCGCCTTTCATGCCCGGGCCATCTATGGCGAGTCGGTCGTCACCCTCACCCATCTCCGGACCCTCGACTGGGACGTAGGCAAGCTCACCGACCTGTCTGGCCAACGACGGGCCTACGACACCGTCTCGCAGCTGCGGGCCACGACGATTGCCAGACCACGCCTTAAATATTGTTTGCGCCCCCCATCATCTTTTCCTCATCGCTGACCTCGTCAATCACATAGAGCAGGTTGACCACGAACACGAGCGGACCTGGCTGGAGCATGTCATCGCCAACAACGACAGCCACGCCGCCTCACCTATCCCCCCCACCCTGCCTCTGCCCGCCCCGGAATGGGGAAATCCGGCCGACATCTCCGGATGGGGCGACACCAATGTCGACTGGAGCAACACTGACTGGGGGAACGTCCCCATGAACGAGGCCGACATGGAGTGGTCCCCCCCTATACAACCTCCGCGCTGCTCCCCTCCACCCCGCAACTCCCCCTCCCCAACACCGCAGCACCTCCGCCCGATGCCCGCTCGCCTACGCTCCGGCGCACCCCCTCCAACCCGTACGCGCCCTTCTCCCCGCTCTCCCAGCCCCACCCCCTACTCTCCAAGCCCCGTCGATGAGAACGAACCCCCCTTTGCCATGGTTGTCGACCCTGCGTCACCCCTGGAGTGGCCGACCTCGGCCGTCTGAACGGTCCTTGGCACCATCAGCGGAGGCGACCTCACCGACACCACCGACCCCGACACCCTGTCTGTGCCCCCTGACCCTCCAACCCCGCCACTTCGCCAACGCACCCCTTGCACCCCCCCGTACCCCACCCCCGCCCCGGGCCCCACCACAGTCCACTATTGGACGCCCCTCCTGGGCCACCCAGCATACGGGGGGCCCTCCTCTACGACGAGCGACTCCCGGACGGCTGGCAAATCGGGCCAGAAGAACCCCGTCACGTTAGCGGACACCCTTGGGAGTGGCGAGTCTCGGGACACCTCAACGGGACGGCTCTCCTTGAGGTCCAACTCTGGAGCTACGCCTGGGACGAGCGGTGGGAGCAAATCCCTGGTATCGACAACGCCTACCTCATCGGTGTCTTGAGCGACAACCTTCACCCCAGTGGACGGTTCACGGAGACTCAGTACCTGGGGTTCCTGCGGGCGATGATCCAGGCACGCAACCCCGCCGCCCGCGTAACCGACCACAAGGTATGGAGAGAAGCAGCCGACAACCTCGTTGACGCATACGACGTCCGCAACATCCCCGTCTCGGTCCGTCAGTACTGGAACAGACACGCCGTGCGCCTCTACAACAACACGTCGGGGAATGACCTCCACCGCAGTGTGTGGGGGAACTTCTACGACGACGAGATCCTCGACGTCTCCGGCTACGGCGACTCCCCTCCACCCACCCCTGCCACACCCGCCGCACCCGTCGAGGAGGTCCTCCGTTCACGCAGCCCCTCCCCCGTATCTCCGCCCACTGTTGTCCATGACATCCCTGCTGATGCCATCCCCGCCCCTTTCTGTCTCATGCGCCCCACCCCAGCTAATCCTTCGTCCCGTTCCCCATAGCCCCCCGCCGCCTCCTCACCCATCGCACTGTCATCGTCCTGCGCCATTACCTTCATCGCCAGGGGCTACTTCAACCCCATTGATCCCGGCTTGAACATTGACCTCTGGTACCCGCCAGCGCCCTCATCACCGCTCACGGAGCCGGACTTGGATTTGAACGATCGGGACGATCGTGCTTAGAAACGGGGGTAATGTTACCGTTGGTACGCCCCACCCCCTATCTTTTTCTATTGGACTACTCCTTCTCGTCGTCCTCGTGTACACTCCACCCCCCTTCCTGTTCCCGGCGACCTATGTTTACCCTCCCGTTCCCCTGTCGTCCGCCTGTACACTACCACCCCCCATTCCGCCCCCTGACGACTGTGTTCCTAGTCCCGGCCCTCTCCCTTAATATTTCCCCTTCCGTCTATATGACCGGACCCTGAGTCCGACCCTGACCCTTTCCCTTTTCGGTTACGTTACTTTACCCTGACCCAGACCCCGACCCTTGTCGCGCCCCTTTCCCTTTTTGGTTACATTACCCGACCCTGACCTAGACTCAGGACCCTGTCCCGCCTCTATCCCCTTTCGGTTATATCACAGGACCCTGATCTAGGTCGTGTACCATACCGGGCCCAGCCTTGACCAGACATGTTCCTTTACAGTCTCCTCATACCTCCCCACTTTGGTCGGTTACCTTTCTCTTCCTAATACCGTCGGTACCCCATAGTATATAAGGAGGCCTGTAGTCGGTAGAGGCTACCCACTTCTGTTCTCCTCTTCGTTACCTCCTGTATCCCTATATCCCTCAATCTAGGGACTTGTGCGATACTCTCTCCCCCGTGTGCTACACCACGTACTTGGATAAGTCCGCGTGATAAGTCTGGATAGACTTGTGTTAGTACTTCAGTGTAACATTAGGGAGCCATTGTGGACAGTACAGGAGGTATCGCAAGCATGTAACGACAGCGCGGCGCTGCATCGCGCACCAAGGGCGCCCTCCGACATTCTCGGACTGCCCAGACGGGGCGTCGGTATGTGACACATGTCACCGATGGGGGAGTCACGGGGGTGATTCCACCAGACGTTCAGGAGCCCGGATGCTTCCGGTTTTTTCGCATCCGCTTCACACTCCGAACGTCTGGTCACGAGACTACTGATGATGGTCTTACCCCTGGTTGGCGCTAGTTATTCCGAAGACATCGTGGAAACTAGCGATCTAGATCTGGATCTCCGCCAGGTGATTTGGGCGAACACCCTTGGACTTGTCCGAACGCACGCTGGCCATGGTGGAGGATGAAATTCACGCAACATAAGTCGTCGCCATTCTCTACGCTGCTCTCTCGGAGGGCCGCCTTCAAAAGCCACCTCGCGCGTTCTGGGACCTTCTTGCGAACCTCAACCCTCAGGCTACTCTCTCATGATGCTCGCAACAACTATGACAACTCCACCGGATCGCATGTACCACTTTACAGTGAGCTTCGCACTTCGCTGTACGCGTTCCTCACTTTTGACCGTGTCGAACAGAACGGCTTGTTGAGGCATGGCAAAACACCCCTACGAAATGGTACCCACTCCCCATAGCTGCTGGCGCACTCCTTCTCGTCGTTTTGCAGTATCGCAAGAAGTCGACAGCACGGGAGGTCGTAGTAGACGATGACGGCAACGAGGTTATTCGATTGAAAGGTCCCTGGCATGTACGTGCTCTACCCTTTTGCTCTACATCACCCCCCGCTGGCCGTCGAATCCACGTCCTTTGCCCTTCGACATGTCTGCATTGCAGCTCATTCAATTGTCAGGTTCACGTCATTGGGGCGCTGCCTTTGAGGAACATGTCTCGCGTGTGGGGCTACCTCAACTCCCTCGAGCTCCCCGTATGGTTTCGTCCCATCGGCTTCCGTATATACGCTAGCGTATTCGGATGCAACCTGGAAGAGATCGACCCTCAAGACCTCACACAGTACGCCAGTCTCGGAGAGTTTTTCTACAGAAAGCTCAAGGATGGCGCACGGCCGGTCGCCGACGCGGTCCTGGTATGATTCGTATATCCTCTTTGCACCGTGCTGCGTCCTCACCGTGCGCGACGTGCAGGTCAGCCCAGCCGATGGTCGCGTGCTCCATTTTGGAGTGATCAAAGACGGTCGGATTGAGCAAGTCAAGGGGAGCACCTACTCCCTCGACGCCCTTCTCGGCTTGGCACGTCCAGGGACCCCAGCTGTGACGGCGGTCGAGTTCCCTGACCAGAAGATGGACGAGGTGAACCACCGCCACTTCGCTGACATTAATGGCATCGAGTATAGTCTGCACGAGCTTCTCGGCACGCCTACCCCGTCATCATCCGGCACGTCAACCCCCACCGCCGAAGCGCCTCATACTCACACGGACGGCGCCGCGCAAACAGGCACAGCGGCCAAGAAGCACGGGGAGCGCGTAGATGCGTCCGTACCACGCGACCAGACGCTCCCGGAGACTGTCGCGCAAGATGTGAGCATGGCCTCGGAGGTTGGCCTGCGTCCCACCGCAGCGCGTAGGGACAGCTTCACCAGCGTGCGGACGAAGCCAGGGAACGACACGTTCTTCATCGTCATCTACCTCGCCCCTGGCGATTATCACCGTTTCCACAGCCCTGCTGCGTGGGTGGTAGAACGCAGGCGACACTTTGTCGGTACGTAATATTGTCATCTGAAGGATCGTGTCGTGTTGACCTGTCCTTCAGGCGACCTCTTCTCGGTATCGCCCTGGATGGCGAAAAGGCTGGAGAACCTGTTCGTGCTGAACGAGCGGGTCGCCCTCCTTGGCCGGTGGAAGTACGGATTCTTCAGCATGGTCCCTGTCGGCGCGACGAACGTCGGTAGCATCAAGATCAATTTTGACCAGGTGCATCGCGCATGTCTCACTTTTACCATGAACCACCTATTGATGTCATCCCAGGCATTGCGCACCAACGTGGGCTCGCGTAGAGAGCATCCAGTAGGGACCTTCACGGAAGCCGTCTACTCGGCCGCGTCCCCGATCCTCAACGGCCAGCCGCTCGTCAAAGGCGAGGAGATGGGCGGCTTCTGCCTTGGAAGCACCATCGTCCTCGTCTTCGAGGCGCCGCACAACTTCGACTTCTTCGTCAGCGCGGGCCAAAAGGTCAAGGTGGGCCAAAGGTTGGGAGACACCACTTCTTCGGAAGAAAGCGCTCCCCAATGAGAGCGCACTTACGGATACTACGACGGACGATGTCATGTCACGCTACTATTTAGACCAGATGGACCTAACGCTACGCGGCCCAGATCGATTCAACTCGAGGTGTACATTAATAGTAAACTAATGAGTCATTACATGAGCCTCAGGACAGCGATAGCTTCCACATGAGCCGTCTGAGGGAACAGATCCAACCCGCGCAAGCTCTCCAGCACATACTTCTTGCCACCCTCCGCCTGTGCCTTGTCGTCGCTCCTCTTCAGCATCCGACCGACGTCGCGCGCCTGGGTATGCACATTGCAGCTAACGTAGACAACTGTGCTCGCGCCGAAGGCGACCATTTGCTCGATGAAGCGGTCGTCGGTCCCCTTCCTCGGAGGGTCGATGATGAGCACCGTCCGGTCCCGAGGGAACTCCTGGACGGTCTCGAAGATGTTGGCGGCGTCCCCGGCCATGAACGAGACTTTCTCCGTCGAGAGCGCGTTCAGCTCCGCGTTGCGCTGTGCGGCGCGGATCGACTCCGCCGAGAGCTCGATACCGGCGACCTTGTCGAAATGGGGCGCGAGCATGATAGAGAAGAGTCCGCTCCCGCAATACGCATCGACCAGGTGGGTAGGCTTCGCAGCGCCTTCTGAGGCGTCGGTAGCGGGAAACGCAGCGTCGCGTACATACGACGTAAGCGGGACCAGGGCGGAGTTGTTGTTCTGGAAGAAGGTGCCAGCGGTGTACTCGAAGAACATGTCGCCTACCCGTTCTCGCACGGAGCCCTTCTGGTCCGTGACACATATATGGCCATCCTCTGTCGTTGTGGAGCCGGATGCGACTGGCTCGTCGTCCCTAGAAGACTCGATTGCTAGAGAATCGCGTAGAAGCAGCGTCGCGCCATTCTTGAACTTAGCGATGTTTCTGATCGAGGTGTTAGATCGTGCTCGTCAAAGACGCGGAGGGGCGTACTTGATGACGTTGTCTCTAACTGGGCCAAGGGCCTTGTTTATGACAGGCGTAGCGATAGGACATCCCTACCGCTTAGATCAGACAAGGCCGTCAGAGCATAGAACGATAGATCAACCTCGATATCCATGACATGTCTGGTGCCAACCTCGTGGAAACCGATTTTGAGCCAATCAGGCTTGCCTTCTACCACTGGAGCTTCCCCACGCTTCTGCGACTTTTGGAAAGAGAAGGGGGGACGTTGAAAATGAGGGGTCAATTTGGTCCTGTAACCATATTGCAACGGCGACCCAATGGTGGGCTGGATTGGAGGGACGAGTTCTGGAGGTATACCTGAGTGCTACGTGTTAGATTATGACGCAAAGCGTATTGCCGAGGCTCAACTCGCTGGAATAGTTCTTGTATGCTTCGACTACGGTATCACGCTTTAGATCGAGCTGCTTCTCGTAGGAGAGCATCTGAGTAAGACGGCCGAGATGAGACCAAGTTCACCCAATAACCCATCTGGAACTGACCTGATACTGGCAGCCGGCGCATTTGCCGAAGTACCGACACTGCACTCGGGACATGTCCCTCCACTCTGAGTTGGACTGGACGACCTCGACGAGATCGGCATGAGAATGCAGACGGGAATGTCGGTAGACGCGTGCGCGGATGCGCTCGCCGGGGAGGGAGAGGGGAGTGACGATGACCCATTTTTTGCCATTGGACTCTGCGACGGAGAGGGATTCGCCTGGGCAGGGACAGGAAGGATCATGAGACGTGGTCCTAGGCAGCCAAGCTTTACCGGTCCATGTCAAGAAGCGCGAAGGGAAAACGATTGGTTGTGTATGAACAGGAGCCAAGGCAGATAGATGGCAGAGTATGCGCATGAAGCGGTCCGGAGAAACGCGCGGGACTGACCTGTGGAAGGAGAGATGCGGGATACGGTCAGGTCGAGGTGTGTGAATTGCTCAAATGGAGCGTCCCAGTCCATTTTCTGAGCCGTAAGAGACTGGACATAGTCTTGGCCGAGAAGAGCGATGACCTCTCTCGTAAGGATGTCGTCGGAAGAGAAGGGGTCTGGAAGGCGCCGAGCATTCTTCTTGTTCTTCTTCTGTTTGGGGGTCTTCTTGCTCGTGCTTGGAGAGGCTTGGCAGGTTTCCGCGGCGTCTTGGACAGAGACGGCATCTGATACGGGAGGGTCGTCAAGCCGCGGTCTCTTTTCGGGCGGCTGTGTGGAGGGGGTGGATGAGCGGGAGCGAGGATGAGCGGTGGCCATGATGTGCGTCGAGCGGAGACGAGAAACAAGGAAGCTCGCTGGTGGTGGGTGCACAGAGAGACAGTGAGCAAGTGGGACTGAAGAGAGATCTCGAGAACAAGCTTGACGGAGGAGTGTGTGGAGGCTGAGGCTGAGACCTGCGTTGGCTGAAAATGGTGGCCGCCGCATGAATTCATGGCGTTCCTACCACAGGCGCACGTGTCTCTTCAGCATGACGCGAGGCACGTGACGACAGACGTGACGCGCTTCGGCTTCGCGGTGCGGAGACACTCGCACCCCGTTCGTTAACTACTCTCCTCCTCCTCCTCCTTTTCCCCGCTCTCTTGACTTTTCCCTTCCACACGGCATGCTATTGCATCTCCTGCTGTCTTTCCTTCCCTCCTCCCATCCCTCTCCATCCCTCCCTCTCAACCTCCCAGATGGCTCTGATGAACCCGGCGAGGAATTCGGCTCTCCTGAGTTTTGGTACAAAGTCGTCCTCAGCATCGGACTTGTACTCCTAGGCGGCGTCTTTGCCGGGTGTGTCCCTCTCACCCGTGCCCTCCTTTCCCGTGGTATTCATATGTTCTGCAGTCTAACTCTCGGCCTAATGGGCCTCGACGAACTTCATCTCCGCGTTCTCTCCACTTCCTCCGACGATCCAAAGGAACGCAAGAATGCACAAAAGGGTCTGAATCCCAGTGTTACTGCCCTTACCTGCCGCTCTGACTCTCGTACAGTTCTTAGCTTACTTCGCAAAGGCCGCCACTGGGTCCTTGTCGTACGTCCACCCTCTCTCCTCTAGCTCTCTTCCTGTTTCATCACGTCGCATTCAGGTCTTGCTGCTTGGAAACGTCGTACGTTCTGTACCTCACGACATGGGGTTGTTCCTCAGCCATTACCCATAGATTGTCAATGAGAGCTTGCCTATCTTCTTGGATAGCGCAGTGAGTTTCCACTGCCAAGTGTCTCGCTCTATTTCCGACCTTCCCGCCTTCAGCTCGGTGGTGGCATTGCCGCAGTAGTTATCTCAACTACCATGATTGGTACGTACTCCACTCACCATCCATCCTATGCCGGGTTGACGGTCTCTTCTTGCTTCCATAGTCATCTTCGGGTATGTCAGCATGAAAGGCATACTGCACGACTTCATGCTAACGCTGTCCCCCCCTCTCCTCTAGAGAGTAAGAATTCCTCGGCACAGTGCTTTCACTTTCTGTCCTCTGACGACCAAAACACCAGAATCATCCCACAGGCTGTCAGTGTCCGTTATGGCCTTTCGGTAGGCGCGTCGTGTACGCCCATCGTCCTCACTATGATGTATCTCTTCGGTCAGCCCCTTTCATCTTCAAGCGCCTACCAATGACGTTAACATATCCCTCCCAAGCACCTATCGCCTGGCCTATTGCCAAGCTGCTCGACTACGTTCTCGGAACCCACGAGACCCATACATATAAGAAAGCGGAACTTCGCTCTTTCCTTGCCTTCCACCGGCAAGGCGAGGAACCGCTCCGCGACGACGAGATCAGCATACTAAACGGCGTTCTCGAACTGAATAACAAGAAGGTCGAGCAGATTATGACCCCCATGGAGGTCAGTCGGTCATCACTCCACTCACACAGCTGGGGTGGCTGAAACCTAGCTTTTTTCAGGATGTTGTCACAATTAGTGCCGACCGTGTTCTGGATCACGCTACCGTCGATTGGCTGTGCGCTTCGCCTCTTCCGTTCCCATCTCGAGCCTGACGCCGACACACTTCTAGCTTGCGGAGTGGTTACTCTCGCATTCCCGTCCACAAACCCGGACATCCCCTCACCTTTATTGGCATTCTCCTCGTTAAAATGGTGAACTTCGGTTCCCTGCTGACTGTAGCCTCCGTCCTGACTGAACTGCCAGTTGTCCGTCTACGATCCTTCCAGCTCCATCCCTGTTTCAGAACTTCCGCTCTCGCTTTTACCGGAAGCCCCGCCAACCATCAACTGCTTCCAGGCCTTGGACTACTTGTACGCAGGTAGTCGATCACGACTGTAATGGCTCGTGCTGACTCTTCGTTCAGCCAAACCGGGCGTGCCCACCTGCTCCTGCTCAGCCGTACACCCGGCATCGAGGGTGGGGCTATCGGCGTGATCACCCTCGAAGACATCATCGAGGAGATCATTTCCGAAGAGATCGTCGACGAGACCGACCGCTACGAAGACAACGTCTCGAAGCGTCGCGCCTCGCGCATGAAAAACGCTGCCGTCATGAAAGGGTGCGTCTCGTTCGCTGCCCGTCGTGCTGACCGCCGCCGCCTCTGACCTCGGTCTCCCAGTATCGTCGAATACCGCGTCGGCCGCGCGAACTCCCTCCCGGAAGTCGGCGATCGCACGCCGTTGCTGGGCAGCCGAAACCAAAGTCCGATGCCTCTTTACCGAGGAGGGGCCGAGTCCGATGGCGCGCTTTTGAGCGTGTCGCCCCAGCCTGCTTCCCAGCGCCGCATATCGAACTTGAACCCTCAGTACGGGAGCGTGATTGTCGGGAGTCCCAACGGGAATAAGTAGAGCATCCACACAACAGCCTAGATTGTTCAACTGTATCATCGCATAATCGTATCGCTATCGCTGTTGACGTCAAGTATTTCGTTCGCTGCAAGGCTCAAGCATCTGTATTGACCTTGTGGTGTACAAAGTGCAGTGATGTACAGTCTGATTAGGGCAGCATCTGATCCAGTCGTGAAGCTTGCACGTCGAGTCCCCAACGTCGCACTCATACGCTGTCAGCAATGAGCCTCTGCGGTGCCTCGACCCAGCTCCTCCAAGTCTCCATGAACGCAACGAGCTCCGCGCCCTCCACGACACGATGATCCGCCGACCAGCTGACGCCGACCCTCAACCTCCTCTCGCCCTTCCCATCGCCCCTCTCCACATCCCACACCCACCTCGCCCTCCCGATCGCGACGATCGCAACGCCCCCGCCAGGGACCAACACCGGCGCCGCGCTCTCGACCGCGCCGATCCCGCCCACGTTCGACACGCTCACCGTCCCGCCCCGCTTCGGCATCTCCCTCGGGGTGAGCGCGCACGGCACCTGCCTGCCCAGGTGCGAGATGTGCCTGAGCTGCGACGCGAGCGCGTACACGCTCTGCGCGTCGACCGCCTGGATCGTGGGCGTATACAGCCCGGTCGGCGTCGAGAGCGCGATGCTGATGTCCGCGTGCGGGCGGAGGGTCATCGTCGGCTTGCTCGTGCCGTCGGCGCTAGCCCCGGGGCTGGAGGCAATGGACGAGCGGAAGAGCGGCCATTCGTGCATCGCTTTGGCGAGGGTCTTGAGGAGGATGGGGAGGTAGGTGAGGCGGGTGTACTGGCCGGACGAGGGGACCTCTGGGGGGACTGGAGGGGCGTAGAAGGACGCGGGGGAGATGACTTGGGACTCGGGGTTGGGCCGGGAGGATGGCGGGAGGTAATGCTTGGGGATGTGAGCGTTCAGAGTGGGAATGATGTTGTGCAGTTCCGTGATGTCGAGGCTCGTGGAGCAGCTGTCAAGGTCATATCAGCGGGTGGGCATCGAAGGGCTGTTGCGCAGCAGACTAAAGCCTACCTGAATTGCGGGATAGCAAGACTCTACAACGATTGTTAAGCATTCAATACACAGACGTGAACTGACAAACACACCTTCTCCATGGCTTTCCACATGTTGAACCTAGTGCGGTTCAGCTCAATGGTGACGTCCTGACCAGCCGGGTGTATGGCGGGATACGGGGCATGGTGTTGCTGCGTCCCTTGCATCACCCCTACTTTCAAGAACGTGTCGATGTCGCGTTTCTCGATACGACCACCCTTGCCGCTACCAGGGGCCAATCTGCCAAGGTCAACATTGTGCTCGCGCGCGTACTGACGAACGGAGGGTGTCGCGAGTACGTCGTGAGCAGAGGCATGAGACGCGCGGGCCTCCTCCGGAGCGTTCGGGTCCAGAGGGTGTGGCCGACGGGGAGGAGCCTGTTCATGCTGTATTGTCAGCGGAACATCAGCGGACAGTGTAGGTCGCGCTATCTCTGGAGGACCTCTAGGTGCGTCATAGGAAGACTCCGAGTGAGAGGCATCAGAGTCGGGCTCGCCAGCGGTGGGGGAGTCGTCAGCGACTTCGATGGTACATAGGTCTTGGCCGACCTTGGCCACGGCCCCCTCCTCAACAAAGAACTCTTTTACAATGCCATCATAGGGACTGGTAATCTCGACGCTAGCCTTGTCGCTCTGGACTTCACACAGAGGCTCGAAGGTATGTACAGGCGTGGATGGCTTTATGTTCCTGGCAGCCGGACAGGTGAGCAACGTGAATGCGAAGCTCGTCTTGCAGTACAGTAGGACGTACCACTTGATGACTTCTACCTCCGTTATACCCTCGCCGATGTCTGCAAGCTTGAAGCGTTTAAGGGCGTATGACGCGCGTGAAGTGTGGAAGAGAGCGCGAGGTAATGAGCGGCGGGTTGCGAGCGCGACAGGGTGTCTGAAGAGCATCGGACTCGGACTGGAAGGTGGTCGGGCGTGCAGAATGGTTTCAAAACAGAGCTGGGATTTTATAAGACGTCGGACGAGGAGGAGCCAAGATCCGGGGGAGGCATCCTGAGCAGAGTGCTCACATGTCCCTGCATCCCAATGGGCGCCTGCGTGGACGCGTTGGGATTCTGTCCCAATTTGGCAATCGACACGCGACGCCGAACTTGCAGAGATCGTTTTGAGCTGGATCAGCCTCTCTGCCGCCCTCCCCGCCGTCCTCCCCGCCGTCACCACCGTCCGACGCTTGTCGTTCGACGCTCGCCACGCCCACAGCTCACCTCCAGCCTCCTTCGGCGCGTATATATACCGTCTGTGGCACTCGACATCGCCTCCCCCGCTCCTCGGCGACTATCTGACGCGTCCCGCAATCGCTTGGCTTCCCTCTTTCCTCCAATCTCTACGAGCTGTGTCCGGTCCGACGTCTAGATTCTCCGGTGGAATAGACACTCTCAGTGAACAATGGCAGGCCTCGAGTCGCCTCTAGCCCCCATAACCAATGGCATCGGCCGCACCAATGGCACTCTCAACGGCAATGGCAATGGCGATCTTCACGACGGCATCTCCGAGCCCGCCATTGCCTTTGATCCCTCAGTCTTTCGTTCATATCTTCTCTCCCTCCTTCCTCCACTTCTTGCTGCATCTCCAGAGGAGCTGGAATCCATCTTCGACGAAGACTTTCACGACCGTGTCTCACGCTTTGCAGGAGAGGGCTCCGGCGTCATCTATGTCGTGAAGAAGAAGGAAGAACACGAAAGTGAGCCAACCCCGCCTGTCCGCCGTCGTGCTTACTTATTGACGGACTTTAGGCGAGGACGCCCCACCCACATACTCTTACAAGCTCACCCAGACACTCACTTACGACCCTTCTCATGTCACCACTCTTGCAATTATCAAGCGAGGGCCTCTCCTTGATCCTACATCCCCATTGGCAACACAACTTCAGGTCATGAACCTCTTTGGCAGTGATGAGACTCCCTATGAGAGTCTACATGCCCTCATCAGCAGTGCCATGAAGCCCTATTTCGAAGCATTCGCCGCTGCCCGTGGTGGCGGCAAGGACGGTGACGGCAAAATGGGTCAGTCTCAATCAGTAGCATCCTATCCTTTGCCGGCCTCTCATTGGCATTGGCGTTTGAAGGTATCCCCGTCACCAAGAAGAAATTCGCCGAGCTCGAGCTCTCCCTCCTACACCTCCAGCAGAACGTCGAAATCCCAGAAACGCACCTCGTCATCCATCCTCTCATCCAACGCATTGTAGAGCAAGCCCGCGCTAATGGTTCAAGGCCAAGTATTGCCGACATCCCCACCAGGCAGCTCAACGATAGTTCTTTCCTCAACACCCTCCAGAGTCACGTCAATCAATGGATCAAGTCCATCCAGACCGTCACCAAGCTCACCCGCGATGTCAGTTCCGGAACCGCGTCCCAAGAGATCAACTTTTGGCTTAGTTTGGAGCGCGCACTCGAGGGCATCGAGGCGCAACTACGGAGCGAGGAAGTCAACATGGTCATGGATTGTCTCCGAAATGCGAAGCGTTTCCACGCGACGGTCAGTTTTATCGCTGATACCGGTCTGAGGGATGCGACAGACACCGGTAAGTCACTCGGTGAGTGATCCTGTGGCCATGTCATCTGAAAGGCGACGTCTCCGTAGTGCACAAGTACAATCAGCTCATGAAGGACTTCCCGCTGAACGAGCTGTTATCCGCAACCGACCTCGATAAAATCCAGGAAGCAGTCGTCCTCATCTTTGGTCACATCAATCGCAAGCTCAGGCTGTCCCCCTACCCCATCCGCCGCGCTCTCCCCCTCGTCGAAGCGATCTCTAAAGATTTTAATGACCAGCTTCTCCGCGTCCTCACATCTCACCGTCTGCTCTACACGCCGTACGAGACATTCGAGCGTCTGCTCTCTCAGACCATGGCCATCTTCCGCACTTGGGACGACCACATGAAGGAGTTTACTAACGTCGCCCGTGAGGTCACCCGCAAGCGTCAGGAGAAATTCATTCCCATCAAGGTCATTCCCGCGCATGCGAAGCTCCAGGACCGCATCCGTTACCTCCGTGACTGGCGCAAGCAGCACGAGCAGCTTGCGGTCATGACGGCCCCTACCAAGGGCCTCAGCGGCGTGGGTACGGAGATGGGTAGCATGGACATGGAAGCCGAGGTCAAGGAGGCTTACGAGGTCATGAAGCGGATAGACGTCCTCGATGTTTCAACTGGTGAGCTACGCGGTCTTATTTCGTTGACTGCGTTTTCACGTCCAAACAGAGGGTAGCGAGATCTGGGTCGCAGCCGAGAACGCGTATAATGAGCGCGTTGCTCGCGTCGAGAACCAGATCATTGCTCGTCTGCGTGACAGGCTGGGGACAGCGCGTAACGCGAATGAGATGTTCCGCGTTTTCTCGAAGTTCAACGCGCTCTTCGTTCGCCCGAAGGTACGTGGTCTGTAAGACGTGATAGTGCGTCGCATGTCTGATACTTCCAATTGTATAGATCCGTGGCGCGATTCAGGAGTACCAGACACAGCTCATTGACTCCGTAAAGGAGGATATCAAGCGTCTGCACGACAAGGTTGGTTTCCCTGCGTCCCACGTTGCCGGACTGGCTCACACTCGGCCATTAGTTCAAAACGCAGTATCGGTTCTCCGAAGCGTACCACATGTCGCAAATGCGCGATCTCCCTCCTATCTCAGGGGCAATCACTTGGGCGCGTCAAATCGACCGCCAGCTGCAGACGTATATGAAGCGTGTAGAGGACGTTCTTGGAAAGGGATGGGAGCTGTACGCCGAGGGTCAGAAGCTTCAATCCGAGTCATCTGCCTTCCGCAAGAAGCTCGACGTCCGGCCTGTGTACGAAGCATGGCTGCACGACATCAACCGACGTGACATGGGCGTCGGCGGGCGACTGTTCGAGATCGTCCGCTTGCGCGGTGGTGGCTTCCAGCTCGCAGTGAACTTCGATCCGCAGATCATTACGCTCTTCAAGGAGGTTCGCAACCTCCTCTGGCAGAATTTCCAGGTGCCGCATGCAATCACGAACATGGCCAAGGACGCTAAACGGGTATATCCTCACGCCGTTAGCTTGATGGAGACTGTACGGACGTATGGACAAACGTTGGATCTGGTCGAGAAGAACAAGGGCATTGAGTGGCTTGTCGCGGAATACCGAAACGAGGCACAGCGCATGGTTGGGCGGGGTAAGTCGAGCTATATATCCAGTGCGGCCATAACAGGGGATACTCAGACGCCGAATCCAGGTATGAATATTCGATGGGACTACTTCGTCAACCAGTATGACACTGCAAGATATGTGTCTGGCGATGGTGCCCGCGACAACCGCCATATTCTGTTCGTCAGGGAGTTCGCCAGTGTCGTCTCTATCCTTCAGGTGACTTCCTCCGATTCCGGCACCTAACTTCGTCTCGCTTATGATGTATGCTTCCCCAGGACAAGACAAACAATGTCATCGACTTGTACAAGGATATTCAACGATCAATCGAGGAGCTGTCAACATGCCCGTACACGCCAGAAGCATTCCGCGAGCTTTTGAGCAAAATCCAAGCAGCGGTGAGTACCGTATTATCGATGCTGTCGTTACGCTGGCTCATCATCTGGGTTTAGATCGATCGACTGAATTTGGAGGGCTATGCCAACTTAGACCATTGGGTAGCTGAGCTCGACCACCGGATAGAGGGCATCCTCCTCCAGCGCGTAACACACGTCATCCAGCAGTGGTGCAGTGAGTTCGAGCGGGCGGATGATAACGACCGGAGAGAAGCTGCAACGATCAACAAGCGTCGAGATAAGCGTGCCAAGGATGACAAGGTTAGCAATCGTATACCTGTAGGCTGTACAAAATCCCACCTGACTGGTCGATTTTCTAGTCTGCAGAAGGACAACTGGTCTTAACTCCTATCGTCCACGAGATTCGTATTCAGAACCAGGTCATCTTCCTGGATCCGCCAATCGAACATGCTCGTGCGATTTGGATCCGGCAGCTGCACGAGTGGTTGGGTAAGTCCATACAAATTGGTGCAGCCAGTGTTTGCTCAATTACATTTCTCTTAGGGACCGTGTGTCGTCTACGACGGATACAGAGTTCGCGTTACGAGATCGGCCTACAAATGCAGGGACACACAGCCACCGATCTCACATACACCTCCCTTGTACGTGTTATGAACAGAAATTTCAAGGCAGTGACTGATTGTGTTACAGCTGACGAAGTTCCCTGATGCAACACTGGAGAAGCCATTCGCACTGATCGAACAGAAGGTTCAGTCGTTGCGTGAATACGTTGCCAAATGGCTCCAGTTCCAGTCCTTGTGGGACCTCGAGACGGAATACGTCTTCAACCGCCTTGGTGACTCGCTCGCAAATTGGCAACAGCTTCTCACCGAGATCAAGAAGGCGCGATCTACCTTCGACACCTCGGAGACGCAGAAGTCATTCGGCGTTTGCGTCATCGACTACGAACAGGTGCAGGCACGTGTCAACGCGAAGTACGACGCCTGGCAGCGCGACATCCTGAGCAGGTTCGGCGTCAAGCTCGGCAACGCGATGAAGGAGATGCACGCCGCGATCCTCAAGGCTCGCAACGACCTCGAGCATCAATCAATAGAAGGTCTTGTGGGACCTCCTCGCAGGTTCTAACCCTTTGGATAGCTGGTGCTCTTCGCTTCGGTTGGACCGGGTGTTCTCTCGGCGTTGTGTACAATGCTGTGCTGTCAATGTCTTTCCATGCATGTATCCACGGATTCGTAATGATTCTACTATACGCTTGTACCTATGTAGTCGTATACCCGCATTATTTCACGAGGCTATTCGCATTTCTGCAGTGGATCAAGTGATCTACATCAGGCAGGCCACGAGTGTTCGTTCGCACATTGGAGCCTTGTGCAGCGCTGCTCGCGACCACTCGAGACATGTCAAGGCTACGGACCTCCTTCTATACAACACAGCAAGTACATACCTACTCGAACGGGGTATCGTCCTGGATATCGATGTCTGTATACTACCCGTCTTATGTGGTCATCTCGGGAAAGTCATTTCGTTCGTAATCAGCTCCAAGAGATAGGCCAGCCACGCAACACTACGTCCCATCTGCAGGACATAATTCTAAACCTCTGAAGCACCGGATGCTGGATAACGCAGAAAGCTACTGCCGACGAGGAGCATTGGTCGCGGCGGAGCCACCCAACATCAGTACCCACAGACTAAAAGATCGTAGCGAGCGCCCCGTCATCGTCAGCACCCGCTCCGAATGCACGTCCTCCACCCATCGCCATGGGTCCGTTCTTGCGGAATGTGAACCCGACCCAGACCCCGCGCGAGACCGGGTCCTCCTTCTCCTTGACACGCTCGACGTGCCGCTGCTTCTCGATGACCTCCGCATATTTTTCCATGTCCTGCGGCGATGTGAAGTCGTCGTAGTATCCAGTATCATCTTCACCCGTCAGCTCAGGGACGTAAGGAGGATCCGAGCCCCGGAGGTCGTCCCATTTGATTCCGGCGTAGAACGGGTGCTCGCGCACCTGGCCAAGGGTCGCATGCCGCACACTGGCATGGGCGATCAGCCTGTCCGTAGCCACAGTAATTGAGCCCATTTCGAGACCAAGATTAGGGATGTGTCACTCACCGCGTGATAGCGTCCCAAGCGACGTCTGTCAAGTTAAAGACCTGGTCCTCCGGCGCGTCGTACTCTGGCCTCCGTAGCACGGTCGTCCACTTGTCCAAGTTCGTCCACGTCTCTTCTGGGGTGCGGCCGCTGAACGGCGGAAAGCCTGCAAGGAACTCGAACAGGATGCAGCCAAGAGACCAGTAGTCGACAGAGAACGAGTACGGCTTTCCGCGGAGCACTTCCGGGGCCATGTAATCGGGTGAGCCGACGATCGAGTCCGCATACCGAGGGATTTGTTGTCGCATCGAACGATAGATGGATCGTCTCTCAAGCGTTGACAAGTGGACCACCTCGTTGTCTTTCACTCGGTCTAACTGTCGCGAGTTCAGCGGAGTACTCCATGCATTGCGAGCTGTTTTACCTTGACCCTGAGCGACTCTATCCTCTGTGGGTTGAGTGCACCAGTTGCCAGACCGAAATCGGTCAGCTTCACATGACCTGTTCCATCCAAGAGGAAGTTCTGGCAGGAAGATAAAAATCTCTTCACAACAGACGAGATGCGACAACAACGTACCTCGGGCTTCAGATCACGGTGGATGTAACCCAACTTGTGCAGCTCATTGACAGCCACAAACATCTCGCTGATATAGAACCTCGCGATCTCCTCTTTGAGAACGCCTGCATTGTTGAGAAGTGTCCGGAAGTCGCCTCCCGGGACGTACTCCATCGCGAGATACACGTGCTGTGGGTCTTGGAATGCGTAAAGAAGGCGGACGAGCCATGGCGTCTTGGTGGCAGTCAAGATGTCACGCTCGACGAGAACATGTCGGACCTAATATACTTCAGTTATGGAGAATGAGTGCGCCACTGCATGGAGTACACTCACCTCGTCCATCTTGAACAATGTCCGCTTTTTCATCTTCTTCAATGCACACACCTCCCGCGTGTCCGCCTTGCGGGCGAGAAAGACTTCGCCATAGCCCCCCTGTCCGACCTGCGCGATGATCTGGAATTGATCGACCCTGAGCTTGACTCGACGCTTGCGCAAGAGGGTGCGTTCACAGCCACGGTAGGACTTGAATTCCTGGGCGTACTCGGCCTGGGTGAGGTTCCGTTTCGCAGTGTCCTCATCGAACCTAGCCCGACGCTCCTTGCGCGCGGCGATGTAACCGAGGAGGTTGAAGTAATAGTCGAGGAAGTCTAGAGTTCGACCTCCACGCATGAGAACAATGTCACCGATTCGAAAATCCCAGAGCTGATGACGCCTCCGGAGTGCGGGGTAACTGATCGGAGACACCACTCACAGAGCTGAGCGACGGTAGCCTTTCTACGGACCTCCGGGCTCTCGAGCAACTCCTTCTCCCACATCTTGAACGCGCCTTGCCTGATGGTGGTGCCTGCTTTGGCGGTCTCCATCCTGATGTCCTTGTCGACGGTGAGGCCTTTGGCGGTGGCCATGCGGATGTCGGACATGCCGATGGTCATTCCTTTCGCGGTATTCATGTGGATGTCGGGCAATTCCGAGTACGCGTTCTGATTGGGGTGCTTGGATCGCGCCGCCATCGGTTGATCAATGCACAGGCACGGCTAGATCGCCCAAGAGGTCTAAGACGGTGGCGGGAACTCAAGAGGGGAGAGCAGGAGAGGCAAGGCAGACGAGATGGGGCATGTTGGAATATGAACCATGGTTGATTCATTCGAGATAGACGCGCTCAACTCAATCTCTTCTTTCACGTCCCTTCCTGTTGACGCGAGAACGTTTACGATTTCACGCAACTGGCTACGTAGCAGGCTGCGTAACCACGTATTCACGCAGTCGATTGATGGCGAAGCTCGCCAAGCTCTGTGTGTATGCAGCCACGCAGTCATGTAACTGAGCGTCTATTGTAAGTTGTAACTGGAGCGCCCTCCGGCAGGAGTTCGGCGAAGGACAAGGCCAAAGTCTATACATCCTGCAAAGCCCTTGAGTAGACTCGTTTTGCGCGCATTGAGAACTGGATAAATGGTAGAGAACATTTGGATTATAGTCGATCTACATTGCGCAAGGAAAGAGCTTTGTTGCAGGGGCCACTAAGAACTAGGAATAGGATACTTAGCGTCGCTTACCCGACTCCACGATTACACGACTGCACGCTTGTGTTGCAACTGCGAAAGCGAACGCGCGACTGTGTGCATTCGTGGCTACGTAGCCAGTTGCATGCAATTGTAAACACTCTGGTTGACGCCAGCTCTCTGGTTTCGCTCTAGTAAATACAATTGCAACATGTTCATGTCCAACAAGATTTCAGCCTGCCTCGTCCCGCACAATATCCGGCTCGTCTAGCATAGTTCTCAGTACCTCGCATATCTGGGCATGCAAGCTTTCTAGCGAACGGGACATCTCAGCACTGAGGCTGGAACACTTCAGCAGCGTTTGTGTAACTTACTTGCGCGATTGACCGCCTGGACATACTCGGCATTTGCTTGCGCCATCTCTTCCTCCAGGGCTTGTAAACGCTCGACCTTCCGGCAGATGAAGGGCCTCCAGCTGACGGGTCGAAACCGAAAAAAACATACCTGCTTCTCCTCCGGATCCGGTTCTGGCAGCGACTGAATCAAATAATCTATCTGCTTCGCCTTCACTATCAAGTCCGTCACGAGCTCCCTCTTATTGGCTAGTCTCCGCGACTCCCATTGAGTTACAGGAAATATGACAACATACGCGTCTGACCTTCGAACACATCTGACTGGTCATACTTGTCCGGATTCCGCGACTTGGTGACCGGGACCTCCGCGCTGATTTGGATGAAGTTTGCACGGGAAGTCAGGTATGCAATGGTACTCGACATTATGGTAAGCAACTGCATGATAGGCCAAGTGAGCATTCCGGTAGGATTTCTGCGACAGATGCGGACGAACTTGCTGGATCTCATCTTGCAGTTGTGTGATACGGTCCATATGAGACAGTTCCTGCAGCATGACGCTGCTATGACGAGACACGGTGTAGAATACAGAGACACGAAGAAAGAGAATGCATAGAAGACAAGAGTGAGTGGTAGTGGAATGGATAAACCCACACTCCCCCGCCACAAACCCCATAAGCGCCCATTATCTGACCATACACGGAAAGCCGGGCTTAGTCAGCATTTTGCCGGGGTACAGAGACGCTCGTCTCTCGAGACTGACCATCACGACTCTTCGTCCGACCACCACCTGCCCTCTCGCTCGTGCACGCCTACGCCTCTTATTCCATCATGGGTAATGATGGAGGAAGTATCCCGGACCGCCGTGACCTGGTCAGGAGCAAGAAGAAGGTGCGTTTGCTCACGATAGAGTTAGCACTCGGCTCGTCCAGTTCGCTCATGAGTTATATGACAGGCTGAGCAAGCGGACAAGGCCAATCAGGTCCGTGCTATGTGGTTCTTCTGTGCTCTCTCCAAGGTATGCTTGCCATCATCTGATTTCGACTTTGCTGGTTTGCTGACTCGTTATCAGCGTCTTTTGCAAGAGCCCATAGTCTCCTGTCCACTAGGCAAGCTCTATAACCGGGACGCCATATTAGAGTTTTTACTGGACAGGGAGTCATTCGGCGCCGAGGGTGAGGTTGTATGTGGGCATATACGGTCAATCAAGGTGCGTTTCGGAATCTTTGCCATCATCGACACAAGCCTGACCCCATCTGTAGGACGTCAAGACTCTGAAATTGACACATAATGCCAGCAAGAGCCCTCCTTCCGCGTCATCTTCCGAGTCCCAACCGGAGCGGGCTCCCTTCGTCTGCCCATTGAACTTCAAGGAGATGAATGGCGTACAGCCTTTCGTCTACCTGAAGCCTTGTGGCTGCGTCTTCTCCCAAGCTGGTCTCAGAGCCGTCGCTCAGAGCAATACTGCCCCGAAGTCGTCAGACACACAGCCAGACGGCGACGAGGCGGGAGGTGCCGACAAGCCTTGGCTCGATCTCTGCCCACAATGTGGCACCAAGTACGACCGCATCGCTGACGTCCTCCAGCTCAACCCTCCTCCGGAGATGGAGCAAGAAATGCGCGCCACTATGGAGGTCCTGCGCTCGTTGGAACCTGTCAAGAGCAAGAGTAAAAAGCGCAAGGCGGCTGTTGCCGGCGACGCCGACCAGCCAGCTAAGAAGAAAGCGGCAGGCGCGGCGGCTGCGACCAACCCGAGTATCGCAGCAGCGAGTCGGGCGGTCACGCAGGAGCTGGCCAAGGAGGAAGCGAGGCGTAAGGCCGCGATGAGTGATGCAGTCAAGTCTCTCTACGGTCCCAAGGACGGCTCGAAGAGAAAAGAGACGTTCATGACCATGGGCACGTTCACGAGGGTGAGCAATCACCTAGATCTGGTCTATGACCACTCGCTGATTTCCCATGTTCGCAGTACGCTTGATTGTTTGAGGGCTTGCGGTGTTTCGGATGATTTCGTGGACTCTCTTCGTCGTTGTATCTCTACATATGTGTAATCATATCTCCCAATGTCAATACTTCACGACATTTACTACGCTTGTGCTATAGCGAGACGCTCACCAGCATCAGAGAGACCCAGTCATGGTCTCAGCAGCCATAAGTGATTCGACGTTTCGCTGCAGCAGTCGCCGAATCTGAGCATCGGTGGCTTGGACGGAACCGTGTTGTTCCCACGACTGATAGGTTCAGTCCAGCAAAACCCCAGATCCGGTGTCTGTTCTCCATCGCGGAGTCGAGGAACGGGGAAAGGCCGCCGCTGTGGGCCCCTCCAGCCCTATTCGGCGTACCCGGAGTATCTGCAACTACATAATCGTCTTCTTGACATGATGACCATCATGTAGACAAGGAACGGCGGTAGAGGAGAAGCGATCTCCCCAGTGTACTCACCGGGACACCTGTTCCTCTCACGGCTCTCGCGGCGATAACGCCTCAATAGGCAGCACCTCGAGTCGGGGCACCCCAAGAAGACAATCAGAGTTGGCAGGTGCGCATACTTGGGATGGCAGTGGAGCCCGCCTGTGTTTGCTGCCGGGGGGAGACGAGGGCTCCTTATGCGGCGAGCGGCGAGTCACGAACTGCTGTGAGCGGCCAGCCCGGCTCCCTGGGACCGAAGCATGCTTGTTGAGTTCGGTTTCCAAAGAGAACGTCCCGTGTTGGGAACAAAGGGCGCACCGTACCAGACCGAGCGCAGCACATAACGAGCGACTGTAAGTATCATTATGCCCGACAGATAGCTACAACATACAGACTAGCCAACTACTACTCTATATCGGATTACCCTCCAACCATCCCATCAGATTTCGGCACGGACACGACTCCAAAGCCACCGCTAGAGGTCTGTTGTGATGATGATGATGATGTACGTAACAGTACGTATGCTAGGACTAGCGGTAGTAGTACGTGCCTGGATCGACCGTGACTACACGGTAGCCATCGTAACAATTCAAATCTCCTCCCGAGTGCAGTGCCAGCCCCGACCGTCCCGCTGCGTCTCGACGACGACAAGACCCGCCCACGCCCCTGATCCGGGTCCAAACAGCAACAGCGGCAGCGACGACGTCGCGTGAGGGGAGCCGAGGGCCCGAGAGCCAGGAGCCGACCCGTCGATCGCCCAGGGACAAGCGGACAAGCGGGCGATCGCGCTAGCTCGTCCTCGCGCGAGCCTCGAGGATACCGGGATACCGACAGGTGTGGCCAATGGGGGGCGGCAGAGAGCCAAGTGGGGTCGTGAATCGGGGTCGTGATGATGCGGCGGAGTAGGGCTATACCGCCACGTAATGTGAACGGGACGCACGGCCGCAAGTGCTCCGTGGGTAAATGCGACGTCGACAAAATACTGCGGGGCTAACGTCGGGAAGGTGGTAGATCGACCGTGGATGGCACGACCGAGGAGGGGGTGGAAGGTGGGGTGAGGGGGCAGCGAAAGCTATAAACTCGGTGGTAATACATGTACGCCGTGTGGTATATGTGAAGGAAAGGACAGACGACGGCGACGGATAACTGCAACATTGACCGGAGTAGTCGGCGAATAAACGGTATATGTACGGGGATGCTGATGCGGCTTGGAAATATACTACAACAAATGATGACAGCAAATACGACACGACACAGCAACAATACATGACTCCATTCCAAAGGGGGCGCCGCTCGACGGAACCGCAGCAGAGCACAGATATAAACGACAGAGACGACGAGGGAGAAGGGAAGACTAGGCCGCTCGAGGATTCAAAGGGGGGCATGTCTTGCCGTCTCCGACATTTTATTGTATCCGGGGGCTATTGTCGCCATGTCGTTTCTCCTCGTCTCTCTCGTAATTGATATATGCACTGGAACAAAGATGGACAAAGCCAGTCAGCACGATGCGGTGAAAGCAGAAAGATGGGTTACGAGAAGGACGACTAGGCGAAGATAAGTCGGCGCCTGACGCATCGGGGCAAGCGCAGATAGCGACAGAAGATAACCAAACATCGCGAAGTCCCAACGTAGCACAACGAAGAATGCAGAACGATACCACAGCGACCGCGACGCAAGTCGCGGGCGGTAGATAAGGGGCAGATAGACAGATAAAGAACACGCACAGTGTCTCGTCCGCTTCTTCCGTCGTATCTTTGACCCGCATGTGGATCATAGGCAGAGCAAAGATGAGGCCGGCGACGAGGAGGACCCACGTCGAGATGAAGATGTTCATGTATCTGCAGACGACCATGTGCGGCGTGCAGCCGCACCGCACCCCGTCAGCAAACCATATGCAAGGCTAGGACTAAAGGCACGTCTAGACTCACGGAAGCTTGACCGCGTCCCCTCGCCATATGCCCGCGGCGCCTGCCGACTGCAGCGACTTGTCTGCAGAGAAGACAGCACCACCGCCGTCAAACAAGGCGCGGTCATCAGATGCGCGATAATGAACAGAGGAGTCCGCGGGATTCACGTGCGCAGCAACGCGGACCAGTCAGTAGACGGACAGTGTCAGAAGGCCAAGGCACGCACAGAAGCCGGAGAAGTTTGCAAGCTTCGCGGGGTCATTTGACATCGCTCCCATGAACCAGTACGCCGTCGTCTGCCACATGGAGTCGAGGAGGCCGCAGAATATGTAGAGCCACAAGCGGCTCACATACTCGCCCTCGTGGATATCGATCTTGTGCGGAATATGGTCCCGGGTATAACCTCTGCAGAACTCCCACGTCAGCGAAATCTGTCCGTCGGAGCCAAAACAAGTAAGAGTGCGACGCACTTTTGGTAAAAGTACGCCCATGTGTGCACGATGAAGACCATGACGATGAGGATCGACCACCCGGCGAACGCACGCAGGCGTCGAGACAGACCGCGCTGGTCAAGAAGAAATCCGATGCTGACCGAACCGACGATTTGGGAGAGCCAGTAGATGAGGTTGTTTAGCGCTCGTGCTCGGATAGTGAAGATCGCGCCGTTGTAGTCGTTGAATTCTGCACGTTTGATTAGCGGCGTGACGCGGTGGGAAAACACGCCTGAGCTTACGCCAGGTGTAGAACCAATTGCTGGCAAAGAACATGGGGAAAAGGAGCACGATCCACGGATCTGTCCGCAGGGTGAGGTAGAGCCCGAAGAGCTCAGACTTCCATGATGGATGGCGCGGGGTGACGACTCTAGTGCCGTCAGAGCGTATCATCTTGGCCGGGTTGGCCATGAGAAGGGGGATCAGAACGCCGATGCCGGTGAGGACGATGAAACCGATCTGAAGGCACGTAACGCGTAAGCATACGGACGCTGTAGATGGGAGAGGGGAGGCGGAGAACTTACGTATGTGCCATTAGATACTGAGGCGTTTACCGACCGGCGGTGCAGAAAGAGTAAGCAAGGGTGAGTTTATCACGGCAGGAGTGTGAACTGACCGGAGTCGGTCTGAAATCCCAATGGGCTGTCAGGACGGCGGAGGGCGGCGGAGATGAAAGAGACGCACGGTGTTATCAAAGTTGTTTCCAAAAGATACGGCGGCGCCGACAACACCTCCGAGGTTGAAGATGGACCAGAAGATACCGATGAATTTGCCCTTCTGGTCCTCGGTAGGGTACGCGAGCATGAGAGAACCCTGTGCAGTCCAGAGGAGACCGGCGCTGATACCGAGATATGCACCCGCGGCTATAACGAAGGCGCCGATTTTGCGGTGGAGGTTGTACGCACTATGGCGGAGTGAGCTCGCCGCGCGGAGTGGTCATAGGGGAGGAGAGGGAGGCTCACAGATAGGAGCCAATGTAGAGGGCGTAACCGGTTGTGCCGATCTGGAGAGTGAGGCGGGAACCGAGGACGTTGTTGATCGACCTGTGCCCCTCTTGGTCAGCGTTCTGGCCTTGCCTGCCAGGCCCCCGCGCCGCGCCCGCGCATGCGCCGCATTGATGAACCGCGCCGCAGCGAGCGCGGGGGCGTCGACGCGAAACAAGCCACTCACCCGGCAAAGAAGGCGGCAACGGCGAAGGTGGCGTACAGCGCCGAGTTCGCGTTCGCGCTCGTGGTGGAGTCGAGCATCCCCCCTCCTCCGAGGCCGTTGAGGGCGTTGAAGAGGCCGGGGCCCATGAAGCACACGACGCCGAGGAAGAAGACCTGGATGACGGGATGGTAGTAGAGCGCCTTGAAGCCGCGGTACTGCGGGTGGACCTCGAGTGAGTGCCGGACGCTTGGAGAGTCGTCGTCGTCGATGGTGGTGCTGCCGGTGCCTTGTGAGCGGGGAGAGATGGTCATGAGGTATGCCTCGCGTTGCTTGTACTGGATGTCGGGAGGGGATTGCTGATTGTAGTGGTCGTACCGCGGAGGATCGGTCTCGTACCGACGGTGGAAGCCATGGTCGCGGTCAGACATGGTTGGGGGTATGCGTGATGCGTGCTATGCGCGCTGAGCAAGGTGCGCGGGGCGAGGGGCACGAGTGGAGAAAGTGGGTCGTAAGCAAAGGAAGGAAGGAAGGCGGTTCGGGACTCGGGAGTCGCCAGGATGAAGAAGGATGAGGGGCGGAAGGGGAGAAGACGAGAGACGCGGGCGGGAGGAGGGCGGGGGACGGGGATGGTTGGGGACATTGTATTGAAATAAGATTGCGATCAGCGCCATGAGCGAGCGGCCTGACTGTCGGGCTGAGGCCAGAGGCTACCTGGCGGAGACGACTCTGGGATCAGTCAGGACTCTGGGATCAGTCAGGACTCTGGGATCAGTCAGGAGACTCGAGCACAGCGCCCGCTCAAATCAGAACCGCATCGAGATCAGGCATACCCACCTCGCTCCAAGTACCAACACAGTATCTAATACGTTGCTCACTCCTCGCCTATCGCCCCCAACGCACACTCGGCCAATCGCGTCTGATAGCCCTATCTCCTCCCCTAGTCCTTTTCCAGCCGTCTGCATTTCATATGGCTTCTCTCCTGCACCCGCCAACGTAGACGCGAATTCGATCGTGTGACACTTCGTATCTCCGCTTCACATATCGTCCGTTTCAATCATCTCGACTTGCTCACAGTTAGTGTTGCCCCAAGCTAGTGCAATGCAATGCAAGCTCGCCTGCTGGTATGTAAGCGACCGTATCACAAGTTTTGATGAGTGAGACGCCAAGCTGGCTTACTGGGCACCGTATCTGGCCGGGCGTTCAGAGCGTACAACCTGCTCAGGCGGGATGAATGCGGGAAGTGAGTAGTACACCTCAAATCCAGCCTATCGTTGCGACCTAGCGGTTTGGTTCTCAGCATTGAAGTACAGATTGATGTATCACAGCTTCATTCGACTATAAGAGCCCCTCTGATTATGCCTCCTTTCCGATCAAACAGAAGCTTGCGCAAGCTCACATCGTGTGGCATGAGTCTGCCAAGTGCTAGTCCTCCTGGGCTACTAAGGTACACGGAAATGACAACCGCTGTTGTTACTAGAAGTAGTTTGGTAGTTCAAGCTCCACCAGGATATTCAGAGACATCCATGTCCATCGCCCAGTGAGAAGGACCTCCTCACATGGCAGGGCCGAAAGTAAATCAACAGGCACACAGGAGACGAGAGACCGTCACTTGCAGGCGCACTTCTATCTCGATGACATTAATTGCAAGGATAAGCTGTGCTTGTAGATGTTCCACTAATATCCCCAGGGCTTGAGAATGGGGACATAGGTTGTAAAGGGGTTAGATATCTTGTACCCATGAAGGACTCGTATCAAGAGCAAATGGTGACAGACATGTTGAGCTTAGAACATACTCCAACTTGTTCATGCACTCGGGTTTCGCAAACGGAGACATCAAGTGCAAAATGCTACCAACACATCGAGAAGCCAACGAGAGAGTGTTCTGGTTACAGAGATGTGCTGATGACGAGCTAAGAGACGCGATGGTCCGCCTGCAGCGCACCATGGTTTTCCTGTATGCAGCTATCGGCGTCAAGGATCGAGCGGAGTGGGCCAGGAAGTACGATGATCAGCATTCAGTGAAACGTAGGTTTCAAGTGAAAGCATCAGCAGACAAAACCATAGTCAGGTAGAGGGATGCAGCACCGTAAAGGTCAGTGTGCACCAAGGCGTTCAATAGGATCAATGTCCTTACATGACCTTGACAATGGACCGGAATCGGACAGCGGGTCCTTCAGCCAATAGGAGTCGTGAGGGGCATCTGATCCTCAACTTGCAAGTTGGTCGGCAGAACGCAAGTTGCAGTAAGCCGGCCGTGGGAACAAGCTGCTACAAGCAAGCCACAAGCTAGCTGGTAGCTTGCGGCAACACTAGTAGGCTCACAGCGTCGAGCCGAATGTTGCCATCTCCCCCTCTTTGCGAGGGACAACAAGGCTTGAGCTGTCATACCTGCCAAGGCAGTTACATACTCGCCCTACGACATGTACGTACCAATCTCGCCCCAATCATTCAAGTGTTTGGCGAGACCCACGCTATTCAATGACATCCATTCCACGGCAAGCGTGCAAACGACTCAAGAAATGGGGCATCTCAGTCCTTCATGCAGCAGACTGCCCAAAGCATGGCTCAACACAAGGTTTAGTTTGACACCATTCATTCGTGGACGAGATTACACCGGCGAGTAGGTGGAAACGTCAGGTCATAACGTAGTCAAGGTAGCCATAGTCAACAGCCAAGCGCGAACAAATTCGAGGACAGGGCGAATGAGAGTTCTTGCCGCCAGCAACCAAACCCATCGTACAACTGTCTCTACACGTCATACGACGAACATCGGTACCAGACGAATAAAGAGATGAAAGGAGGGCATGTACACGAAAACGACTCCGTATACCCGAATGCGAGCAGTACAGATATCCACGTGCGCAAACGCTCACTGGGCACCATCGACGCGCTCACGGAGGCCGTCAGCAGTCACGGTGGGCTCGGATTGGGTGGGTGCGAGGCGGGATCCGTTGCTGCTAATGTTGGCGAAGACGGGGCGGACGACACCGCCATAGAGAGTTTGTGCGCCCTGTAGATGAAAACAAGAAGCACATGCCACGCGGGTAAAGGTCAGCAAGCTCGACCATGACGCAAGGTAGGCTAGCGCTCAGAGAAGCATATGATACTCACGCGGAACTGAGGGAGCTGGAGCCAGAGAATGAAGACGCTCTTGAAGGCGAAGTACCAGGGGAAGTAGTAGAGGACGGCACGGAGGGCGAAGGACTCGAGGAAGTTGAAGAAACCAAAGACGATCCAGTACGTGAGCCACTGTACGTCATCGGCGTGGCCAGGGCTCTCAAGCGCCTTGACCGAGAGGTAGGCGGGAAGGGCCCATCCGACGAGATTGGAGACGGGGGACGCAAAGGCGTTGACGGAGTGAAGTACGGCGAGGAGAACGACGGCGCCGAGGAAAGCGTAGCTCTTGGGTACCTGGGTGCGCTGCTCAAACGCGTTCAGGGCGGGGTACTTGGAGAGCTGGGAGGAGTCGTGTGATTAGCACGAATTCCCTTCGCTTGCTTTGCTCGCGCCATGACAGGGGGCCGAGGTAGGAAACGAGAGGGGGACATACCTCCTTGTCGAGCTGGTTGACGTAGTAGTTCGCCTTGTCCTGGGCCTGGATGAAGGCGGGGTGCTGCTGAACTTTTTGGGTCGCGGACATCTGAGGTGGCGACGATGTTGAGCGCCGTGCGACGGAGAGCGCAGAGTTGACAGTCGGGAAACGCACCTTGGACGTGTAAGCTGTCGTAGAGCTGTGTGTGGTGGCAGTGGAAGGAAGAGGAGGAGGGTCGTCGTGGATGGGAGGCAAGGGAGGAAGGGGCGAGCCGGGTTGATATGGGCTTTGATGACGCGTGTTTGGAGGGTGCCACGCGTACGTCAGACAGCCCACCTCGCCTCCCTCAGCTCTCGACAGTCCGCCACCGCTCCTCCCATTCAGCATGGCCGACTACCAATCCATACAGGCACGCCCCCGCTCCCCCTTCCGTTCTCATAGCTGACCGTATTCCTCCACAGTCCCTGCACAAGTCTACCCCCGCCTTCTCGCCCACCATCCCCACCTTCCTCCTGCCCTACCTGGCTTTCCTCCTCCTCGCCGCAACCTTCGCCCTCGCGTTCTACTTCTCGACGTATGTATCTGCCCCCCACACTATCATGCCCTACCCCCGTAATGACCCGACCTCTCTCTTCCCCACAGTCTACCGAAAGAGAAGATTCCCGCTCGCGAGCTCGCCGTGGCGTCCACAGCAAGCCTTTTGGGCGGCTTCGGCGTCGTAGCCCTCTTCTGCTCCGTCGGTGTATACGTGTAGCAATCCCACTCGCCCTGCTCCTCCCCAGTCGCTCTCGTCCACATCTGGAAAATGCCGAACGGATGATGGCGCCGCTAGTTGTTGACTCGCCATCCAAATTTGCACCGCACGCACTGGGAGGAGCGCGATCACTAGGTGAGCTAGGCCAACGGCACATTGTGCAGATACATACAGTATAGAAGATGGTCGAGCCCTCATCCGCACTCCGGAGCTAGCACATTGCGTCTTTTCAGCCCGTTTTGCCGTCAAAGAGTAGATAGAGACCCTACCTGAGCTTCCTTGGAATATGCCTCCATGTGCCCACACTCCGGGCACTTCTCCGTGACCTGCAACGTTTCGCGATATCAGAGCCTGTGCAAAGACGCACCCCACGGGTGTCTGAACCGACCTTGAGTAAATCCTCGTTTGCAGCATGCACCTTCGTCTGCGTCTTGCGCTTTTGCCTCAGGGCGGACGGGAAGGCCTCGGGATGAGACCTAGTCACGATCTCGATGTTCTCGTACGCTAGCCGTCGATGTGCGTTTGTCAATATCACGTCAAGAGAGTCGGAGCTAGGACCCGGACGAACAGCTCGCTGGTTCAACGTGCCCACACTGCTCGCAGGTGACCTCGAACTCGCCATCCTGAGGGAGGTTCAGGAGCGTGCCACAATCAGGGCAGAAGAGAAGCGAGCCTGATACAGAGGAACGTGTTCGACTAAGCCCGGCCTGGAGTTTTCTGCGAAGAAGAGGCGTACCTATCTTGTCCGCCTTGCGACTCATGATGTCCCTCTCCAACGGCTGAAGCGCTCCCAAGTCAAGCGCAACTTTCTTGCTTTAAGCGCCGGTTCAGTGATTTGGACATGAGCGCTTGTGTTACCTGATAAGCTCATTGAGATCGGATCTCACGCGACCGAGGCTGATCGTCTGGAGAAAGACTTTATACTCCTCTCAACGCCCAACGACGTCTTCCCTGAGAATCGGATATCATGTCTCTCCCGTACGACCCTTCTACTCAAGCCAACTGGCAAGACATCGCCACAGAGAACGTCGATTTCGACTGGACCGTCAACTTCCAGCAACAGACCATCTCGGGATCTGCGACCCATCACCTACGCGTGAAGAAAGACGATGTACATCAAGTGGTGTACGTCTCTCCCTGCGTGTGAAGCTGCTATACGGTGCTAACGCTGCGCTAGCTTTGATACTCAAGCGCTGGAGGTCACCAAGACCACCGTCGAGGGGAAGCCTGTCGATGTATGTTATCCTACTTCGGATTCGGCAGGTCAGCGGGCTAACGACTACAAATTTAGTACAAGCTCGGGCCTCTCCATGCTGTCATGGGCACACCTCTGATCATTCCTGTCCCTTCTGGCCTCAAAGTTGGCGATCAAGTCCACGTGCAGATATTCTACAGCACGACCAAGGAGTGCCCTGCGCTACAATGGCTAGACAAGGAGTGCGTGCCTTGTGTGCACGTCCTCTCGTCTATATCCATGTCCTCACATAGTCATCAGACAGACCCAGGGCAAGAAATTCCCCTTCGCCTTCAGCCAAGCGCAGCCCATCTACGCTCGCAGTCTCGCCCCGCTCCAGGACACTTCCTCGGTCAAGATCGTACGTCCCCCGCTCGCATCCTGCGGCAGTACGGGGCTCCGTGTCTCATGCTCCGACAGACCTACACCTCGAAGGCGAAGTCGGTCCTTCCGGCGCTGATGTCCGCCATCCGCGTCTCTCCCCCGTCCGACGGCCCCGCGCATGACGGAAAGGAGGTCGGCAAGGACTGGGTCACCTACGAATACAGACAGGTCGGCCCCATTTGCCCGCGCACTGGCGACCCGTAGCTCACCAACAGCGTCCAGCCTATCCCCATACCTCCATACCTGGTCGCCATCGCAGCGGGAAACTTCACCTACCGCGCCCTTCCGAAGGTGGAGGGCAAGCAGTGGACGAGCGGTGTCTGGGCCGAACCTGAGACCCTGGACGCTGCCTACTGGGAGTTCAGCGAGGACATCAAAAAGCCCGTCGGCCCATTTGCTGTCTGTCTTTGCAGATTCTCATATGTATGACAGGTTCCTGGTTACCGCGGAGACGATCTTGCCTCCGTACCGGTTCGGCGTGTTCGACGTGCTCGTTCTTCCGCCTTCGTTCCCCTACGGCGGTATGGAGAATGCTTGCCTTACCTTCCTGACGCCAAGCGAGTATTTCTCCCATTCGCGTCACAACAGCCGCTCACATCCCAGTCTATAGCTTTGATTGTCGGTGACCGAACGCTCGTACGTGTCGGTGAATGCCTTCCACGAGACACGTTTATTTGACACACTTACAGACAGACGTAGTGGTCCACGAGATGACGCACTCCTGGTTTGGCAACGGTGTAACGTACGTCCCGCCACCCCCTCCGCCGGACACCCTTCTCAACCAGCCCTGCTCCTAGCCAAGCGAACTCGACCCACTTCTGGCTCAACGAGGGCTGGACGACCTACATCGAGCGCCTCCTCCTCCAACTCCTCCACACGCCCGCCGACCGCGGCTTCTCCTTCCTCATCGGCCGAAAATCCCTCGAGGACGCGCTCAAGCAGTACTCGGACCGCCCAAAGTACCAGCGGCTCGTCATCGACTTCGAGACGGGCGAGGACCCCGACGACGCGTACAGCACGATCCCGTACGAGAAGGGCGCGAACTTCATCCTGCACCTCGAGCGCATGCTCGGCGGCCTCGACGCGTTCCTGCCGTACATCAAGGACTACGCGACGACCTTCCAGGGAAAGAGCATCACGACGGAGGACTGGAAGCGCCATCTGTACGCGTACTGGGAGAAGCACGGCGGCCCGGAGAAGATCAAGGCGCTGGACAGCGTCAAGTGGGATGTACGCTCGCCAAGACTGCTTCCGCCGGGTGTGTAGCCCGCTAATCCCTCCCTGCAGGAATGGCTATATGGCGAAGGCCTCAAGCTCCCAGTTGAGGTGGTATATGATACCGCGCTCGCGCGCGACGCCTACTCTCTTGCGGAGAAGTGGGACGCGTCTCGTCACGAGGCAGACATCGCCAAGCTGTCCTTCTCAGCAGCGGACGTGGCGTCCTTCAACGCCAACCAGAAAGGTATGCATATCGCCTAACAGCCTCCGCCTCATCCACAGGCTCACTTGAATCTCCTCAGCCGTTTTCCTCGAAAGGCTCCAGTCATATCCTGCCCTGCCGTCCTCGCACATCGCTCACCTCGGCGAGGTCTACTCCCTATCCACGACTCTCAATGCCGAGCTCCGCTGGCGCTTCTATGAGGTCGCATTGCTCGACCCCACCTCACCTTCCTCGCAGGAGTATGCGCCGCAGGCTGCGAAGTGGGTCACCGGCAACGATGGAACGGGCATTGTCCGTGGCAGGATGAAGTTCTGCCGGCCGACGTTCCGTGCGATAGCACGAGCGGACAGGAAGCTTGCGCTAGACTACTACTCTTCGAACAAGCAGTCGTTCCATCCTATCGCGCGGAGATTGATCGAGAAGGATCTCGGTATTGCATGAGGACGGATATGGTATCGAACGACGAAGGGTACAATCAACTTGAGGAGACTACGCCATGCAAAACAGGCAGCATTGTACACGAGAACACTGTAGTGGTACCCAATGTAACAAACGCATCTTCCACATCTATACGATGACGTCTACTTAAAGCCACCCCACAAATCCCCGAAAGCATCGTCCTTCTTCTGGACGTTCGCCGTCGTAGTAGTCGCAGCAGGCGCGCCCCACACATCGCTCGTCGAGAACAAGCTCTGTGGAGCGCCAGCGCCAGCACCAATTCCCCCGCCAGGCGTGCCCCAGATATCTGTCTGCGCAGGTGCGGCAGCAGGGGCGTTCCACCCCGAGCTCGCGCCCCACAGCCCGACGCCCGCATTGCCTATCATACTCGTCTGCTGGGGCTGCTGCTGCTGTGGCTGGCCGAACCCACCCGCGCCTGCGCCCCATATGGTCTGCTGCTGAGGCGCCGTCCCGAACCCGCCCAAACCACTTAGCCCACCGAACTGGTTCTGTGCCTGCGGCTGCATGCCAGGCTGGGCTCCGAATCCACCTGCACCCGCGCCGGCAAACGCAGCCTGCTGCTGCGCGTACGGGTTGGGTTGCGCGGGGGCAGCGGTAGAGAACAGGGACATGATCTCCGCCTTGACGTCCTTCTTCGGCTGCTCCTGCTGGGCGGGCTGGGGCGTCGAGCTCGTGGGCGCGTGGAAGTCGAGGGAGAAGAGGTCCACAGCTGCCGACTGGGGCTGTTGCTGCTGCACCGGCGGTTGCGCTTGTTGCTGCTGAGGGGAAGGGATGGCGGGGGAAGCGGTCTGCCGGCTGGCAGCTACGGCGGTCGAGAGCAGCTGATGCGGCTGCTGCGAGCGGACCGCGTTGACGGAGGAGACGGAAGCGCGGGAGGCATGCGAGGGGGAAGCGATTGGTGCTGGCGCAGGGGTGGTTTGGGCGGGAGCAGGGGCATCGCCTTCGAGTACGGCGGGGTCTTCTGGGAGTGGACCCTCGCGTGCCCATCGCTTGGACTCGTATTTCGAGCGGATGTATGAATCCATCTTGCTGTAGGGGTCGAGGGGGTGTCGTATGAGGTGTCGTGTAGACATCGGAACGCGCGAGTGACGTACTGATCAGGTGGAACATGGCCTTGTCTCAAGTGTGCCTCCCAGTACAAGTTCGCCCTCCGGTTCCCCCACTTTTGTATTGACTGCAAATGGAGATGTCATGAGGAACCAAAGCTCATGAGAAAGAAGACGTACGGCCATCTGCTCCGGAGTCCAAACGTCGAGATCCACGGACTTGACTTTGCTTATGTGGGTGCCCATAGAACGGTGGATGCCTGAGCATCTGATGCACAGGAAAACACCCCTGCAGATGCTGTTGTCAGACGATGCGTACTATATACTGGCATGTAATCATACAAGTTCCAAGAGGCCCATCGCGGGTCTACGACAGCGCGATCAGCTCAAGCCACCCACCACAAGGCTAGATGGAGAGCAGACATACCGTTACGCTTGCAATCGGCGCATGTCTTGTTCTCTGGTCTTTTGAGAAGCTCTCTAAGGGTGCGTGCATGACGCTCAATTGTCGCCTTGTCCTGCTTGGTCGACATGATGGTTGTAGAGAAGATGGAGCACGTTGAAGCGGTGCCGCTGCACTGACAGTCCACACAAGGGATATATCACGCTGAGGCGCCCGAGGATTCTTCCGACATTACAGCATCTGTACACTTCGCTCGGATGGGTGCATACCGACAAACGCAGTTGCGCAGGCATAAAAAGGAAACTGCGATCCGTATACAAAGGTAACCTACACGTCGAGCGTGACAGCGATCAATACCTGGGACAAGACCGCAGCGGACAAGTGGTACGCTGCGCCTGCGTTCAGCTAACGCCGTCGACCATCTTCCCCAGAAGTCTTTCTCTGAGCTGAATCAGCTCCATTTGTTTGTCTCTGGCCTCCTGGAGCGCAAGTCTGGCAAGTTCAATGTTCTGCGGGCACAGTTAGCGCAGTTGACAGACAATGGCATACAACGCGTTGGTTGAACAAACGACGTACAGGAGGCAAGCCCTGGAATGCTTCTACTTGAGCTCGCTTTTCCTTGAGGACCTGTTCCTGTTTCTTGAGTTCTTTCCGAAATGCCGCGAGTTCCGTGATCGTGAGCGGGGAATTCTCTGGCATATCGGTCTGCACGATTCACGCATTAGCGCATTCTGTTACCCTGTGCAACCTCTACTCGCGGATCGAACATTTAGCTCGTCCAACTCTCTCGCGTACTCCTTTGCTTTGGCTGTAAGGGCGGCCTTTCTGCGTTCCATGGCGGGTACTGTCTCCTGCGGATCGGCAGGGGCTTGCAAGGTTCGCATCCACCTGAAAGACTGAGATTCGTGACGGGGCGTTATAGGTTCAGCAACCTACTTTTGTATGAGCTGGTCTTCGTGTATCGTAGACAGTAGCTTGTCTGTCAGGTCATCCTCGACATGTCTTGTCCTGAGTAAAGCACGAGACACAGATAGCTCCTCGAGTTCGAAGTCATCTATCGCTGATGCGTATCTGTACATTGTGGTTAGTTTTCAAGCGTTGTGAATCATGTTCCAACCACGCTCACGAAGAGAATGAGAGATCGTCAATCCCAAGGGCTTCGGCAATCTCTGTCAAAGCACCCAGATAGCACTCGACCTCGGGAGGTAGTGTGATTCCTTGTAAATGAGCGTGCGGTCGACCTTGAAGTATCAATCAGAGTCACGCTAGATGACCCTCTCCCACATATAGGGCTTGAACCTTTGAGAGTATAGTAGCGCTCTATCGTTGAAGGCGGAGAAGAGGCAATTTCTGGCATGATGTCACGAAATATATGAGCGCGTTGATGGTGGATGATATGCTAGCAGAGTGGAGCGGTTCGTGCGATAGGGTGGTTTGAGTAGAGTCCAGACGGGAACGAGGTGAGTGGAGGTGGCTGAGGGGTGATAGACGCCTGTGCATGGTGCGTGATCTACCCGAGGCTACCGCGACGGTGGCACGTATCCCACTGTACCTGTCCCCTCCACCTCGACCTCGATCCTCGCTCGACCCCGCCCGCCATGGCCGACGCAAAAGCACGCGCAGAAGCACGCAGGAAAGCAATCCTCGCCCGCGGCGGCGACCGCCTCGCCCGCATCACCACCTCCGCCCGCGGCGAGGAGGCCACAGCGTACATGAAGGATGGTACGTGACTCGGATGTGTCCTGTCCCTCTCCTCTCCTGCTCACCATGCGTTCCGCGAGATAGCACCTTCACTGCCCAGTCGTACAGGCTTGACTGACTTTGTCGGCGAAACGTCAGATATGCCCACTCCCCCTGCCTCTACTCCAGGCTCCCGCAACGTCAGCGGTGCCCCTGCGTCGCATGCATCCCCGTTTCAAGCAGCCGGCCTCGGTGCTTCTGCGCCCGATCCATCCGTCTGGTCAGAAGAGCAGCAACAACAGTTCATGAACGCTCTCATCGGTGCCGCCGCCTCTGGCCGCTTCCCAGGAGCAGGGGCGGGGGTGGGTGCCCTCCCGGAGCAGCCACGCCCGCGCGCCCCGTCAACTGCGTCATCAACGACCGCCGTCGCACCGTCCATCGCGGGCTCTCCCGCCCCCCCTCTCACAGACGACCCCATGGCCGCCCTCATGAATGCATTACAGCAGGGAGGTGCTGGCACACCCCCTGGCTTCCAGTTCCCCGGCGCGGGCATGGCACCCGCCGAGACCGTCTCTTTAAAACCGAAGACGCTTCTACAGAAACTAATGCCGGTAATACACATCATATCCGCGTGGGCTTTGCTCGCGTACTTCGCGCTCTGGAAGGAGCCGGAGGCGTATGACGCGAAAACGTACGGTTCCCGAGAGTCTCTGTGGAGGCGGTGGGCGGAGCTGAGTTGGAAGATCCCAGAAGATGGATGGGGCGTGCAGGCTGTTGTGAGTCATTTTCTTCTGTCTCGTGCTCTCTGTATCTGGGATTAACACGTAACTGTGTCTTCCCTGCGCAGCCATTCTTCTGGGCGTTCACCACCCTCGCGCTCGTCCTCCACTCATGGCGCATATTCACGAGACTTGTAAGTGTCGCGCGTCGCGTCCCACAGGATTTCCCTGACACCATTCTCTGCGTGTTTTTGCAGGACCCTATTCAGCCCCCGATGCTTCTTGCGTTTGCACTACCGCATCTTCCTTCCCCATTACCCGCTATCATTACGAATGGCCTGAAGTACCTGCAAATAGGTGGCATCCTCTTCGATGATATCTCCGCGCTGCTTGTGGGGATAGGACTTCTCGTTTGGATCGCGACTTGGTTTGCGGCTTGACGAGGACAGTCTTACGACTAGACTTAGTGTATTCTTGCGTACCATGTACTCCTACTAATGGCATTCACGGCGTCATGAATTAATGAGCTCATGGGCGGCTAAACCATCCTCGAGTGTGACTATGTGAATAGGAGTGGATAGATTACATTGTCTGTAGATGTATGCAGAGCGAGGAGTGGAGTGACATAGGGCACGGAGGGAAGGGAGATGTCATGGCAAGACAGCGGCCGCACCCGACTTCTTTTGTGGTGGAGGGTAGGGTGTCGTAGATATGCCTGCGGCGGCTTGCTCGTTCTTCCATCGTTGCCACCAGGAACCGGCGGTGAGGTCCATGAGCTCGTGGTAAATGGCCGATGACCACTTGCCGTCCATGTTGAGCGTCCGAGTCGTGCCGTTCTCTGTGTTGTCGTATGGTTAAAGCACAAGCACCGACAAAACGCGAGGAACTACGCACTAAGTTCTACGACCATCTCAGGTACCAAGGTCTCATCCTTCGTCTTGGGCACCTTGTTGACCCGGATGTCTATTGTCGGATTCGCGTACCGTATCCGCGGAAGTTCCTCCTTCACGAAATGTCTGAGGCGGCAGGAACTCAGTGGATACAGAACCACAAAGCAGTGTGAGGTATAATACCGAGCACCAAAATGATCATTCCGGTATGCATACGTGAGCTGGAGGCTCTTCAGATTGGGGAGGAACGGACGAGGCTCCTTCGTCAATTGCGCGAGAATGCCAGACAGTCGCGATGGGCCAGGTATGGTCTTTGGTTTGCGAGGCATAGCGACGCGTAATTCGGGAGGAGTCTGAGGGTTGGGAGGTTCCCAGGACAAGACAGAGAAGGAGGTGAGCGTCGAGCTGCAACTTCGCGGGTGTCATGGGCGCCTCAGAAACTGGCGTTGTTTGCGCGTGTTGAATCCAGAAGCCGATGGCTTCGTCCCGCTACGCCAACACCGTTTGTCTCTCTCATCCCGTGTTTTGTGTGCTGGTTTTCCTTAAGTCTGCGCGTCAACTTGCTTGAAATTGATCTTATATCTGTGAGATGGACGACTCTCTTGTCGCGCGCCGTCCCAAGCGTAGCACGGCGGGCAATCGCATGGAGGCGGCCCTCGCCGAGTTCAAGGCGGAGGACATTGGCATGGACGATGAAGATGCAGATTTTGCTCTGGACAAGGGTTCGTCATCTGCGAACGTATGACCTGAGCGATCCATTTATGATGCGATGATGGAGTAGAGGAAGAAGACGTCTTCGGGTCCGATTTCGAGTCTACGGACGAGGAAGAGGTTCAAGAAGACGTCGACGCAGCTGCGGAGAAGCTGATCCGCCAAGACGAGTCGCGTATACGCAAGGTAGCTTCATGTCTCGTCTTGATGTTCTTCCCCACGTCAAATTATCAACCAATCTCACTCCATAGACGGCTCGGACACAACTTGAACGCATCACTGCACTTGCACATGCTCGACAAGCTGCAACGTTCAATCCTACATCTATCGCGCCGACTCCTGAAAGGCCCAAGGGAGAGAAGAAGTTGAAGCGACGCGTCTCCCTTGGGGTGGCAGTCAACGCGGAGACTGGAGAGGTCCTCGAGGGAGGTGCGGAGACGGAGGAACCGGACGCGCCGGCTACGCCTGTGACAGGAGGCAAGCGGCATAGCACACGCACACATACTGTCGCGAATACCTCCGCGACCTTCAGTCGGGCACGAGATGAACTGCGAAAGGTGAGCGACACTGTTTCGCTTTCATGCCTATTTTGGACTCATCCCTGATCGCGCATTACATAGCAGGCCTCCATACCGAAACGCGCGAAGACTAAGATCAAAGCGCCTACGCAAGAGGAGCTCATGATGCGCGCTTTGAGCATGGAGGCGGGCAATATCGAGGAGCATACCAACTACCTTACGTTGGAGGAGGAGAAGCGGAGGAAGGCGCGGGCTGTTCGAGCGAGTGTGCAGGGACCCCTCATCAGGTGGATCAGCAAAAAGGAAGAAGAAACAGTGCTTGTACAACCTCCTCTCCCAATCCCTCCGCCGGCGACACCGAGCCCGTATATCCCTTATCGTCGACATTCAACGTCGTTGCCTGCATTGGCTTCGCCGGTCACGCCTGCTCGACATTCGAATACCCTAGCTCTCCATCCTTCCCAGTATACTTCTATGGCTCCACAGCCATCACCATTTCAACAATGGCCTTCATCGACGCCCGGTCCACCTTCTCAGCACCAACCAGTCCCGCCTCTACCATCATCACCCGCGGTGCCTATGTCGCCGTCAGCGACCGGCACATCAGCTCCTGCAAATCCAACGGCATCTCCGTACACATCATTTACAAACACCGCGTCTACGTACACACATGCACCTGTGCAACCCTTTGTGCCACAGCAATCCCCTCCACAGACGCCTGCCTCCGCAATGACTTTTGCCCGTGTGCCGACAGTAGCCACGCAACCATCTTCAGCGATGCCGCCGCCCAGCCAACCAATCGAACGCAAAGAAATCGTCGGGAAGCAATATGTGATCCACGAAATCACGCAGTCGGAGAAGTCTCGCCCGTCTTGGCATTCCACGATGACTGCGATGTTTGGAGACCACGCTGATTGGGAGAACTGTCGTGTCTACACAACCAAGGGTCGGCCTTTCGGTACGTCTAGTCTAAAGCGCAGGAAAGATGACGCGAGTTTGCTTACTAGGTTGCCTCCGTAGCGCGACCAACACAGATTTGCCCAATTACAGGCAAAGTGGCCAAGTATCTAGACCCGCGAACAAACGTGCCGTATGCGGACTTGAACGCGTACCAAGTGATAAGCAAGGTGCTGAGGCACGAATATGTCTGGAGCCCGAGCCTGGGATGTTATGTTTCGAGGGAAGGGAGCGTCTTCTCGAGTGGTACGTAGCGGACACGGTCTTCATGTGGATATCAGCACACCGTGTATCGTGTATCATTGCGTCGATAGAAGCGCGTTCTTGGCTTTCCACATCGCATCTCCTCATTCGGACCATGTCGCGCTCACGTGACGGCAAGGTAGGGTACAAGAGCGCGGAGGAGCGTGTTTCCACCGCTCAAACCCTTCCTTCCCGACCCGACCATGTCTCTTCTCACTAGGATAGGTACAGGCCGCCCGTTGTCTTCGCGCCCTGCAACTGCACTCTCCCGCCCGCGAACTGCCCATTCGCGACCCAACACCGGGCGCCCTCAAACTGCTGCTTCGTCCAGGCATGACTCCAGTTACATTGTCGCGGTGATCGAAGGTCGGGGCGTCGGAAGGGAAGTGGGCATTGCTGCCCTGGACAAGGACACTGGGAGAGTTTCCTTGGTACAGGTGAGCGCGCATATACTCGTCCTGCAGCGGAGCACTGATACTTCTCAAGCTTGCGGACTGCCCGACTTATGTCAAGACATTGCACCAGATGCACCTTCACTATCCCTCTATCGTCCTCGTCCCGGACACATTCATGTCCCTGTCCGATGTCTCGCTGACTTCGGGGGCCAAGACTCCACAGACGACATCGCTCCTCGTCCAGTGCATCATGGACGAATTCGACGGAATCCCCGTCGAGCCCGTCATGCGCAAGTATTGGAGTGACACTGCGGGTAAGCATCGACGACTATCATGGCTGGAACACGGTTAACCGCCGTGAAAGGCTTGGATTTCGTCAACCAGCTCATGGTCGACAACGACGAGCATGCTTCCACCCTTTTGGCAGTTTCAAACAAGTGCATATATGCGCCCATATCGTAGCGATTCATGTGTGCTCAAGGCCCTTGCAGGTATTATGCGCTCTCTGCTGCTAGCGCGCTCTTCAAGCACGCCGAGCTCAGGCTCAACATCCGATTTTCTGCGTCTTCTCTCCTTATTCGCTACACACAAGTCGAAGGGACCATGATGATCGACCCCGACACCGCTCTTAACCTGGAGCTCGTAGGGAACATGTCTGTCAGGAAAAGTGCACACTCACTCTTCGGGTATTTATTCTCCTCCCCGTATACGCATGGAATAGAGAGCTGACTTGACCTATACACTAGACTACTGAACCACGCCTTTACCGCTATGGGGGCAAGACTCCTGAAAGTCAACATCATGGCTCCTATCACAGGTCAGTCGATCCTACTCGACTGAGGTCGGACTAAGAAAGCTCACATCTGTTCCAAGTTAAATCTGCGCTCGAGGCTCGGCTTGATGTAGTCGAGGGTACTTTCGTTCCACCCTTCGTCTGCACGAAGGAGGCTGAAAGACCCTTTCTTGACTCAAGAACTCATTCAAACAGAAGATCGCTTCATAGAAGTGAAGAATGCCCTCAAATCGCTCAACAAAGTCGATTTCGACCAACTCATCAGTTCAGTATGTTGTTCTGTCGCGCTTCTCCCGGAATTCAGTGATCGCTTAGGGCGAGTTTATGTAGCTCGCCTCATCGGAGGCCCGCGAAGCCACCAATGCAAAACTGGCCTCAGCTAGGATTGCGCAAATGCTGAATCTACGGAATATTGTGCAAAGTCTTCCTCGGCTCGCGAAAGCGCTTGAAGGTAGTCGGTCGCAACTCTTGCAGATCATCGCAGAGGTCAGTACTTAGCTATACTCTCAAGTACCCCAGCCAGAACTTGAATGAATGCATCTTAGATGATTTCCGACGAACGTCTAGAGAAGATGGAGAAAGCAATATCCGAAAGTTTGAACGAAGAAGCAACTCCCGCAAGGGTCGGTTCTGCCATGCAGATGTGTCTTCTAAGCTGATGTTACTTTACAAGGGAGGATTGAACGCAGTGAACGCCAGAGTATATGCGGTTAAGGTATGCTTCTTGACATGTTGAATGACACAGTCCTGTAGCTGTAGCTTTTCTTAGGCCAACTTCAATCGCCTGCTCGACGTTGCGCGCGAGACATATAAGGAGAATGTCGGAGACATCTACGCCTTGCGCAATCGCCTTGTGGAAGAACATAACATACCCTTGACTCTCAGCTACCGTGATTCGGATGCCGGATTTGTCTTCTCCCTCAAGAAGACAGACCTCGACGATGCTGGAGGGGAGCTTCCCCGAGGCTTTGTAGATGCAACGCCTCAGAAAGGGCGATGGGTATTCTCGAGTATAGAACTCGTAAGTACTCCGCTCTGTCTGGTTCACACAGCGGTCATTAGGGTCGACAGAAAAAGAGGAACGCGCGTATGAAGGATGCTTTAGACGAGACGTTGATTCTCAGCGACAAGCGCGTATTCCAAATCTCCTTTCACCTTGTCAATCTCAAGTCCTCTTCAGGATTATTCAAGATCTAACGGACGATGTCGTCGTCAATATTGGCGCCTTATACAAAGCATCGGAGGCGGTCGCACTGCTAGACCTTCTCTGGTCGTTCGCCCACGCTTCGATCTGTAAGCCTTTCGCCATTTCCCATGCCCGAAATTATCTGACCTTCTTATATAGTACGCAATTATGGTGTGTATCGGGACCTTATGTCAATCAGTCCACTTAGGCAGCATCGTAGTACGCCCGGAATTTACAGGGACCCTTGCCATCAAAGGGGGTCGTCATCCTGTCCTGGAATGCGTACAGTCTGCTGGCGCGACTATTCCCAACGATGTATATTGCTGTGAAGCCTCTTCATTTCAGATCGTTCAAGGCCCTAAGTGCGCCTTCTGTCCTCCCAAGGGTCTATCGCCAGGTTGACATAGGCGTGTCCCAGTATGTCGGGCAAAAGCACTTACCTACGGCAGATCGCCCTTTTGACAGTGATGGCGATGTGCGGTTGTTTCATCCCAGCCGAATATGGATCCTTTAGGTATGTTGCCATGTACCGTCCTTGGTAGCCGCGCTTCGTCCCTCATGCAACCTCGTTAGGATTCACGATCATCTGCTTACACGACTCTCGAACGACGATGATCTCGAGAGGAATCTTAGCACCTTCGCAAGCGAGATGGCCTCAACTGCAATGATCCTTGGTAAGCATAATCACATGAAGACATGGGTTCATTATGCTGAAGGAGCTCAGGTCTCGCGACGGAGAATTCTCTTGTTCTCATCGACGAAGTGGGGCGCGGCACTTCTGTGAGAGAAGGTGTAGCTATCTCGCATGCAATCGCGGAGGAACTCATACGACTGAAGGTCTGTATGCTCTGTTATCGCACCCCTGTTTCTTTCTCATGAGTCACTGCGATAGTCTTTCGTCTTCTTTGCAACGTGAGAGGTCATGAGGCGATTGCCAGACCAGCGCAACTTAACATCTCGCCGCCAGGCACTTCCACGAGCTCACAACCACGCTCTCACGACAGCCGTCTGTGATCAAGTAAGCTTCATTCAGCCATGCACTTAACAGGCCTTATATCATTGCTTCGCTTGTAGTCTGCATTTGTCAGTTCAGGTGCCCCTGCCCACATCCTTTGACAGGTGAAGCCATGTAGCTCACTTCACCTCTAATCTCAGAAATCGCGGCCGACAGCTTCAAAATTCGGCATCACCTTCCACTACAAGTGAGGTCTAACCCATCTTACTGTACCAGACACAGACCTTACGCAATCCCTAGGATTGTTGATGGCGCTTCCGATCTCCAGGACCACTACGGTATGTATGGTAATTGACTAGATGTAGTGTCACTGCTCAGTGGTCTTATAGGCTTGGACCTTGCCCGCCTGGCTGACCTGCCAGAGTCGGTCATCTCCGAAGCACGACGTGTCGCTGAATATCTTGCCGACCGAGAGGAGCGCGACCAGCGGCAGAGCAAGACGAGCAAGCTTGCCTTGCGTCGTAAGGCGCTCCTTCGGGTAACAATCTCCAATACGTATCACATTATACCAGCTGAATACACCGCTACCGATGCTTCGCGCTCAGTTACGTACTCAACTGGGACAAGCCCTTGATCATTCCAGCTTGCCAGACGAGGAGCTTGCAACCTATCTCGCCCGAATGCAGAAGGAGATAGCAACGGTCCTCCAAGAAACGATGTGAGCTAGACTGCCGCAGGTGCTCCTCGTAGCGATGAAGTGAGCGCCCCAACTTTTGATCTGAACACTCGAAGAACAACTGGCCAGTCCTTTCGTAAGGGTACATCGCCGGGGTCCTCGGCCCTCGACGAAGGCGTCCATGGCTATGGGAACGTGGGAGGACGCTGCGGAAAGAACATGGTCAGCAATGTTGATCTTGATCCTCCGTCGTCCATAAGATTGTCGCAGTCGCAGTCCCATGTATCCATTACAAACCAAAGTATCAATCCAATGCATAGACATACGAGTCGCATATGTCAGATCTGGGTCCTACGACATGAACCGAGCAAAGAGGTCCTCGATTTTGGCCTCCTTCCACCTCTTCTCAGTGACCCTAAGCACATCGGGGAACCACTCCCTGGTTTCCTCATCCCGGTCCAGGACCATGTATGCGAGCGCCTTGCCGCTCATCCATGCATGCACCATCCCTTCTCCTGTGTACCCCGCAGCGACCCACTCTCCCGGCGCGGCCGTCCGCACACTCTTATCCCTCTCCTGTAATGTCTTCGGCTGCGCGCGCCCGGACACCTTCTCCGGCAACCTCCCAACCCACGGCAGCATGTCCGCCGAGATCCCCAAAATCCCGCTCCACTCTGCCTTCGTCCTCTCCTCACCCCATATCTCACCCTCCTCTGGTGCGGGGGACGCATCTCGCCCCCAATTGCGCGTCCCGAAATATCGCGGGAGGGCCCCAGCGAGGTAGCTCTGGTTGACATGATTGACGACGCTGTCGTCCGCGATGCCAATCTCAGGCAGGCCATTCGCGTCACAGGCCGTGGCCCACCCTCCGCCGAACATGAGCTCGTGCTCGCCCGAGGGGAGCTGCGTGAGGTAGTCGTAGCCGACGCCTTCGCGGTAGAACACGAACGAGCGGAAGCCCGAGAGCGTCGAGCGGTGCAGCGCGGTGCCCGGGCGCTGGGCGGACATGTTGCCGCGTGCGGGAGCGATCTTCGTGAGGAGGGGCCGCACTAGATGCGCGGTCCAGCCGTTTGTCGCGTGGACTACGTGCTTTGCGCGCAGGGTGCCGCGCGACGTGTGGATTACGTAGGAAGACGAAGAGGCATCTGTGGTGACTGCTGTGCAGGGTGTGTGGGAGAAGATGCGGAAGCTGAGATGTAAGACAAGTCAAGGTGCGAGCATTGTGAGAGGAGATTTGTGCGGCTCACTTGTTGGGGTGACGGTCCAACAGAATAGAAAGGAGGGATGTCACAAAACGGTAGGGGTGCATTGCACCTCCCGTGTTAGAGATGCAGCCGACAACGTCATCAGAAAGGTGATATTTCTGACAAGAGACGTTAGCGACGAGCAGCGCGGAGGTGCATGAGGGGTCTCGCCTTGATCGCCTCCTCCCTTTCGTGGACGACGAAGGAGCTCGACTCGAGAGGCATCTCCGCCTTCCATTTCGCCAGGTTCTCCACTGCCTCGGCGAAAACCGTCGGACAGGTATAGACGTCAAGATGCTCCGTCTCGCGGACTTGAGACTGCTTTTGGATGTCCTCCTCAGATGCAATTCGCTGCATCTCAGTGATATGGGATCGCCGGAAGGCGACCATGACCTTGGCGACGTGCTCGCCGTGTTTCTTTTTCAAATCCATGTAGTCATGATAGAGCGGCGGGTTGATATGCCCGCCATTCCTGCGATAGTCCTCGTCAGCATCAGCGTCGATGCTTTGGCTTGCTTGCAAGTTTCTGCAGCGTATACCTGCCAGTAGCTCCCGAGCAGACGGCGCGCGCTTCGAGCATGACGACCTTGAGCCCAGGAGATGTCAAGGCATTGTAGGCGAACGACGTTCCAGTGATGCCAGATCCGACGATGACTATGTCGGCATACTCGGGAAGCTCTCCATGATCCTCCTGTGGGATCTGAGCAGCAGGAACGGTCCAAAGGGGGAGGGTGGGGTTATGAACGGGGAGACCTGGGGATGTCTCTATTCGCTTTTTGAGCACTTCAAATGTCTTGCGGAGTTGAAGTGTGGCGTAGAAGAAGAGCTTTGCGGTGGATACGAGAGCACCCATGGCGGGCGACCACGACGTCGATGGGGAAGGCGAGTGATGTTCTCCCGGCAAGCCTGGTCCCAAACGCTCCCGCCTCCTATTCCCACCTTGATCCACACCTATCTCAATAACCGCACCGATATACCCCACATGAGTATGTAGCTTGCTAAGCAACGATGACAACCCGCTCCGTCAATGGTACACCTTTCCGACGATACTGTGCATAGAGCACGACAGCTGCAAGCTCTACCGCAGTTGTAAGCACGCCTCGTGGCAACTGCCCGCGCTTGTGATCTACAGCCTTGCGATGACGTCGAGGTCCTCAAGTTCATGTACGGTAGCAAGTCCACGCCATATATTATGTTCTGTTACTCATTGCATCAATGGTCTTTGCGGTCAGCGTGGCAAGCGCAGAAGCCATAGCCTTTCAATCTATGTAGCACAAAATGGATGTTCCGAACACGCTGCGTAATGTGCGTAACCCGCTACAAGCATTCACGCATAACCGTTCTTTCCTGGAACTACTCCAGCCGCAGGCCTTCCCTTCCCAAACATGTTCCTGATATCCCTCACAAGCTCCTCGGGCTCCTCGTGCGCCGCAAAGTGCCCTCCATGCGAGTGGACCGACTCGAACACCAGATTGCCCAGGGTTTGAAGCCACCTGCCACAGAACATCAGCTTTTGCTTTTCAGATCAGCAAGCCGACCTAAATATGTGATCTAACTTTCTCGGGACCTGGTTCAGCTCCTTCGGGAAGGCCGAATACCCGAAAGGAATAGACGTCCACTGAACGCCCACCACGGCCGGCCGTCTGAAGCCGTCAGTCATCTCCTTGTATATTCTGACGGAGGCCGCAGGCCCGGCACGGGAGAACCAATAAATAGATACCCATTCGAGGACTTGTGCGAAACTATTTAAGTGCCCTTCGACAGAGCTATGACCGTCGAGACACACCTTCATCATCCTCCCAAGGGTAAGCGTCGGTCCACGTAACTAGTTTCTCGTAAATCCACGCCAGGAGACCAACAGGCGAGTCAGCAAGGGAGTAGCCAATGGTCTGTGGCCGCGTAGCCTGTTCGTGAGAGTAGCCGCTGCCCTGCTGTCTGAAACCTGCAGTAAGTTGTAGACCTCGCTTCTCTCGCGCGGTGTATGGAGTAATCAGGTGCGTGAGGTAGAGCCAAGGGAACGTCCCAAAAGAAGGCGGCTGTGCGCTGATTACAGAGACCATGAGTTGAAGCCGTAGGAATGCATGGAACGGACACGGTACTTTGTGTAGTTAGAGAGCCAGTCTTTGACGTGAGTGTGGGCGTAGAAGGTAGCTAAGTAGCCAGCGATCTTGAGAGGTTAAGATAAGTTTCACATTGTAATCGTATGTGCGCGACTGACGTAATGGCCCCAATCTCCTCCTTGGACAACTGGATGTGCAACGTACTGAGTATAGCAGGAGCTATGGGCGGGAGCTCAGGCGTACCGTATTCGTTGTAACCGAGGCTGATCATGAGCTTGTTTGCCACCTGGACGAGGCGACTGTGTGTGAGGGCAACAGACAGACTACTTCATGCGAACATGCTCGTACCTCAGCATACTGGCGCGCAGCAAACCCTTGCTTCGTCGGGGCCTCAGAGAACCCGAAACCAGGAAGACTTAGGGCGACGACGTGGAAACTGGGCTGATCCGGAGTGTCGGATGTCAACAACGGGAGTATCCTTCTGACCTCCAAAAAGTGCCCAGGCCCTAGACACTAATTCGTCAGCGCGCCGGAAGCTGAGCTATAGACTATGCAATATGCGAGAACTCACAGCCATGGATGAACAAGAGCGGGATGGCGCTGTCGAGCCGACTGCGCTGGTGTACGTAGTGGATATTCAAGGTGCCGAATCCTTCTACGTCAATGTCGCGGGTGTATTGCGGAATTTTGTTGATCTCGGCTTCAGATTTGCGCCAATCGAACTCGTCCTTCCAGCGGGCCACGAGCCGTTTGACGTGTGCGAGTGGTACTCCATAATTCCAGCCTGCATCCTCCAGTTCGTCAGGGAAGCGGGTTGTCTCGAGCTTTTGACGCAATAGTTCGATGTCCACTTCAGGCACAGAAAGCAGGAAAGGAGTCTCTGTTGTCGCCATTCTAAGTGACCAGAAGGGCAGGTGTAGGCAGACAGATAATGGCTGTCAAGAAGACACGGCGCAGGAAGCTGTAGCCCGTAGTCGCGTTATATGCGACCGTGACCGCGCTATTAGTATGTACTTGCGTCATGAAAGAAGCGCTGGCGAATACGGGCCGCGGTTCAAGTACCGCCGTGAGCTACAGAACATGACAATGATCATCAGCAATACACGGGACCGCCAGTTACTCACTGCTTGATTCGACTTGAAACGTTATACCTGTCGATACCACCTTGACGCCAGCATGTGTAGTCCTCTGCATTGTTCAAACCTCGGACACCCCTACAAGTGGCAGCCCTGGCCGGCCAGCTTGTAGGCTGAAGCGCAAATAGCAAGAAAATTCCTGCACCTCCTAGTCGTTCGCAAAAACGCTCTGTACGTTGTGCTCCTCGATTGTCCTCGAGTGCTTTAGTATGACATCGAGGGGGTGTTCAGGGTCGCCGCGCTGCGAGCGGCGAGATCGAGGCTCCACTGGCGGTCAACATACATACATTCTGATGTAGACATGGGATGCGCAACGGAGCAAGGACCATCAGCATACAATATCTACAGTTCAAAATCATCTGGAACGATATCCTGTACACGGCGACCCCAAACTGTCCCATTGTCTGCTGCAGACCACAACATCGTCCCATCAGGGGTGAACGCGACTTCCCAGACCGCCTCACCGTGGTCGGAAAGGGTCGCCAAACACGATCCATCGCCCGTCCTCCACACCCTCACCGTCTTGTCAACAGATGCAGAGGCGATGTACCTCCCGCACGGGGAGAAGCACGCCTTGTGCACCCGACCCTTGTGTCCGTCAAGCGACCGGACCACGGCACCTGTGCGTGCATCCGATATCTTCATCGTCTTGTCCCATGACGCCGACAGGAGTAGCCGACCATCGGGGGAAAACACCACATCATGAACGAAAGATTCATGCGCCTCTAAGAGCAGAGGCTCCCGTCTAGCCGCTATATCCCAAACGTGGATGCTCCCACGATAGTATCCAACAGCGACGCGTGTACTCGAGCGACTGAATGCAGCGCTGCAGGGATGATCGGGCCCGCCTCGCTGGAGGGCGAGGTATGTGCCAGATGCAACATCCCAAATGCCAGAGCTGTCCAGATTGTGGGCAAAAAGCCAGTGGCCATCAGGAGAGAATAAGAGCATGTCTTCCTGTCTTTTGTTGGCGCCGTCAAGGGGTAGTGGTTGTAATGTTCGGCCATCCCAGAGTCGTATAGTGCCATCGTTGTCTAGAGCTGCGATGTAAGCACCACTCTCGGACCACGAGCAGCCTCTGAGGGGGGTGGTGTAACCTTCGAGAACGGTGACTTGGTGTGAGCTGCGGCTGATGTCCCAGATGATCACCTTCCCATCTACACCTACGGACGCGAGGTATCGGCTGTCTGGTGAGAATGCAAGATACCAGACCCCTGGGTCATGGGAAAACCACTCTTGCGAGATATTTGTATCTCGGGCATCCCAAAGGATAATGGTTGAATCCCGGGACGCTGTCGCTACCCACCGCCCATCGGAGGAGACGACAAGGGCGGTAGCCCTCGAGTCATGCCCAGGTTTACCAGCTACTCAAGTCAACATCCAACTCAGAATCGCTGCGGGTGGATGAGACTCACTGTATCTGACGTCTGCGGTCAATGCCCATTTCTCGCGCAGTGGACGGAAGCACCTGCAGATCTCGTCCGGCCAGCAGATCGTCTTCCGGACATTCAAAACTGATCCTCCAAGTACTGTCAATAGTACGCGATGGGAGGGAAATCTGAGCAGAACCTCCTCCAATGTGGCGCAGAGCTCCAGGTTGGCAGGTCGACGGCATTCGTTGTACAGATTCCAAACCTTGGAATGCCAGAGGACCAGAGTGACATCTCTCATCGCTGTTTGTTTTGTCCCACGTAAGACTTGGATGGCATGTTGGAGGTCCCTGGTCACGGCTCGTATCCACCATGTTAAGGAAGTCTGGCGATTCTCGCCTGATTGCGGAGGCGACATAGATAATGATTCTGATCCAAATCAATGAGGTATGTCACGGTGGATTGACTAGGAGACGGAATGAATTACGAACGAAAACGTTCCGGAATCGCAAGGGGATCAACGATCTCCAGTTGAGCTATCTGAAACAGGAGCTCTGCAACGCGTTCGTCCTCACATCGAAGTATCTGAAAGGAAACTCAGAGAGTTACGATCAGATTACACGAACGATCATGAAAATGCTCACATTCAGCGTTTGCAGTTGCAGTCGACAAGATAATTTACCTGACACCAGGGGAGCATGTGCATCGATTGACAGACGCTCGCAGGTAAGGTTTTCGATGTTCGGGAAGGCTGAGAGGAGGCGAATGAAGGTGGTTCGCGTTTGGAACCACGCCCCGCGAACCGTTAGGCTCCGAAGGCTAGTCGCGAATTGCCTGCCGCAGAGGGGAGTGGGGTGGCTGAGTTGGGTATCGTCTATTCTGACCAAAGAATTCCTATCGAATGTGACATGACGGAGACCGGGGAGAATGGACAGCAGTGGGAATGGAGAGAAATCGTCCCACGGAAACGACAGAGATTGCACGATAGGCCGGAGGTGCGGCTGAGCTTGGACAGCATCGTAGAAATGAATGAGCTGATTCGGGCTCTGTATGTCGACATCAGTGAAGAGAATGAAGAGACTACGAGGATGGAGCTGGCTGCAGGTAAGAGCGAAAGCGCGCAGTGTGGCCTTGTCGCCGGAACAGAGATCGATGACACTCTCAATGACCTCCCATGGAAGCACTGGGAACTGCAGGGTAGATGAAACCAAAGACGAGAGATGCAGGCAGTTCGCGTTGTTGTCCATAGAACATCGGTCTTAGGGCCGCTCAATTCTTGAGGACGCAGGACGCAGGACGCGTTCAGAGGCCATTGATGGAGGTGATGGGCTAAGCGAGACTAGCCGACGAGCTCGCCTTCGAAACCCCTCGAGCGACGATAACACTCATCCCCCCTCACAAAGTGCCTCAAGGATAATGTCAATCGACGCGGAAAGCCTTCGTCTTCAACATACTCGCGATTCATATTTTTCTGTTAGGTTTGGGACACGACAGACCCCTTGGAAAACAACGGGCACAAGAGATGAGGTTGGTACCTTGCCATATGCGGCAGGTTCGGCTAGCCCATCACATCCATCAGTTGTGCTCTGAGTGCGTCCTGCGTCCTGCGTCCTCAAGAATTGAGCGGCCCTCTTCAGAGGGCAGTATGAATTTGTTGATGGGTCTTGAGAGGTGCGGCTGCTAGCGACGGCTATTCGATATTCAGCTTTTGCCTGATCAGGACAAGAAGATTCGAAGATCAGACACAGGCGCTTATCCCAAACATCCTGTTCCTCCGCTCGATTTGCACCAACGCTCCAGATTCAGGCAACAGCCGTCCTCGTTACAGACAACATCATGGCAAAGAGAAAGCAGCAAGCAGAAAGGGCATCCTCGGACAACGAGTCTGATTCGGAACGGGTATGTCTAGTCCGTCTCCGGAGATGCACCCAAGTACCTCATCTCTCGGCCCGCCAGTAGAGTCTCGTCGATGTCGACTTCGAGTTCTTCGACCCGAACGCGGACATCGATTATCTAGCAACCAAGCGTCTTCTCACTCAGCTCTTCAACGCCGACGCTCAGGACCTCCCTCTACACGACCTTGCCGATCTCATCCTTTCCCAGCCTCTTGTCGGCACAACCGTAAAATGCGATGGGAAGGAGAGCGATCCGTATGCGTTCTTGACCGTGTTGAATCTCAACGTACACAAGGTATGTACCCACGCACCTATAGCCCCTTTATGAATAGCTGGTTCATAGACTCTGGCGCAGGACCGGCCATCCATAAAAGCGCTCATCGCGTACATCCTCGAAAAATCGTCAGCGGACCCCGTCCTCCACTCCAAGCTTCAAACGCTACTAGGGCTGACTGGCTTGGCGTCTTCTGACCACGTCGGTTTCATCTTCTCGGAGCGTCTCATCAACATGCCCGTGCAAATCATGCCGCACATGTACCGGATGCTCGCAGACGAAATCCAATGGGCTCTCGACGACGTATGTCTCTACATTTCTTCGTGTGATCCCCATAAATTGTCATCTTTCGTCCGCACTATGCGTACTGATACACTCATACGGATATGTATAGAACGAGCCGTACGACTTCAAGCATCTCCTCATCATCTCTCGCATCTACCGCCTCACAGCCGAAGAAGCGGCAGAGCTCCAAGCCTCCGCCCCGCCAACGAAACGACAGAAACAATCCAATCCTCCACCTGCAGCGGGGGTGTATCCATTCCACCCCGAGGACAACTATATCCGCAGGGTACGCTACGTCTTTACACGTCTCCGAAGATATATGTCTGATCCCTCGTACACACAGTTCGCCACGCATACGCTGGATTACACCTTTACGCATTCCCAACCAAGGGATGCCGACTCGTTCGGCCTTGACATAGGAGGCCGGATGGCGCTTGTCCCCGCCACGCGCCTCCGCGACCTCGCAGCTACACTCGCAGAAGCGTACCCCCAACCCTCATAGCATGTCTCGTCTGTACACTGTTATATATGTTGTACACCTTACTCTTCCTCGATTGTCTGCAAGGTCAGAGTCTATCCAGATGAAGAGAACCCGAATAGGAGAGCAGTAACAAATGCATTATACATATGAAGGTCGTAAAGGTATCTACGGAACCACAACAGACAACAAGGTGAATAAATCGCATGAGGAACCAGCCGAGTCCATCCCATCCCTTCCCTCGACTCTCGCCTCCGCCCAGTACATAGCGCTGAGTTCGGTACGTTTCGCGCAGCACTACATATTCGCGGCCCTGCTCCTACAAAGACGTTCGACCCTCACCGAGTCGGGATGCCCATCTTGAGCAGCGCCCCGACGATGTCGACGTCGTCCCATCTTGACTCCGCCGCACCAGGGGTGGCGCCCGGGGCTTCCGCAGCTGCTTTCTTCGTCAGTATGTACAGGAGCGTGTTGCGGAAGTGACGCGTGATCATTTCCGGGGTCTGCACGCCTTCGAGCAGCCCAGGCGGGGCGCGCTGGGCGGGGTGCACGTCCGGTGACGCGATGTTGTCGATTGAGGACGTGATGAGCTCGACAAGGCTGTTAACGAACTTTGGCGTGACCTGGAGAAGTCGAGTGGGCGACATAAGTACCATTGAAAGATAACATTGAGAGATGGACGATGCTCACCGCTGGTGCACCCCGGTCGAGGTAGTACAAGTACTGGTCGAGCGTATCGCAGTACAGCTGAATAGTGATGATCTCCTCAGTGGCAGAGTTCGCGATCCGAAGCGCCTTCTGGAGGCACTCCAGGACGCGCTTGCTATCTTGCAGAGGATACTAAAATGACCCGCCCTGTCAAAAGATCATCCAAGCCGAGCTTGTCAAAACGAACACTCACCGCCTTCTTCTCTCCCTCTTCCTTCGTCCCGTTCTGCTTCTCGCCCTCTTTTTCCGCTTCAGCCGGTTCCTCCTCAGGGGGTACCTCCTGCCACCACAGATGACTCGCCAAATTCACCGCGCTCGCCTGGTGAGGCTTCTTGAGTAGCTTCGCACCGTGCAGTGCAGCCTTCGTGATTAGCGTGTCGTAGTTGTCCTCGCTGAACACTCGCGCGCCCTGTAGCGTGCCAATAATGAGGGTGATCGCCTGGAGCTGTGCGCGGCTCTCCGAGATGCTATCCTCGTACACGGTGAATGCGTCGACATACATGTCGTACGTAAGGTTCTCGAACCCGCACTCGTCGGCGACCTGTGCGGCAAGGAGGAAAAGACGAAGCGCGATTGTGGGCGCTTCGACGTTGGAGGAGAGAATCGAGTTGAGTTGGCGGACGAACTTGAGGATCGTGGACACTTTGGACTGCCAGTCGTCCTCGAGGTGCTCGCGGTTCTTGTATCTTCTGCACAGCTTGATCGCAGATGTGATGAGTGCAGGATAAGTGTAGCGCATTCGGTCGCCGCCGGTCTCGAAGTGTCGCCTTGCCGTTTGCAGGACCTGCCGAGAAATGAGTTGTGTTTCCTGATGAATACTGTAGCTCACGCACCTCGAACTGGACATCCAGGTTTTCTGACCGAAAGAGGTGGATCATGCGCGCAACCCAACCCTGCTCCTCAGCCAGTTCCTCCCGCTCGTTGTAATAGGGTCCTCTCCGGGGGTCCTTCCCGCCCAATTGCTGAGCGTGCATGGGACCAGTCGCAGCATCTTGCTGATCACGGATGAGAACGTGACACAGCTCAAGGATGCCATTGACATCCTCAGGCGTCTCAATGACGGTCTCGTTCTTTAGAACAGAGGAGACGAGGGAATGGGCGAGTGTACGTCGTGTTGAGTACGGCTGCTGTGTGAGGAGCGCAGTATACTGCTGTAGTGCGAGGAGGGTGAGGACTGATTGGTAGGAGTTGATGGGCGCATTGAGCAGTGCGGAAAGGTTAGCAGTCGTTTGCGGATGGTGCAGGTCAGGGCTGTGATTCTTCCTCTTCAGCAACGCCTTTGATGAGAATTCATGTGCTTACCTGTCTTTGAACTCCGTGATTTTCTCTGCCGCAAATCCGAGAATCTGATCCACATATTCGAGTCGATCCGGATAACAGCTTAGTGACAGGTTTGTTAGCGAAACCAAAAGGGCGGTTATATCCTGTATTGAGAGGTCCGGACGAGCCTATACGAGCATAACATGAGCAACTAAATGAGGTGCTCACGGACAAATCACTCACTTTGATAAGCTCTACCACTTGATGCCAGAATACCTCGAACAGCTTCACGTTCTCCGGAACACCTCTGAACTTCTTGACCTGCTCCGGCTCCGGCTCCAACTTCTCCTTCTCCTTGCCCTTCCCATCCTTCCCCCCCTTCTCCTCCTCACCACCTTCAGCAGTACCGTTGCCATTCACAACGGGAGACGTCGCCTCTTGAGACTTTTCGGCGGCTACAGGGCTCGTGGGCGGCGAACCCCACTCGTTGTTAAGCGTCGGTGCCGATTCGCTTACGGGGGACGATACGCCCTCGTCGTTATGTCGCAGGCCTCGCGCTTGCTTGACCTTCTCGGCCAGACGACGGGCCGCGGCCTCCTCCTGCCTTTTCGTCTCTTCGGGATCCTCGTTCTCCGCCTCACGCGCTGCGTATGCGGCCAGTCGGTCGATCAGCGCGATGACAATCTGCTTGATATTGACCTTGGGGTGTAGTTGTGCGGTGGCGGAGAGGAAGGGACCGAGGGTGTAGAGGTGGAACTCGTCGATGAAGACCTGGTAGCATACGCGCGTTGGGACAATGCGCCAGATTGGGTGCCTCAAGACGACGACGTACTTGGATAACGACCTCCATGAGGTACTCTTGCGCAATAACGTCCTTGCAAACGACAATTTGCTGCAGGATGCTAGGAAGTATTATCTTCTGATACATGTCGAGGTCAACGCCTTCTAACTGGCTCAGGCGGACGAGGTTCGTGCCGACGAGGATGCGCAGCTCCTTACGCTCCATTTCCCTCTTCTCGCGATCTCTTGAATGGCCTTGGTGCTGAAGTCGTACCCATAGCTTGTTCATCTCGATGAAGTTGGTGAGCACGAAGTTAATAGAGTCCTGGAGGTTGCCCTTGGGACTGCACGCGAAGTGCTTGTCGGTACAGTGAGCCGAGCATGAAGAGTAAAGTACGCACCCAGCATCATCCCCGATAGGTAGGTGATCCCTCGTCTGACCGCTAAGGTAATGGCGCAGGAACAACCCTCTGATGGGATGCAGCACTCCGCGAGACATCTCCAGCATGTCCTTCATGACCTCCTTCACGGGTGCGTCGGGAATAGACATGTACACGGAACCGACAGTGATCATGAGGTACAGACGGGGGACAATGTTTCCGGCATATTGTACAAGTTCGTAGAGATCGGCGAGGTGGTGTCGGTTTTGGACGTGTGCGTCATATAGATAGTTGGATAAGTGACGAAGGGCATCGAAGACAGCCATATCTTATGGAGTTCGTGAGCTTGCGACAAGAACGCGAAGAGGGAGTAATGACGTACAAAGCTCATAGTATTGTTTGGGCGAGAGCGAGGATGTGCGAAGCTCGGCCAGCATCAAGCTCGCGCTCTTGAGCGCGTCCATTAGCTGGTCGAGTTCCTACAGTACGTCATGCAGGATGAGATACAGAGTAAGTCGTACATAAGACGCGTACATACCAGATGCCGCTTCATCTGTTGGACTTGAATCTTCACGGTACTCAGGGATTCACTGAGCAACTTGCCCTCCTCCACAGGTGCTATGGTTGGTCCGGACACGGACATTCTTGCGAAACCTTATCCGGCAGGTCCAGCAAATAGAGAGAGGACGCTGCCAGGCAACGTCGAGGTAGTGGCCGAAATGGACGTGGACGGTGAATGACGAAGAGGTGGCCTGTCTGCGCAATCCCTAGCCAGGGCGAGCGCGCTCTTGCCTCTTACGGTAACTCTCCGCCACCGTCTCTCCAGCTGCGCATGCGGCCCAGTTCTCACCGCGTTCACCAGCGTCCAACGTTCACTCGTGTTCATCCTCAACTTCCCCATCTGATCGCTATCCGAGTGGCATTGATATAGGCGTACAGTCACCCAGAAACGACTTCTTCTCAAGCTGCAGACGCACACCAACAGTCCAGTATACCCACAACAGCTGTCATTCAAACATGCAACAGCTATCAATAAACATGGGCACTGGCGAGACGTTATAATACTGTAGTACTGATGGAGTCAATTAATCTACATGGTTTGCGTTGTGAGAGAGCTAGATCACGATGAAGTTCGACTAAGGTCAAGAATCCCTGTGGCGTGTACTATATATACTGAGTTTCAATCCCAAGACGGCGACGTGCTGTACGAGTGTCCGCGGTTCGTCGTTCCATTCTGATTCTGCGCTGGGCTGGACGGCGACCATTGCGGCGACGTCGGGCTGTAAGCAGGCGACGCGGGGGAATATGCGGGGGAGGTGGGGGAGTAGGCAGGGGAAGTGGGTGCTGCGAATCATGGTCAGGGATCATGCATTATGTACGTAGAACGACGAGTGCTGCTTACAATATCTCGGTGACGCCGGCGAGGTTGGGGAGGTAGGTGAGTATTTGGGCGACGTGGGCGACATCTGTGCGGGAGCTGATATGCAGAAGGGTTAGATCGGACAGGTATGTCAGGGTAAGCCGAGCACTTACAAGTCGGTGAGTATCGCGGAGAAGCAGGCGAGAACGAGGGGCTCGTAGGCGAGTAGCGAGGAGAGGTAGGGCTGAAGGACGGGGACTGGGGGCTGTAGCGGGGCGAGGTAGGGGAGAAGGAGGGAGAGGTCGGGGAGTAGCGCGGGCTCGTTGGCGAGTACCCAGGCGACGTGAGGTTCAGCGCAGGCGACGTCGGTGAGTACGTCGGCGAGGTCGCGCCGTGACTGCGGTCGTAGAATGGCGAGGTCGCGTAGGGCGAAGTGCCCATAGGTGAGGTCGCACCTGCAAATGGCGACTGCGCAAGGTACGGCGACGTGGGCGAGTACGCGTTGGGCGAGCTTGGACTGTAGCCGGCCCCTGCAGGCGACATCGCTCCGTGTGCACCCATGGGGCTTATGCCGAAGCCCGTGAGGTTGTAAGACGCCGGTGCCTCCTCACCGCCGTTGACGGCTAGAGGCGAGAACGCGGCGGTCTCGCCCTTGAATGACACGTCCTGGGCCCACATTGGCGAGTTGCTGTCGTACGGCGTCATCGCGACCTGACCAGGGGTCATACCACCGTCGGCCTGCGCTGCGAGCATCGTTTGCACTGGCAAGCGGTGGTCAACAATGACGTCCTTCAACATGTCGATGTCGAGGGCGACTTCGAAAGCGCCTGTACCCATAGGTGCCATCTGTCCGAACAAGATGTTCTCGGCAATACCGTGACAGTCGTCCTTCTCTCCAACTGCGGCGGCCTCCATGAGAATCTCGACCGTCTCCTCGAACGAACAACGCATGAGCGCGCCCGTGTCCGCGCGGTTGATACCGTGGCGAGTGATGGCCATGAGTGTGCCGCGATGTGTCATGAGGTCGCAGAGGAGCGCGAGATGGCGGTAGTTAACGTACGAACCGTCGAATTCGATGACATTTCGGAGTTCCTTCATGATGGCAGCACGAGCTGCTTCAATACCCAAGACGTCGAAGACCTCGACGCAGTTGTTGGAGTATGTCCGCTTGAAGTCAACACCGTCGATGCACATGACGGTCTTCAAATTGACACCGTCCGTCTCGAGCACCCACTCCTTCTCCGAACGCGCCTCGATGCTTCCCGTCGGCGAGATGTTGATCTTGTCGTGCTCCAGCAAGAAGGCACGCTGGATACCCGGGACACCGCGAAGCTCGACAGAGTTCAGCATGGTGTTCTCGAGTTGCCGCAGGAAGATGTCCTCTTCAACCTGTCCTAAGTCGTCCTCGTCTTTGTCGGCACCACCGAGTACTCGACACCGGACAACGAGCTTCTCAGAGTTGTCCTCACTCCAGATCACGAAAAGGTCCGTCTTGAAGCTCTGCGCGATCCGATTCGCGACGTAGGTCATCGTCAGCTTGCGATCGATCATCTTCGCACGGTCAAGCTCCAGACGGAGCAGCCAGGGCGACATAAGGTGCAGCTTCTGCTCGACTTCCTCGTCAGGAATGGCAAAGAAGGCATGAACGAAGTCCTCGTCATCCGGGATGATGGTGGAGCTCGGGTCGGGGTCGTACCAGATCTCGACGGCGGCAGTGACAGTGCGAAGGGAGGTGAACGCGAGCTCCTGCTGCACATTCTTGGCCAGCAACGCATCCCTCGCAAATTCCGGCTCGAGGTAGACGTTGAGCGAGGGCGTCTTGATGTTCGTCGCGACATTGATGATCTCCTTGAGACGTGGAACACCCAGCGTGACATTCTTGCTCGATACACCAGCGTAGTGGAACGTGTTCAATGTCATCTGGGTTGCCGGCTCACCGATCGACTGCGCTGCGAGAGTACCACACATCTCGCCGGGGTGTGCGACTGCCTGGTTGAACTTGGTCTCAACTTCACCAAGCACCCACTCAAACGCCTCGCGGTTGAGGTGGTAGCGTTCAAGCACACGGCGAGTGGCAAATGTCGCACGAAGGTGCATGCGGAATAGGAGCGTCGCGTTGAGCTGGGCCTCCTTGGATAGCGAACCTTCGCCGCGCACCACCACAAGCCGGTTGCACAACTCGCGGACGGAATCGATGATGTAGGTGGGTTCGAGGTCGCTCGGCTTCCGTCTGTCAATGTGGAAGATCTGGATCGCGTTTTGAACGATGCGCTGGAGGTTGACGGGAAGGTAACGAGGGGCGGCGGGGTCAGTGCTAGGGAAAATCCAGGTGCGAAGTAGCTGTCGATCCTCAGTTAGCTGGGCGAACTCCTCGTCCAACTTCGCCTGAAGTTCGAGGGAGCTGTCGTCTAGCCCCGCCTGCAGCACGCCAGGAAGGAAGCCGCCTTGAGGGTCCGTGACGTCGACACGGAAGTCGTGCTCGAACTGCGTGTTGTTCAGAGCGAACGTCTCGATGTTCTGTCGCTCGATGAACGCGCCGTCCATACCGTCTTCTCCGTAGATGAACTGGATAAGGTCACCGAGCGAGTTGCGGACCGTGCCGTCATAGCAGACTTGCACGTCCTCGAGGGCCTTCACCAGACGTCGCTGGATGTAACCCGTCTCAGCCGTCTTGACGGCGGTATCGATGAGACCTTCACGACCAGCCATAGCGTGGAAGAAAAACTCCTGGGGAGTGAGACCCCGCAAATACGAGTTCTCGACGAACCCACGCGCCTCCGGACTGAAGTCATCCTTGGTGAAGTGGGGCAAGGTACGATGGCGGAAACCAAATGGGATGCGCTTTCCCTCGACCGACTGCTGCCCGACACAAACGGACATCTGTGAGATGTTGATGAAGGAACCCTTCGAACCCGCGACCACCATCTGCTTGACGTTGTTGTCCTCCTTGAGATGCTTCTGGGCATACTGACCGCTGTGGTCACGCGCCAGATTGAGCTCGCGCTCGACCTTCTTCTCGAACGACTCGCGGATCGTCATACCGGGTGAAGGCCTGAGACGATCGTGGTAAGCGTCGTCCATGATCTGAAGGACGTTCTGCTTGCGCTCCGCGATCTGCTTCTGGATGTAGTCCATTGTCCCTCTGTCCGCGATTGTGTCACCGATACCAATACTGAAGCCGTTGTGGAACAACCAGTAGTTGACAACCTGCTGAAGACCCGTAAAAAGCGTCCTCGTCGCCTCGGGGCCCTTCTCGCGGAATACGACGTGGACGAGTCCTCCTTGTGAGGCGCCGACAGTCTTCTTCTCCACGACTCCGAAGACGATATCGCCGTTCTCGATCATCATGCCGTCGTCGAATACCGGGTTGTTAGATTTCGGGTCGGGGGCACGGAAGATGTTGATACCACGAGGAATACACATGCTGAGCAACTGCTTGCCTGTCCACATGGGCTTAGGCTTGATGATAGCAGGTGTCGGCACAGTGCCATCCCAGTCCGGAACCCACAGCAGGATGTTCTGGACTTGGTTCCAGTCCAAGAACGTGTCACGTAACGTGAACTTCCTGATACCGCAAAGCGTGTCCTGGACGATACCCATAACCGGCTTATTGGCCTGCGGCGAAATGATCTGCCGAGGTACCCAAGCAATTTGTGAGAGCTCTGCTCGCGTCTCTTCGCTCTGGGGCACGTGCATGTTCATCTCGTCGCCGTCAAAATCGGCGTTGTACGGAGGCGTACTGTACTGACAGTCAGTCACGTCGAAGGACTTGGAGCTAGGTATCAACATACACGGAGAGGTTCAGTCGGAAGGCTACGCCACAAGGTTAGCGCGGTGTAAGATACGCAATGAAGACACAGATACTCACTGGAGTAAGGCATGAGCCGGACTCGGTGGCTCATCATACTCATCTTGTGCAAACTAGGCTGCCGGTTGAATAGCACGAAGCTAGAAGGCAAACGATTAGACGTGTTTGTGTCAGCCGATTATAGGTGTACTCACTCTCCGTCTTTGAGATGCCGCTCAACGATCCATCCGTATTGCAAGAAAGCATCGGCACGCTTGTTGTACCGGAGGTCTATTCGCTCTCCAGTATCGCGTACAACGTATCTTGCACCAGGGTAGACGGTGGGTCCGTTCCGCACAAGCTCCTGAAGGTATGCGATATTATATGGCGTCACTGTCTCCGAGTCAGCTGTGGCACTGATGTCAGGCTAGGTCTCGCCAACTCACCTCGCTCGGGGAAAGTCAGGTTCATGGCAATGCTCCTCGGCACACCAACCTCGTCCAACTCGAGGTTAGGATCGCCGGTGATGACCGTACGAGCAGAGAAATCGACACGCTTCCCCATGAGGTTACCACGAAGGCGACCCTCCTTCCCCTTCAGGCGAGCGCGGATGGCCTTTACTGGACGACCCGACTTCTGCAAAGCTTGGGGAATACCCGCGATGTCATTGTCCATGTACGTTGCGACATGAAACTACTGGAAATCAGCAAAGAAGTCAGACGTCTCAGGCAAGCATGCGTACCTGCAGCAATTGCTCGAACTCGTTAATGACGTGCGCCGGCGCACCCTCTTGCTCACATCGTCGTACATTAGCTGAGGCCTTGATGATGTCGCCCAGCTTGTACGTGAGGTCGTCCTCACTGCGCATGGTACCACCATCAACCGCGATACTGGGCCGAACGGGCGGAGGAGGTACGGGGAGCACTGTCAGAATCATCCATTCTGGTCGCGCGTAGTCGACCGAGAGCCCGAGGAGATGTAGATCCGATTCTGATATCTTCTTCAATGCGGTGTACACCTCGTGCGGTGGGAACAACCGCTTGTCAGGCTGCAACGACTTAACATCCTACAAAGGATGAGATAGGAACCACGTAGAGCCAGACTGGCACATACCTCGTCTTCGTCCTTCCCACGCTTGTACTGAACGAACAATTTGAGACCCTCCTTCCTTATCAGAGGCTGCTGAGCCCCGCAACCGCCATGGCCCTTCTTGGGCTCGTCCTGATCGCCCCCTTCGTTCTCGTCCTTCGGCTCATCGGGCTCGCATATCATTTTGCTTTTGCAGTAGTTCCAGACGGCTTGCATACGCGCCTTCGGATCGCGGACGTGCCTGATGCGATCCGCAAAGGCAGGGTCGGACTTACAATATGAAAGGCCAATAGCATTGGAATAAAGGTTGTGGGCAGGAATATGCAGGTGAAAATGTCAGCATGACGCTCGAGACAGTGAGATGGTACACTGTCTGCATTGACAGCGAAGGCGGCATGCGATCTGCATCTCAAAAAGCCAATACAATAACAGGGGGCTACATCAATCGAGTATCAAGTGCAACGCCCAAGACATGCCCCTCAATCTGCGTCACAGCGAGGGCAGTCGAGCATCCATCTGAGCAGCTCGCAAGCGAGCCTACCCTTTATTTTTTCCGCACTCCTCGCTCAGCCCCCCATTTCACCACGCACCGCGTGTCCAACCATGACCGGACGACTGCAGTGGACCGCGCGGCGATCAAGCGACCGAAAACGCGCGCGGACCTCGTCGCGGGTGGAAGAACGCCTCGATTGTCGAGGACAGACGCAGTACGGGTTTGGGGTTCTCCATGGGTCTGGAGAGAGCCCCGAGAAATTTGGGTGGTGGGGTGCGAAACGAGAGGGAGGAACGAAACGGTCACTCACGCTATCAGCCTTCAGACGACCGCAATTAACACATATGCACTCTAGAATCTTCTTCACTTTCACGATGAAGCCTGGATGTGCGAGATGAGGTGATTAAGCGTTGGACGCTACCATAGCCACTCACCAGGATGGAAAACGGGTCTCGCCAGCTCGATGTGCCCAAAGTGACCTGGACACTCCGACATCCCCTCTCCACACGTCTGACACTTGAAGTTACGGTCTATTGTTCCCATTCTAGGATCCATCAGGCCTCCCATCTTGGGTTTGTGCGTGGTTTCGTCCATGACTTCGGGATGTTCAATCTTGGCGACAGAATACGCTTTCTGTCGTTGGTCATCAAAAACGCGTTGAAAATGCAAGAAAAGGACAGAACCACGTACTATCTCCTCTGGAGAGAGGATACCAAACTGAACCTCCCGTACTTTGCGGACAGGTGCCGCAGAGTACGCGAACTGGTGGCCTAGCATGGTGGGCGACAGGGGACAGGAAAAGGAGACGGGAAGAGCACGCAGAAGGTGTCAGCAGAGCAAAAAGAGACCCCCAGGTATAGAAGACGGCGAGAGAGAGAAGTAGAAGGACGGAGGATGGGGGGAGACCAACGTCGTCGACGTGGTCGAGGACAAGGAGCAGGTGGACTCAGCCAACGCTCACGACGCCGGAACCGCGACTCAGTGACAAAGCAGTCACAGTCGCCGTCACGCGCTACCCCCGCAGCCTTGGCCGTCTCAGCCAGGCGCCGCTCCCTCACAAACCGACGACCACCTGGTTGCTTCCAATTCACAATGACTTCATATCTCAGTTCGTTACTTTGGGGAACCTCTCAGCTTGACGATGCCATTGGTATGTCTCCTACAATCCCGTTGTGGCGGTCCATTCAACTCGCCTCGATCTCCAGACAAGGCAACCTCCGAGTTGCTGCCAAGCGGTTCAGAAGATATCGCCCTCAACCTTGAGATATGCGACCAGATCCGTTCCAAGTCCGTCCAGCCTAAGGATGCTATGCGCGCCCTCAAGCGGCGACTTGGCCACAAGAACCCCAACGTCCAGTTACTCGCACTCAGCGTACGTGTACCAAGCGCGCAGTCGTTACTCAGCCTTGCTCATACACATTTCAGTTGACCGACGTCTGTGTCAAGAATGGCGGCGACCCCTTCCTTGCGGAGATCGCCTCCAGGGAGTTCATGGATAACCTCGTCTCGATACTCAAGATGCCCACTCTGAATCATGACGTCAAGAACAAGATCCTCCGCTACGTGCAGGACTGGGCGACCGCGTTCGAGGGCAAGCCAAGTTTGAGTTACGTGGGCGAGGTGTATAAGACACTCCAGCGCGAAGGTAAGTGTCGCAGAGTGACAACAGAGCTGGTGTCGTAACGCAGCCTGTCCTCTCAGGCTTCAACTTTCCTCCCCGTGATCCCGCTGTCACTGCATCAGCAATGGTGGACACCCAGACAGCGCCCGAATGGATTGATTCGGACGTTTGCCTTCGCTGTCGGACACCTTTCACGTTTACAAACCGCAAGCACCATTGTCGCAACTGCGGCCAGGTCTTTGACCAAGCATGTTCGTCCAAGTCTATGCCCTTGCCACACTTCGGCATCACGCAGGAGGTTCGAGTGTGTGATACGTGTTACAACAAGCTTCACAAGAAGGCCCACAAGTATGTCCGAAATGAAATCTGTTCTACCTTCCTATCTTGACAATGGCTGTCCACAGGACCCACAGATCATCCCAAAGCGTCTCGACCTCGCGACACCGCTCCGCTCGCGACCTATATGACTCTGAACTGCAACGTGCGATTCAGCTATCTCTCGAAGAAGTTGGCGCGGCTGGTGGTCGTCGCCCTGGCTACGTCCCTTCCCCTTCATCCTGGCAAACGTCTGAGCCACCGCTGGTTGACAATTCTACGCGCTCTTACGCATCCTCGTCATACTCTCGAGAAGAAGAGGATGATCCGGACCTTAAGGCTGCCATCGAGGCTAGCTTGCGCGAGGCAAACGCGCCTAAGCCTAGCGCACCGATTGTGATTGACGCGTCAGAGAGGTTCATGGCGGAACAGCAAGTCACTCCCAGATATGCTCAGTCGTATCCTCCTTCGAGCGCAACGCCGAAGCCACGATTACCTACTATACCCAATTACGACCTAGAGGTGCTGGAAACGGACGCCATCTTGACGTTCAATCAAACGGTGGAGCAAGTCCAGGCTCAGGGGGGAAGGGACTTGTCTAGATATCCCGCGGTAACAGAGCTGTACGACAAGGCAAACGCGCTGAGGCCCAAGCTTGCAATGAGCTTGAACGATACCAGTCGTAAAGAGCGTGCGTCTTTCAACTTCGCCGCCATGATCTGCTGAGCGACTGATCAGCTGGTATAGAGATGCTCGTCGAGATGCATGAGAAGCTCTCACAAGCCGTCAGACTCTACGACAAATTGCTCACGGAGCAGCTCGAGCGTCCTCAATGGAGAACAGCTGGCCCTTCTACCGTACCTCAACAGCAGTCTCCCCCGTCGGGCTACTCCACGCAGTATCAGCCCATCAACGGCGCGTACGAACAGTGGCAGCAGGCACCCCAGCAGGTACCTTCAACGCCAGTACCAGCCCAGTCATACTTCTCCCCGACACTCGCACCTGTCTCCCAGCCCTCTGGCGCCTACATCACGTCCCCAGCCAGCGAACATCCCCCACAGCAGATGTACCAGGCCGCCACCGCACCTATCCTCTCTCCTGGTTCTCCGGTCATTCAATCTCGCTACGGTCAGGAAGGCTTACCATTCTCTGCCGTCTCACCACCACCTGTCTCCGTGCAGCAGTACGGCGCCCCTCCTACCCCTGCCCCGGCTACGTACCAGCCCGTCCCACAAGCACCCCAAGCTGCGTCTGCACCTCCACAACCTTCGACCGCCTCGTCGCATCCTCAATATGCCTCACAGCAGCAGCAGCAACCCCAGGCCCCCCCGCTCTCCCGGCACAACACCGTGAGCGGCTACCGCGCCCCGGCGCCTCCAGCCCAACAACCTGCCGCTCCCAACGTCAACGGCCTCGCTCGCGCAAACACGGTCTCGTCGCACGCGCCCTCGCAGCTGCAGTACCTCCAGCAGATGTCCGTACCCCTGCCGAGCTTCCCTCAGGTGCCGAACACGCCGCCCCAGCCGCAGGCGTACTACGCTACGGGCCCGCCAGAGCCGGAGCGCAAGGAGGCGCTGCTCATCGACTTGTGAGCCGTCAGTGAGCCCATGTCGCATGCTGCGCGCGGTGCGGGAGAAGAGGCTCATCGAGCGACTCGGCTCGAGACGGCGGATGCGTATTGATAGGACCCAGGCTTGTAATCTTATGGATGGACTCGTATGTTAGACTATGGCTTGTATGACAATATTAACTCCACACCCCTCGAAGTTCAAAATGTCGTCTGCGCAGTCGACTCGTCTCTTAACATTAATCACGTACGCACAAGCACACCAAGCCAACGCATAGAAGCGGCCACTGAGAAAGTAAGACGTTGACCAGCTAGCTACGCAATACCTTAAGCGCGTGTCTCGCTCGAAACCGCCACCTACACCAATAAGATAACACGCCAAGGACCAGAAGAATCAGAAGCCAGAACGACCGAAGCGGTCGGAGCAGTTGGGTTTTAGCCGGGATGAGATTGTAGTAGTGGTTGTAATCGTGTACGAGGCGCGTGGTGCGAGAAGGGCGAGCACGAGATGGGAAATGGGGAAGGAGAACGAGCCGTATGGAAGCATGCAATGTAGTTACTAGTAATAGACACGACAGCGGCAGCGGGCAGGGCGACTGCGCAAATACTAGTGGGCTATGGAACTCGACATCGATGTGTAGTCGAGATACGAGGGAGCCTGCGGCAGCAAAGACTTTCTCCCAGAAGGTCCGTCCATGTACCGCTATACTCGACAGATACCGATACCGATCAAATGCAAGGAGACTGACAATGTGTGGTGAGCGAGCGTGTGATAATGAGATGCAGATCGGCGACGTACGACGCAGCGTACATCTGTGTACTGTAATGACCGGGCGACGTGCGTCATAGTATTACACGTGAGGATTGAGGCCTGAGGGGTATACTATAACTTGGATGAGATCAAAGACCACGGATGTTTGATCCAAAATAGCCGAGGGTCGTGCACGAATATGTAGAGATGAAACGGAACCGGGGCTGGGTGGGGGTAGGGATTTGAAAATAAACGATAATGAACGGGAGAAGAAGCGGAGGGGAAAATGGGGATGGGGGGCCGGGAACAAACATGGAAAAGTACGGGTGCTCCGACTAGGACTGTGACTAAGAACGTTGTCAAGCGTAAGATGGACAGCAAAAGATTAAAGCGACACGAGACGAGAACGACCAAATCACGTCCGCCGCGTCATACAAAGAATTGTGTACTGCGGCAGCATGAAGGCATGAGCAACGATCACCGCGTAAAAAGGATAGAGAGACGTACTGGACACGACTAGCGGCGTGCACCTCCATCTCCTCCATCTTATACGAGTTAAGCTCTTCCTTGATACGCTGCGCCAGCGCCGGCGTTAACCTGCTCCACGTCGCGGGCTCGCTACGCCTGTCGTACACTGTTGCCGGGAAGGTGTCGTACACGGACAGATTCGATGCGAACGCCAGACGCTTCGCAGGCGCCGTGGCGGAGCGATGTGTGAGTGTGGGAGGGTTGGCCGAGGATATGGTTGACAGCGCTGGAGCGGAAGAGTTCGGGTGGGTGAACAGTGTACCCTTCTCTTTGTCCTTCTCCTTCTCCTTTTCCTTCTCCGAGGATGAAGGACCCGACACGGAGGCGGGCTCGGCCGGACCTTCCTTCGTCGGGGACTCTAGTGCCAATCCTTTCGAGTCGAACGACAAAGGAGGAAGGAAGGTGGTCGAAGTCTGCGGAGAGTGTCCGTTGGCCGATCCATGAGATTTGTGCAGCCCATCGATCTGCGCAGGGTCCGATGCCGGGAGGTGACCGAGCGGCGGCAGCTCTGTTGAGGGCGGGGCCGAGTCGTACGAGTTCGACCGTGTCCTCGTGAACGACGGGTTCGGCGGGAGGTAGGCGTCCTGGGTGTAGTCCGTCCCGTCTGCGGGTTCTGTGTGAATCGAGACCAATCAGAAGGGACATTCTACAAGGACAATGCACGCACTCTTCAGGATGCCCTTCGCCGGCTTACGCGTCCGCTCGATACTCCGGCGGACGTTGATAGCCCAAGGCTCCATGTCCTCATCCTCCTCCAAACTCGCGTTGTCCAACGCCTGCCTGATAGTAACATCCTCGTCCTCATGTGCCTCGCCCCAGTCTTCGTCATCCTCCCAGCCCTCGATGTTATAGCTCTGAGCATGATTATCATGCCCACCGTCACTCCCGCTGTCCGAATCATCATGCTCGACGACGACGCGCATCCCGTTTTCACCAACCTTCGACGAGCTCCCGATCTTGGCGGGGGAGTTCTCGCCCTGTCTGTTCGTCGTGTTCTTCTCCCAAGTGGTCGGCAAGTTCGCACCCTGAGCCTGCGCGGCGGCCCGGGCCTCAGCCTCAGCCTTGGCCTTTGCAGCCGCCTCGGCGTTGGTCTTGAGCGTGTGCTGCCGCGCGAGACGTGCAGCGGGACTCAGGCCAGCCATGTCCGGGCTCGAGGTCCAGTCAGAACGGTCAAGCTCAGCGGTGACATGGGAGACACTGGGGTCAGCAGCGGCCGCCTTCTCGCCCTTCTTCTTCTTCTTGTCTTTGTCCTTCTTTCCCGTGGCGCCCTCCTCCTCGTCCTTGTCCTTCTTGTCCTTAAACAGGGACGTGATGCCCGCGAGCGAGTTCCGCCGCGCAAGCTTCCCGATCGAACCGAGCTTCCTGATGACCATCGAGGCGGACGACATCGTCGACGAAAGGGAGATGTTGTCCGTCGAGCGATTGAACTTGTTGTTGAACAACGACCGCGACTTCTTTTTCTGAACCGTGGCCGTCGAGTCACCGTCATCCATGGCAAGCGTCGCGCTCGAGCCGATGCTGGACTGGCTTGGGCGAGGAGTATTAAGCCTGGTCGTCACATCCTCGTCGGCCTCCTCGTGCAGCGTCGCGTTGGCATTCAGGGAGAGCGCCCGTCGTAGCCGCCCTTTCAGACCGCTACTCCGAGGTCCACCCGAGGTCTCGAGCATCGCAGCCAGATCACTGTCGTCTCGTGACATGCGTTTCTCGGCCGCCGTAAACGTGCCTTGGGACAACGGAGACGGTTTTCGCAGGTTGACTGGGGCAGCGTTTGATGACGTCGGAGTGGTGGAGGGTGCAGCGAGCCTGGCAGATGCGTTGGATGAGGACGAACCGGTGCGTTGGTGAACACGGGGAGGCGGTGCAGCACCGTTGGTGGCAGGCGGGGGCGTTGAACCAGAGGTGTTGGATCTGCTACTAGCCTGTTTGGAATGTGAGTGTGCTGGGGAGGGCGCAGAACCGCTGCCACCAGCGCTCGGGCCCTGGTTGCTATTTGTGCGTTGCCGTTGACTACCAGATTGAGAAGAGCCAGAATTGACCGAAGTCGAGGAGCCAGCTGCGTCTGCGTGTGCGTAAGGAGGCTTGAACGGTCCGGAATGCTGTGATCCGGAACGCCAGTCGGGATCATGGTTGGACGAACCTTGACGCTGTGGGCGGCGGTAGGGATGGTAGCCTGCATACTGGGAACCCTGCTCGGAAGGAGTAGGAGAGTAGCCCATCGGCAGCTGGGAGGGATGGGGAGGAGGCGGCGTGCCACTGGGGAACGGGCTGAAGCCAGACATAGGGCTCTGTGCAAAGTAGTCGGGATTTGGGTTCCCACCGTTGCGCCCTCGTTGACTGTTCATGCCGTTCATCTGGGACATTTGATGCGCCTGCTGCTGTGCGTTAAACATCATCTGCTGGTACGCCCACTGAGCGAGCTGGGCGTTGGCAGGATCGTAGTAAGGCATCTGTCCCTGCGGAGGATGGCCAGGATGGCCATGCATCGGGTACGGCTGCTGATGGGGGTTTTGATAGAACTGAGGGTAGAACTGCTGGGGAGGCGGGGCCCAAGCCGCCTGCTGCTGCTGGACGGGATACGGGTATGGCTGCTGTTGAGACATGGGGGACTGAGCGAGAGAATGTTCGTTCGCGGGCGAGGAGCGCTGACGGGGTACGGATGGGTTGATGGCGTTTGGGGAGGGCGCGTCCATGATATGATCTCTAGGTGGATGCCAGTCTTGAGGGGCAAGAACGGCCATGGACTACGCGTCGAGCGGAAGAAGCTTGAACTTGACTATGCGTGGAGAGTGGGGAGGGTGTCGTGTAAGGGGTTGCAGAGGGCGACGGGGATGACAACGGCGAAAGACAAGGGTTAGATACGGTCAGAGCAGCATCAAGCTCACGCACAGAAAGTCCAGGCGAACGTTTTAAGGAGGGAAAAAGGAAAAGAATGAAGAAAGATGAGAGGCGGGGCTTGAGGGGGTCGCTGGAGCCCGTTCGGAGGAGTGAACAGGCTGGCCAACGGTGGGGGCAACGTCAACGGCAACGACAACGACGACGACGAGGACAGGCGCCGTGCAATCGCATCTCCCCAGCCGGTGCCACGCCAGACAAACAGCGACAAACATCCGATATTTCCTGATTCACAACTCATCTCCCGCGTGCGCAGCTCAAGGTCCGCAACCATCAGCTCACAGAGGCTGCTGTGTGTCCTCGCACAGGCCATGCAGATCCCTCGCACTGTGTGATCATCGTGTGCTCGTCGACGATGCTCCAGCGCCAGGCAGGGAGAGGAGGCCCAGGAGGGCGCGCAGTAGCCACCTGGCCGGGACAATCCTCCCGAAGACAAGAATACACTGCAGACTGCCCGGCCGCAGCCGCTCGCGGTGTCCCGACAGCGAACGATCACGACCTTCTGCACTAAGCCTTGATGCTTCCCTTGTGATCCCAACAGTGACTGCCACGGCAGGCACTTTTGTTATGAGTACACTGGCTATTGTACATGCAGGTACAACGTCCTATCCACTTGACATGAGAATGCAAATACTGGCAGGCAGCAGACACCGAGCACTCAGCGGCGGGCCCAAAGTACTTGGCAGGCGATGACGACCCAGACGTGTGGACGTGGAGTGCCGCGAGAAGCGCATCTGAGATCTGCTTGCAATCTGCGGGGAATAGTAGCCGCATCTTATCTTATCTCTCACCAGATCCCGATCGCGTCCGCTTCCAAGTGAGCTTGCCTCAGACCCTTGTCGACATCTCAAGCAGGTTCCCGCTTGCAAGCACTCACATCGCCCCTCGATCATGCCTCAGTCCGATAAACATTGGAAGGCACTGTGCGCGGCGCGTAAACAGCAGCAGCTAAACGCGATCCCAAATGCATGGACAATCAATCCTCCACCAGACCAGCGCCGCAACGTGCTTGACGTCCCCAGAACCTGCGGCCTGCTAACCCCGCGCGAACTCGAGATCACTGATACGGTCGACGTCGACACCATTCTCGTGAAGCTTCGCACATGCCAGTGGACCTCGGTCGAGGTCACCACCGCGTTTTACAAGCGTGCCATCATCGCACAACAACTCGTGTGTTCTCCACGCTGTCTGCCGTACAGTACCCACTTCTGACGTCGCAGGCTGGCCGCCACTCTTCTAGACCAACTGCTTAACCGAGATTTTTGTTGACCGAGCGCTCGCTCGTGCACAAGAAGTCGACGACTATCTCAAGACCCACGGAAAGCCCATCGGTCCCTTGCACGGCTTGCCAATCTCGCTTAAGGACCAATTCTGCCTCAAAGGCATGGAGACCATCATGGGTATACCAGCCTCATTGCAGACATCTTCCAGAAGCAATTGCGGCTCACCCATATCCCCGTAGGCTATGCAGGCTGGATAGGTCGCATCTCCCAGTTCGACAGCGTCCTGGTCGAGATCCTCTACGACTGCGGCGCCGTCCCTTTCGTGCGCACAAACGTCCCACAAACGCTCCAAGTCAGTCACCCCAATCCTCCCACAATCCGTGCCAAGAAACCTCGGACCGCGTTACTGATCGAGATCGGACGTTTCACAGTGGGGCGAGACCTTTAACCACGTCTTCGGCCGGACGACCAACCCCTACAACCGCTACATGACCCCTGGCGGCTCCTCGGGCGGCGAAGGCGCGCTCCTCGCAATGCGAGGCAGTCCTCTAGGCGTAGGCACCGACATCGGCGGGTGCGTCCCACCGTTTCGCAAACACACGGCCTCCAGACCCCCTCTAACACTCAGTGTCCCCCTCGTCATTGGCTGCGGACCGCCCCCGGGCCACGTCGCCCCTCCATCTCAACTCCACATATTTTCCCAGGTCTCTCCGTATCCCGAGCGCGTTCTGCGGCCTGTACACCATCCGCCCGTCGTATGAGCGCCTGCCGTACTGTAATGCCGTGAACTCCCAAGAGGGCCAGGAGAGCGTCTCGTCCGTGCTCGGCCCAATGGCCAACTCCCTCTCCGGCGTCAAGATATTCGTCAAAGCTATCATCGACGCCCGCCCGTGGCGCAAAGACCCCCTCTGCATTCGCAAGGAATGGTCAGAGCGTGAATACGCGCTGGGCGACCACGGCGGGCGCGGAGCCAAGATGTGTTTTGCGCTCATGTGGGACAACGGGGTCATTAAGCCGCATCCCCCGCTCTTTCGCGCGCTCGACATGACCAAGAAGGCGTTAGAGGCAGCGGGGCATACCGGTGCGTGCGTTTGTTCGTGTAGACTCGTCTGGCACCATGCAGGGTTCGAGGGCATATGTTCGCTGCGGAATTGCTCAAGTTTCTGCGACAATGCCGTCCAACGTCAGCGCATGCGTATCAGTACGCTGACTGCATCCTTCTCCCGCGCGCCCGCGGGTTAAACAGTGATTGACTGGGAAAACCACCGGCACCTGGAGATCTACAGGAACGGCGTTCGTATCATCGTCCTTACCTCCCATCTTCCCATACTCCCCCATTTGTGCGCTGCGCTATTCCCGCCCGCCGTATCCCCACTCCTTCTTCCTTCCATTGCGGCCTTTCCTTCTGTTTCCATTGGCCCCTTCTCCCCTTCATCAGCCCATTCTTCACAGAATACGCCCGTACTGACTCGCCCTCGACCCTGTGTGGCGATGCGCTGCGATTGATCCGACAGGTGAGCATCCTCAACGCGGACGACGGCCACGACTACCACACCGATTGCGCGCTCTCCGGCGAGCCGCTCATCCAGACGATGAGCCAGACGACGGACGCGCATAAGTACGCGCTCGACGAGCCCCTGGCAAAGTCAATCCTGGGCGAGACCAGGCATCTCTCCGCGTATGAGGCGTGTATTCACCTTCCGCATATCTTCCAGCCGTTGCGACCAATCTGACACTGACACTTTCATGACGTGAACAGCTATGGCAGCTACACAGGGAGAAACGTGCGCTCCGCAAATCCCATCTCGACCATTGGGAGGCCACGGTGTCGCGCACGGGGACGGGGCGGCCGATTGACGCGATCATAAGCCCGGCCGTTGGTTACCCCGCATGTCCCCACGGCTGTAACTCGTCCGTCTTCTTGTGTTCTTTCTTTATATCCCTGTTCTGATGTGATGGTTTACAGAGACGACTTCTACACAGCCTTGTGCAACTACCTCGACTACACCGCGTCCGTCTTCTCCGTTACCGCCGTCGATAAGACTGTGGACCATCCTGCGCCTCCGCACGAGTTCAGGAACCACGAGGACGAAGCGGTGTATAAGATGTGTGAGTCCCTTCCCCAGCTCTAATTGTAGAGTACCTCGCGTCCCCACTCCTTTTCGTGAGGACGTTCGGGTTGAATAGACCGGATTTCAGACGACCCGGAGCTGTTTGACGGCCTGCCGATTGGCCTGCAGCTTATCGGCCGGACCCAAGAGGAAGAGGGCGTGATAGCTATGACGGAGGTAGTAGTCGAGGCGCTGGAAGCATGCAAGAGAAAATAAGAAGTCACCTCACTATCGAGTGCATCACTTCGTACCGGCAGCAGTAATACTGCCAGCTTGGATGGTGACGACACACTCTCGTTCAGCCTTCCAGGTACAGTGAGGTCATCAGGATACATGCTGCGGCGCCCTCGGTGTATCGACATTCCCAGTCTCTACCGTAGGATGTATGTATATATGACAGGCTCTAGACTGCACGATCCGAATGAATCTGTATCATCACATTGCCCACTATCACATTGCCCACTCCACTCAACCTTCACCCATGCTGTCTCCCCTGACCCGGCCTAGGTGAACGTAAAGATCCTCGCAGCGATCTCCGCCGCAGCCCGTCTGCGCTCCTCGATCGCGGCGCCGTTCCCAAGCACCGACTTATTCTCGATCGCCCTTCGGCTCAGGTACGGCATCACCTACAAATACGAACGGTAGAACTATATGTTAGCGATCTCTGTGCCTGGCGACTCAGTGTTCCAAGGGGCAGTGACTGGCTTTTTACAAGAATAGCGAGGCAACACATAAACATTATAAAGGAGAACGTACCTCCGAAAGCTGTCCATACGGAATGTACTTGATGACGAACGGCGATGAGGATTGCACACGGTTCGCGAGGTAATCCGTCAATACTGCCGTCATGCCTAGCCACAGAAGCAAGCCCCCATGTGATCAGTTCGCTATCGTATACGACTTTTCTATGCGCATGCACGCCGACGTAGGGCCGCCACGCACCAAACAGCTGTCCCATGGTTACCCGTTCCGCGACAGCGTCCTCAATCGCCACGACGCCATTTGCATCGACAGAGCCCAAACGCTGTCTCACAAGCTCATCCACCACGAGGTTCGCGCTCTCCCAGTTGTGTGTACCGAACAACACACCAATCGTCGGTGTCCGCGTTCTCGCCTCTACGTCCGCGCGGACTGCCGCGATGAGCGCACGCACGCACGCATTGTACCGAGCATCGGTTTCCGACTTCTCCGTCCACACAGGCGGAACGGGGTCTGGGGATATAGAGGGAGAGTATGACGCGCCGAATCCTGGGGGGATCGCGGACTTGTCAGCGGAAGCTGCTGTTGCAGGATGCGCGGCGATCTCGTGCGGGTGGTATGCGCCGCGGACAAGCTTCACCCCGAGCGAATATCCACCCTCGCGGGCTGCAGCGATGCTCTGGACGAGGTACTCTGGGGTGCTAAACACCCAAGATGTCAATCTGGCGTGGCGTTTGTCAATATTGATCATACTTACCGGCGGAGATAAGCTTGGTATGTAGCGTATATGAGGGGTTGCACGCCCGCAGACGTCTCCACCTTCCCGGGAGATCCAAACCACGATGACTTTGGTAGGGAAGGGAGCTTGTTGAAATATCGCATCATGTCTAGAGTGAATGCATCTATCGCGGGCTAATTGGCATCACTTAATAAGCTTCACCGACCGCGATGGCTTGGCAATGACCCACCTCGTACCAACTGGTGTTCCGCGAGTCACCCTTTAGCCTTAAGTTCATGACGCATAGCAAGTAATCGTACCTATACTCAGCATCGAAAATGAGGCGAATACCACGCTCCTGTGCTCTTGTGCATATCCTGACAAGGTCTTCGCGAAGTTCCCGCAGATTGGCTATGTCAGCTCGCGTTAGGGGACCAGGAAGAGATGGCGACGAGAGCACATCCAGATCGGTGGGGAGCGGGCAGCCAGGAAATGCAACGGGGGGTTCGGCGATCCGAGGCCGAGTATTCACGAGATACTGAGACAATCTTCGCAGAGACTCTGCATCCGCGACCATAGCGCTCTGTCATCCTATGTCAATCACCGACGGACGGAAGCTCACGGGATACTTCACCAGCTTGATGGCTACCCAGGTGCGCCTCCCGGTCGAGCCTATCGTGTGCTTATCCTCATAGTCCGCGGCCACATCGATGCAGTGCAACGTTTCGCTGACGATCTGTTTGTGTACAGTGGACGCCGTCTTGTTAGTTTCAGACTGAGACTGTTCGCCTCCGGAGCCCGCCTCTGCCTGATCAACTTCGACGCTATAGGCGAATAAGCATCCAGTATTCTGTGCCCGGAGCTCGTCGATAAGCGGGATGACGGCCTCTGCTGTGTCTCCTCCTACAAACTGAATCACTCATTGATTAGGCGTAGTTACAACTAGTGCAGGCGGTAGTACTACTTACTTGTTTGAAAAAGGTAGCGCGGACCACAGCTTCTGTAATTTGCCTGAGTCCCGGGACGGAGGACAACGTTTCCAGTATGGTAGGAGACCAATCCACAAGCGGAGGAATAGAGCAGAAGGAGTAAACGATGTAAGTCCTGATGAGGGTGGCGAGAGACGACGATGGCTTGTCGCGTGCTGTTGCAACCGGGTTCTTTTCGGTCAGTTCTCGCAATTCCTGAGCTCCCGCACGAGCATCCTGAACGAATAGCGTCGCTCCCACCAGCCCACTTGAAGCTAAACCGACCGTTATCAATCGGCGGGAGCTCAGAAGTTGAGATTCTTGAGACGGTGGTGCCGTAGATAACAATCTCGACCGCCGAAAGGCGGGTCCGATACGACACCTTGGCAAATGCCTACCTACGAGGGAGAACACCATCATGGGAGAAGACAAGAGATACGTTCAGCTAATACAGCGGCACGATGTAGACATGAGCAATCTGCGTGCTCGGCAGCGTACTGGGGGAAAATGATCATGAGGCACATTGCATGTACGTACAAGGAACAGTGAACACGCACCGGAGACGACGGCCCCGCCCGATAGATACCGACAGAATACACGTTGAGTCGCTGCTCGAGGCACCCGGAACATGTCCATATCAGCCGACGGAACGGATGTCCTTGCTTTTCTGCTTGGTGAAGTTTCGATCGGACATTCGCGATAGTGACCCATAGAACGGGCGATCGGCCCGCGGCTGATACCAAGTCCGGGACATCCGTAGGCGTGAACACAACAGCACACGGCAGCTTTGACAAAGTTAGACGATAAATTGCAGCAACGTTGGAATACAAGGGCCACATTGTCTCGAGATCATGGCACATAGTAGTAGCGATTCATAGAAGTGCGTTGATGTCACGCAACTGACCTCTTTCGACACTGACAAGCGCCAAGGGCGAATGGAGCCTGCACCCTTCGACGTGTATTATCATCATATGATCTGGACATCAGTGGTTGGGAGCTCAACTGCATTTCAACGCAATGACTTGGACAACAGGTTGGTTGTTGATGTTGTGAAGACGCCCCATGTCTAAGTCTAAAGTGCTTGCCAAGTAGTTAGCTCTAACATAGAATTACTCGCTACAACTCAATGTTCGGTGTTCGCTCACGATTACCCCCCAAATTCCCGTCACAACCATGAATGCTCAGTCCCGGTGTCGGAGTCCCCTCCAATCACCCGAACAGTCTAGCCATGATAGCAGATGCAGCCCGTTTCCGCTCAACAGCGGCTCCCCCGTTGCCCAAGACAGACTTATTCTCGATCGCGCGTCGACTGAGGTAAGGCATCACCTCAGAGAGCTTGCCATACGGCAGATACTTCAGCACGAACGGAGACGCGCTGCGAGTACGGTCCACCAGGTGGTCCGTGAGCCCATCCGCCATGCCTATCGGAGAAGGAACCATCAGTTTCAACCCCATGTCCAGTAGTCGACGGTGAGACTCACCGTATAGCTGCGCGACCGCAACGCGCTCCATAGCGGCCTCACTGATCTCCACCACGCCAGAGGCGTCTCTGGTGGCTAGTCCTTGTTTGACAAGCTCGTCAATGACCAGGTTCGCGCTGTCCCAATTGTGTGTACCGAACAAAGCCCCAATGGTAGGCCCCGGGGCACCCTTCGCGCAAGCCTCTACGTCTTGACGAAGGAGCGAGATAAGCAACCGCACGGACGAGTCGTAGCACGAATCTGTCTCGTCTTTGTACAGCCAGACAGGCGGCATGTTGTCGGGGGATATCGAGAGATCGTGGCCGCCGGATGGAGTGGTCGCCTCGGCCCGAGAGTTCGTTGCGGCTTTGTGAATCTCAATCTCATGTGGGTGATACGCTCCGCGCACAAGCTTCACGCCAAGCGCATAGCCTTCTGTCCGTGCCATTGCAATGCTCCGGGCAAGGTATTCCGGCGTTCTGCATGTCAACATTGAGTCAGACCCTTACTTCGCCGCAAAGTTAGCCTTGCAACTTACCGCCGGAGGTATCCCTGGAAAGTGTTGAAGATCAACGGCTGGAACATGTCAGGCGCCAGTTGTGCAGGCTTCCGCAGACCGAACCACGAGCTCTGCGGTGTGGGGAGCTTGTTGAATATACGCATCATGTCGAGGGCGAACGCGTCGATGGCAGGCTACCACCAGAATAAGGTGAGGGTCTATGCCAGAACTCCAGGCACCTGCCTCAACGATAGACATACCTGATACCAGCTAGGTGTGCCATTTCAGCGATCGAGAACGAAGGCATGTGAGCCGTTGTGAACGTACCTGTGCTCAGCATCGACCATAATACGGATACCGCGCGCACGGGCGCGTTCACCAATGGCGACAAGGTCTTCGCGGAGCTCGCGAAGTGCAGCGACATCGGCCTCCGTGAGAACTGCAGTAGGTACGTCAGAGGATAGAATATCGAGATCGGAAGGTACGGGGCATCCGGGAAAGGCGATTCGGGGATTGGTTCGCGGGCGAGTGTCGACCAGATATTTGGAGAGCCTACGCAGCGACTCAGCGTCTGGTACCATGGCGCTCTAACTCACATGTCAGCTAAAGACAACGGCAGTACGCAAGAGTCGCTCACCAGCTTGATGGCAACCCAAGTGCCCTTCCCCTTCCTTCCCAGATAATGCATGTCCTCAAAGTCCGCTGCGACGTCAATGCAATGGAGGTTCTCGGCGACGATCTGCTTGTGCGCAGACATTGTCTCCGACGAGGACAGTTTGCCAGGGCCAGACGCATTCGCCTCATCAACCTCGACGCTGTAGACAAAGATCGCCCCTTTGTTCTCTCGACGCAAACGCTCGAGTACGGGTATAACGTCCTCCGCCTCGTCGCCACCTACGAACTGCCCGAAGGTGTCAGTCGAACGACGCAATGAACGCGGCCACAGACATACCTGGTCGAAGAACGTCACGCGTACAATGCCCTCAGTGATCTGCTTCACTCCAGGGATTGCAAGAAGAATGGAGAGTATGGTAGGCGACCAATCCACCAGGAGGGGGATAGAGCAGAGCGAGTACACAAGATACGTCCTCACGAGCTCGGACAACGGCGCGGTTTGCAGAACACCTTTTATGGGAATCTGCTCCTGAGCATCCGCGTATATTGCTGAGGTAGAGAGTGTCAGGCCTAGGAATGTGGTGGCAGAGAGCCCAGCTACCGCTAGTCCTCTAGCATTGGTGAACTTTGTCTTCGGAGAGGAAGTAGCAAATGCCCGCCATGGTGGTCGGGCCGCTAGTCTGGGACACCTGAGTAGCCTAGGAGTGACTCGCGCCAAAGACATGAGAGTCGGAAGGAAGCGGACAGAGACAGAGACGGGTGCGCCACATCGTACGGTGGGCCTTGCGGTTAATGTTCATGTCGGGCGATCGACGTCGCGCACGGACAACGGACGGATCTCAGCCAGGGCCTCTGGGCTCGGAGCGCGCTCAATGGCCCGCATTCCCCGACGCGCGCTCCTCAGGCCTCATGTTCCGACACTGCATGGCATTGAACAGAATTTGTGAATAGCACGGCGTACAGCATTAGAAAGCCATTGTCTACGAACATACAACATGGGTGGTATGACAGGTATTCGCTTCATGATCACATACAAAACTATTCATTCCATTCTTTCCTTCCCGCTTGCGATCATGCACCGACGAGCTCGCGGAACTCGTGGCCCCATTCAGGAGACTTTGACGTCGCAGCGACGAACGCGTCAAACTTCGGGCTTGCGCCCGACTGGCTGATCTTGCTGAGCGCCGCGACAGCACGCAGGGTACTGCGCTGGAGCTCTGCAGTACGCTCCAAGTCCTGCTTGACCGTATCCTTCGTCACCGCAGGTCCCTTCATGCTCTTCTCCAGCGGCGGCGTCAGGTCGTCCAAGCGCTGGGCAACGGCCGTAGGCGCGACCTGTGCGAGACGGAACAGCATCATGTGGCAGATGACCTTCACTTCGTCCGAGTCGTCCGCAAGACCGGTAGCGACATGGCCGAGGAAGTCGTGTAGGTCCAGTTTCATCAGGCACGTATCCAGCTATAGCAGATCGTCAGTGTCGGCACGGGGACAATCCCTAAGCTCGGAACTCACAAGTGTGTATAGCGTCTCGTAAGCCGTCTTGCGGGCCTCGAGACCGTCGTCGACCTTGTGCGTCCAAGGCCCCATTTGCACGGTTCGGATGAGATCCGGGTTGACAACAGTCTCTTTGTACAGGCTCGGCAGCAACGTCGACAAGTGATCGCGGATGAGATGCGGTCTTGAGCGAGCAGCAGAATTGAGCGCGGAAAGCGCGAGGCGTCTTACAGTCTGCCTTCAAGTGAGTACGCCGATCAACCTGCGGAAATAGGGAGCTGACCAGATCTGCGTCGGAAAGCAGGGACAAGAAGTCCAAGATGACGCTGCCAAGAAGCTCGTCAAACGATGGCTGCGCCTCCGCGAAAGTGTAGCGAATCGCGGAAAGCACTGTGGCCCTTGTTGCAGGGTTGGGGTCTTTGATGCGTTCCTAAAAATAATAATTAGACACAATGTAGGTGATTTGCTGCCCCACTCAACCTACATGGAGTTGCGGAAGGAAGCGTGCAGGCTGCGTAGTCGTGAGCTTGCCCAGACACGCCGCGGCGACATTGCGAGTCGTCTCCTCCGTGTTCTCCGAGTTCTCGAACAACGGCGTCCAGAGCTGCTCGGCGACAGTCTCGAGTTGGCCATGCGAGCAGTGAGTGACGATCTGCAGATATGACGTCAGCCAAGGAATACGATCGACGTGATCCTTTCTGACTGACCTCCTTGATCGCGTGCAAGGACAGCAGTCGCTTCTCCTGATCATGCTCGACCATCTTGACGATGAGCGGCAAGAAGTGGTGCAGATTGCCCACGGCGATGTTACCAGCGGCGAAGGCGGCAGCGGTGCGGACCTCCTCTTGCTCTGCCGCGAATCTCTCTATCGCTTGATTGAAGATCTCTTGCTGCGGGGACATGTCGCTGAAGGACCCTCTCGGTAAGCTATCTAGGGCACCAGACCGTCTGTACTTACATCAAGCGACCAACTTCGCCTACAACGAGTAAGCTGAGGACGACCTGGGACGTCTTCGCCTTGGATGTGGGCTACAGCCGACGTCATCGATTGGCAATCGCTCTCAAGCTGCAGCGTAAAGTGCCTACCTTCAAGTGCCTTGCGAACTCAGCGATCGTTCCAGCCGCCACAGCACGTTGCGAAATTACGACCTGTCCCACACACTTGGCCACATTGGTAAGGGACGCCTCAGCCTTGGGTGCCCTCTCGACCGCCGCCACCAAGTTCGGTATTACATGTGTCGCGATCTGCATGTCCGCCTCCACGAGTGCCCCCCAGAAGCCGAGCAAGGACTCGAAGGGGGCGCCAGACAGGAGCGGGGAGTACGCGATGCCGTACACGTCTGACAGAACCTCGCGTTCGACTTCTGGGAACGTCGCTTTGGGAGCAAGCTCGAGCAGGAGAGCAAGGATGTCCAGCGCAGCTCCAAGCAGCGAAATGTCGCTCGCGTTCAGGTAGGGCTTGAGAGGTGGAATAAGGTTGATAGGCAGGTCGGGTGGGATAGTGTTGTACCTGTGTGAATTATCAGCACATCGATAGCACTGATACACGCAAGTCAAATGTCGTACTTCTTGAGAAGAGAGCCCAAACAGTTGAACACGTCGATCTTGCCGCTCCTCCCGCTCTTCTTGAGCAAGACCGTGACCCACTCGACGCCTCCGTTGACCCAATCATCTCCAATCTCGACTTTCGTCGCGACCTTGGTCACAACCCTGACCGCGCCGTCCGTGCGTCCAGACGTCCTGCAGATGTACTCCCACTCCTTCCTGTTCTTTGTTTTCAGCACGTCCGTCGCCGAAACCCAAAGGTCTCCGATAACCTCTTCAGCCCCTGCGCGGACGTCCGCGTCCGTGTCATGGTTGCTCAGTCGCTTCACCGCTTCGTCATACACACGGTCGACCCACGCCCCACCCTTCACAGGGTGCATTGCGATGAGGAGAGCGGAGAAGATACGGAAGGCCTCTGTCGCGATTCGAGGGTGCTTCTCGCCGAGAGCCTGGAGGAGCAACGGGGTGATAGAGTCGAGCTGGCCAGCATATACAGGAGGGGCGTGCTTCGAAAAGAACAAAGTGAGGAATGACATGGTGGTGACCTGCAGACTGGCGGAGCTTGCCCGAGACGAGGAAGAAAGGACGGCCTTAGCAGTCGAGATAATCTGCGCAGATTGGCTCGCTAGACAGCCGGGGAGAACGGTCAAGAGTTTATAGAGCAGTGAGAAACCAGCTTCCAAAGTAGCAGGAGGGGTCTTCGACGACTTGATCTGACCAAGAAGAGCCTTCGACAACGAAGGAACCTGTGATTGCAGTAGGTTGTACGGACTTTCCTCGACCTCCATGCCCTCTTCGCGTTTTCGCTTGCCGCCTACTGTGTACTCCGCATTGTTTTGTGGTGAACCACCATAAACGCTCGTTTGGTTGAGAAGAACACCATATGTTGACCAAACTTCTAGTCGCACGGTCTCTTCGCGGTCTCCGAATCGTGAGATGAGTACGGGAGAGACTTCCTTATACAACATTGTTAGGAGCTCTGGCCGCGTCGCCACAACGGCAGCAAGTAGCTTTGTTGCTGAACGACGAATTTTATACGAGGTATCCTCATCGTCCGAGTATCTGACCTCCAAGTAAGCGATTTCGCTCCCGAAGTCGAACAGCATAGGACGACTTACTCGTCGCCGAGGTCTTCATCGTCCTCGTCGTCCTCGTCGGGCATCTCTTCATCTTCATCGTCGAGATCGCCTGCATAATTCTGAACGCAGCTGCATCAGTCTTGCCACAATTTGGAGATAACTAGACAGCTTACTGGATCATATTTGATATACTGGTTGCCGACCTGAATAACAGACTTCAAGTAAGGTGTGACCTCACTCGGGCACCTCAATACGACCGCCTCGAGGGCCTTCGACGAATGGATCAGTGTGTCAATCAAAAGCGATGGTCCATCGTATTTACCTGCAGGGAACTCTCCCGAAGCTCCTCATCGTCTCTCTGTGAGTCCTTGAGGATGTTAGGGATGATATCACTCAGTGTCGGTGCAATCTGATGTGGTGAATGACGCGCAATGGCTGCCACTAGTTGCACGACTGTCCTCTGCTTCTCGACATTGGCGGACGGGGCAAGTCCAGGTATGATGATAGAGGAAAGGAGCGTAGAGAACTCCTGCGGCTGCGCATGCGGCAGAAACTGTGCCAAAGTAGTGATCGCACGTTTCCTTACGGCCGGACGAGAGTGGTTCAGGACTGGCGTAAGCACAATTACGGGCGGCGGCTCCACATTAGAGAGGTATGCGGGGAAACGAGTGATCAAGATGGACAAGATAGCAAGAGTCTCAATTAAGGTCTCAGGTGGGGTGTCAGACTGGGGAATGTCATGGATCTGAGTGTATGCTGATTGGACGGGAAGGATGAACGTACATTCGCCACCTGGCCGAGGAGCTTGGGAGTCAGCTTCTCGCACGCCTTCGCCGCGATCTTGCCCTCTGGTGGAAGCTCTGACGTAATAGTCTTCAAGGCTATGCATCCTAGTAAGTGCTGTACCGGAGATCAGACGGGAGATCACGTACCAAGACCAGAGATATCTCGTAGCTCCTCGTCCTTCCCCGCGGAGAAATCAATCAGCTTGTCAACGACGAACTCCATCTGGGATTCCCGGATGATCTTGATGAGCTGACCCAAGCTATATAAGCAGTGTAAGATCCCTGCATCCTGTGAAGTGAAGTACGGGACATGCCACTTGACGGCTTGGTTCTTAACTTCCGAGATCTTGTCCTCGACCAGGGAGAGAACTTGTCGCAAGACCTTGTTCTCAGTCGTCTCATCGCCGAGAAAGCTGTTTGGATCCTGCTTGATCTCCAACAACAAGTCGTTCAGACCCATATAGCTATCGCGATTCGCGTCAGCAACCGCACATACGCGTCCATGTCTCAGGTTCCTTACCGGAAGTCCTGGTCTGGGGATTGCATCTAATACATCACGCGCGTGAGCTCGTGCGTCGCGCATCTCATAGTACACATACCTTCTCCACCAGACCGTTCATTATATACGACTTCGTCATGTTTGCAGACAATGAGGGGGAGGGGTATGCAAAGGGATGAAGGGGAAGACAAAGTGGCGAGGAATGTGGCGCCAACTCTAATGAGCACATATGGGCGCCTTTTCTACATGGCTTCGGCGCGTGCTCGTCCGAGGGTCCAGCCAGACATTCGCCCGCACAGTCCGGGCGCATCATGGCGCACCGAGCCTCGCCGATTCAGCTCCAGAGGATCAATAAGTCTGCATGAGCAAATGGCAAATGCATATACAATTTTGCGCTCTACATTACTCGAAGACAGCCCTGAACTCGTACAACTAGTCCGGAGATGCGTCCTTATTCATGATCGTAGCATAGTACGTATAGCTGTATCGATACAGTCTGGGTATGTGATTGAATGGTATATGTATATCGTATCGTAGAACGTCGACTAAATACCGGCACCCGAAGAAAGCACCCAAAACGGGACATAGCAGGATTCCGGACCCAAGACGAGGCGTATCCATCAAGAGGCCATTCGCACGAGAGCACGCACACGGGGCGTGTCTGGCTTGATCGTCCCCTCGGTCGAAGAGAAGATGTCGCGCATGTTAGTATGGTGGCGGCGGAATACAACCAGATATAGTGTCCCGCGTTTCTATGCTTGCTGGTCAGATACTGATACTGTCTATGGCGTACTTCGGTCCAGTTCTCGAACATACCTTTGTGCCTCTGGATGAATGGGGCTCTCGGATCTTCTTTACACTGCCTCGGAACCACTCGAAGCATCCTCTGGGCTTCACCCAAACATTCTCATGAAGCTGCAAGAAGATGTGAGCAACCGCGACAACGGTAACCACGGCGTGGCTAGTCCCACCCACCTTGAACTTATGCTCTCTGGGCTTGTTCTTGACAAGGTCCTCATCCTCAGTATCAGGGTTGTACTCAGATTCAGACTCTAGCTCCGAGAGGTCGCTGGAGAAACTGTCGCTCTCGGGGATAGGACGGTCATCCTCGTCGCTAGTGACCGTAGAGGAAGAGCCCCTGCGTTCACTCCAAATGCGTCCGTACGTAGCAGCGCGTGGCATATTTTGATTTTGGTCTGATGTCAGCGTGCGAGATGACAAGTCTTTAGATTAGGCGTCTAGGACGTGCGTTGATATCCACCGGTCGAAGGAGCGCGTTGAGAAGCGCGAGACGAGGTGATTGATTGGTGGGGGGAGCGGGAAAGGACACTATACCCGGCCGCTTTTATATCGCACAGGGTCGGCGTCTAATGGAAGGGGCGAGCCGTGTGTACGGGCCATTGTTGTCAAACTGACTTCGCGGCGTCACTTTTTTGTCCTTCCTTGTCATCAAGCCTTGACAGGCGCCGGCCCAGCTTCCACGTTGCATCTTACAAGCACCGCCATCTGTGCTCGTTCCCTGGCCTGTGTCGCCTCCAGTGCCCAAGCAGCGAAAAAGAGTGGAGGCGGCTCTATCTCGAAATTAGCATGGCGCACCACGAATCAGCGTAATGTGTGCTTACTACTACTCCACCGCAGCAGCACGGAAACGGCGGGTCCCGATGCGAGCACTGCCGACCTTTGCTGCTGCTGCTGCTGCTGCTTTGCCACAGCATCCGAGCGTCACTGGGGAGGCACGGCGGGGCAAAGCCGCTATGTAAGAAGATTGACTCACGACACGCGACAATTCGATTGTGGCATGCATTTGGATTGTGGATGCGACCATCGCGACAGCTGCACGACCCGTGAATGGAACCACCCGGACAACTGAACGGAACATAACCTTCTATTTTCAGGACTTCCCTATACAGACAAGCGCTGCTAACAATTGCATCTTGTTCATGTCTTTAGAGATAGGCCGCAGACACACAATACCTGATCGTCTTCTGTACATCAGTCATAACACAGATGAACGCTGGACAACGCGCACTGATCAACATAGGGACGACGAACATGAAGAATCATAACAGCATACCGTATCAAAGTCAGACAGGGCGTCTGACCGTAACTGTAAAGCTTAGATACAGTCACACCGCAGTCGTTCTAAGCGTCACCGGGATGGACGTTAGGCTGTACTCCACGGAAATACCTCCCTAAACGTGTCCGATATGAGCGTCCACAGCCACCATGAGGTAAGTCGGTACGCACAGGGCATCCGTCGAACTCCTGCAGGACGGTGAGGTAAAGCTGTGTGTCGTTGGTGACTGCGCTGACCACTTCAACCGGAAGATTCAGGGTCGAGGGTGGTGGAGTGCCCTGCGAGGGCAGGCCTGGGACCGTTGACGGTCATAAGTAGCCGAATGACGACGATCTAGGTTGTTGCAACATACCGAAATTGGACACCGAGTACTTGCCAAGGTCAAGCATGAAGCTGCCCTCAGCGAGCGTACCATTCGCGTTCACGTTCTCGAACGAAGGAGGCGCAGGCCCCCCGGTGAGATAGACGGTGAAGGGCGTGTACGCCGACTCGCACCAATTCGAGAGAGCATACTCGAAGGCGAAGTCGACACCGGGGACGATGACATCGTTGGCAACGGGCGCATCGATAGTACCGGAGAAGGGACTCTGCCACACAGTTGCCTCACGCTTCGGCAAGACGGCTGCAGAGGCGAGCGTAGCGAAGAGGGGGGCAATAGCGGTAATGAACAGCTTCATGACGATTGTGAGGTATTGGGGGGAGTAGGTAGGAGGTCGGGTTGATTAATCTCTGCTGAGGATCTGTGGTCCAAGCATCGTCTTCAATGTGGCTTTTATACCCGCAAGATACACAGTGCAGAATATCTCGACCTACCGTATCTAATGGATATAGCCGCTGTGCCGCTATGCTTTGCGAGCCGAAACACGGACATCTTAGATTCGCCACTTCGACAGGTCGGAGCGGGAGAATGCTAGGAAGCCAGGGGGAAGCCAGGCCAACTCGCAAAAATATCCAATAGCATTAGGCATCGCTCTATACACTTACGGCCGGCATCGCGCTATCTCCTGCGTCATCCATCCAAATGATTCCAGGATGGAAGATGAGACGCGCCTGCAATAGTCAGACGCTAGCGACTCACCGGAGGTTGTCTAGAATCGCGCCCGGCCCTTGCCCATGCCCACGCTCACGTCCAAGGCATCATGTCATGATAGGCAGCATGTTTGACCGAGCCTCATGCAGAGCGCGTCGTTTGCGCGGGGCCGGTTGCTGCCCATCATCGCGCTCAAGAATCGCCATTGAGCGCAGGTAGGGCGTACGGATGTCTAAGATGTGCCTGTCCGGAAGCAGGCACATCGGCGATACTTTACCTTCTCGAAAACCAATGAATGCTCCTGCTCCTCCAACGTACCGTGCACTTGAAAGGGATTCCGTTCCAGAACCAGAAGATGGTTACGCGCAATAGTACAGCATAGTATAGTACAATGGTTCCTCATGACCCCTCATTCCCTGCGAAAGCGCATCAGTCGGTGCCTGAGGTACGAGGGTGGTGATGACGAAAGGCGACGTCGCCTGGCTTACCAGACTCAAGCGTCCATTGATCGTGCTTCTTCAAATCCTCTGCCGTGACAGTCGGCCGAACATTATCGACAGACTTCAGGAAGTCTGCTACACGCAAGGGAGGTTCTTGCAGCTCGTCGCTCTCTATGTCCGTCCATGACTTCTCCTGAGCTTCCGGATCTCCGGGTGAACATGGTGTCCATTTCTTCACATCTGGGAGCCACTTGAAATGTGTCGCGGTGAGGACCTTCCGCACCGGCTGCATGAGAGCATCTTGCACAACGATAGCAATGTCCGAACCCGAATAGCTGAAATGGCGCACACCATTAGCGCATGAGTAGGCGGAGGTCTAGATCAATTAATTTGCATACCCGTCCGTCTTGTCCGCGAGAAGACGGTAGTCCTTGGGAGTCAGTTCACAAGGTGTATCGCCCACATGCAGCTCGAACATTCGCCGTCTGGCCTCTGGGCCCGGTAGGGGAATGTATATCCTCTTTTGGAACCTGTCCAACATCACTATCAGCTCAGTGAGACAGTTCAGCAGCGCACAATCCTCACCGTCGCTTTATCGCGTTATCCAGCTGCCATGGGATATTTGTCGCGCCGAGAACTAAGACGCCAGTGTCATCGTGACCAACACCGTTCATCTGAACTAGGAACTCAGTCTTGATTCGTCGCGATCCTTCCGACTCAGATTCGTTTCTCGTCCCGGCTAGCGAATCCACCTCGTCTATGAATATAATCGCAGGCTTATTCTCACGAGCCATCTCGAACAGTTGCTTCACGAGTCTGCACGTGAGAACACAGACAAAGAAGGTCAGCATCCCGGACATGCGCCAGCATGGCCCGACGTAACAAGACAGCACTCACCGCTCCGAGTCTCCCTGCCACTTGCTCACCAAGTCGCTCGAGCTGACGCTGAAGAACGTCCCGTTCGCCTCCGTCGCGACCGCTTTCGCGAGGTACGACTTGCCCGTTCCCGGCGGGCCGTACAGCAGGATCCCCCTCCATGGCGTCCGCTTCCCCGTGAACAGATGAGGGAACTTGATCGGCAGGATCACCGCCTCCTTCAGCGCCTCCTTCGCCGCCTCCAGCCCCGCGACGTCCTCCCACTTTACGTTCGGCTTCTCGCTCACGATCGCGCTCGCGAGCCCCGCGCGCAGCTTCTTAACCTCCGGGTCCGTGTCGTCGTCTTCTTTGCTGTGTAGTGCGCAGACAGGAATAAGGGGACAGGGACGGGTGGGGGAAGGGGGAGAGGGAGAGGGGGAAGGTTGAACGACAGGAAGGCGAGTGGCTGGGTGAGCTCAGCGGCACACGGACGAGGAGGGGCGCGAGCTCAGCAGGACGGACTCACCCCTTGCCTCCTCCGCCAGTCCCGCCGTTTGCCCCGCTGACGCCTACGAGCTTCTTCGCACGCTTCTCCTCCTTGCTCTGGAGGTGTTCCTTGAGTGTCTCCGCGCGTGCGAGGTACTCGTTGAACTTGGTCTTGATCAGCTTCTTCGACCGCTCGTTCTTCTCGTCTACGCGTCCATGAGCACATGTAAGTCTTCTGAGGTATCGCTGAACATACATTTGAGCGCGAGCATGAAGTAATCGAGGGCATTGGAGTAGAGCTTGTAGGCCTCTTCATAGTTCTGCTTCTTGTCTTCCTCTATCGCGCCCTGCACGATCTCAATGGCCCTCTGCGTAACATGTTAGTCAAACGTGCTCATCTGACAGCGTCTCATACAACTCACGTCTAAGTTATGAGACATGGTCGCAGTCGGTTGGTATCTGAGCGGGGAAGAGCCTTAATCGAGCCACCGACTGTGCCAGTGACCGCATCAGTTGCCTGATCCGTATTGCTTGTCGTTGTTAGGATCAAAGGCTGCAGCCTAACAGCCGCAAACAAACGCCTTGTATATACTCGACAATCGACTCCACCTGTGGCCAGCACGTTTCTGGCGATCGGCGATCGCCCTCGACTGCAGAGGACATGTTCCCCTTGTCTTACGATAACAGTAGGATTAGGCGAACCATTACGGTACAGGCGTCACTATCACTACAACAATTCCAGTCATGCGCAGTCCTCGAGAGGGAAGGGGGAACCCGCCAACGTCCGTGTCGGAAAGTGAACGCAAGTGAGTAACATTCGCAATCCACATCGGGCGCGCAAACAGTCCCGGCGTGGCATCTGCACTACTAACTAGCCGATCCGCGAGGGAGCGTGGTACTACTTCTACATCAAGGTGCGTGTGGCTGGAACTACGAGGAAGACAATAAAGACGAGACATGAGACGAGACGGAGAGACGACCTTAGTCAGAAGTAGGAAGAGGACGCAGGAACGGCACGACCGTCGTGGCGCCACACAATACGTGCGTGATGACGCGATACGAGGCACAACACCACCTACAGGAGATGCAACCTCTCCATGGCGACAGGATAGCGATCACAAGACGTGTACTTGCTCCCTAGCCAAGTGAGTCGCACTCTGGTGGACGTGCTTGGGACGGTCGACGAGATGGCAAACCTCGATACCCTGCACCCAGGGATGCTTGATGATGTCGTCGATGAGCGACCGCATCTTCGGGTTTGGCTCGAGCATCTTGCGGATGAGCGGCCTGCACGCCCGCGGAGAGAGGTTGTTGATGGTCGGGGGACAAGCCGACTGCGATGGGGTATTACAGGCGGAGACATACGCAGCGAAAAGCTGATCCGTCGGTTGCGCCACGGTCCACGGGAGCTCCTGGAAGTGCAGGCAGTAGTAGACGATTCCGCACGCCCAGATATCCACAAGGCGGGCATCATAGGCTATTTCCCAAACATTAGGGAGTCAGGGCGGGTGAAGCAAGGGCATTTGCTTACGTTTGCCTAAAAATTGCTCGGGAGCAATGTAAGGCTCACTGCCGCAAAGCCCCGTGGACATGTGGATCGTCTGCTCCCAAGGAAGACGATAGACGGTCGATGCGCCATAGTCACCAATCTTGCCGATCCGGTGAGCTGAGCTGCTGCGGAATCAGCCAAACTTCTCCACGTACCTTGAGGTGGCCCTGCATGTCGAAGAACAAGTTCTCCGGTTTGATATCACGATGGGCAACACCTTGACTATGAAGATACGCAACGCCGGTCAAGATCTGCTTGAAGCAGCACTCGACCTCGCTGGGTGACATGCCGCCACGTTTGATCGCCGCGTAGAGGTCTCCGCCAGGGCAAAACTCCATGACCTCGCACCAGTGCTGGTTCTCGTCCTGGACGAGATCGACCGTTTCAACCACATTGACGTGGTGCAGTGTCGAGGAGATACAGAATTCCGCCGTGAGCTTCTTGACGTACTCCTTCTCTGTCTCGTTCTTTCTCCGCTTCCTGAACTCCTATGATGCAAGGATGAGGCCTTGCATAGCCAACCTCGAAAGCACTTGGACACACACCTTGACAGCGTACAACTTCTCCTCACTACGATCCCACTTGTGAGCGAGACGGACGACCGAGGTCGCGCCCTTGCCAATAGCCACCTTCTCACAGACCCCGTACTTCTTGAGAAGGCTGATAGTGCTCGCGCCAGCTTCAGAACGCCCACCCCGATCAGAGTCGGACTTCTTGCTGCTCGCCGTCGAGCGCGCAGATGATCTCCTCACGAGCTTGGGCGTGCCGAGCAGGTCTCTGAGAGTGAACTTCTGGCTGCCGGTGTCCGAATGTACAGAGGGCGGCCGCTTGTTGTTCGACTTCTCGTCACCTGCGGAGAGAGTCGGCAATATCCGCGGAGCCGTGGGAGGAGGTTGCTCCTTCTTGGATGCGGGTTTCAAAGGCTGATTGACAGGAAGGGCAAGTTTGCCTCCTGAAACACCGGCAGACATGCTGGGAGCCCGACTGGGCGGCTGAGTGGACGGGACGCTCCAGCTCTCACACTCTGAAGGCGAGGGCGACTCGCTGGAGGAGGGCGTGATGGAGCCGGCGGTGGAGGAGGAATTGTGCTTGCCGTGAGGACCTCCATTGATGTTGAGCGTGTCGAGCTTGGTGCGCATGTCTTCCAGGCTCTTGCGAGTGTGGCCGGGCTGCTTGGCGTAGGCTTTGGAGTCTGGCGGGGGCAAGGGGACGTGAGGTTGCGATGGGTCAAAGACGCCACTGAGGGCTGCGGCAGGGCCGGAGGAACGGCGAGAACGCGGTTTACCGTTTCTTTGAGCTATGAGCAAAAACATGTGAGCGAGAGAAGGCGAGGTGGAGTGGAGGAGACGAATGACTAACCATGCGGCGGTTTATCTGAGCCCTCGGGACCTTCGCCCTCGGCCTGGGTTGTGTCGTTAGAGTCGGTCATGGTAGGTAGAGGTGATGAGATGGCGTGAATTGTGATCGTGAGGGGCGGGAGGCGCTGATTGAAGGCGATGAGAGAGAAAGTGGGTGCAGGGGAGAGGAGAGCGAATGGAGCGTTATTGGGGGGAAAGTTATGGGTTTATAGAGATATCATGACGGCGGCCAGGTTGTAGGGGTGTTGTGTTGGGTAGAGAGGAGGGTTTGGTGCGGGCTGGAGCGGGCGGGCCCTCTCGCGGTGCCCGGAGGGGGGGCTGGGATGGGGCGGAGGATGGAGGAGGAGGCTGAGCTGAGGGCTGCAGGAGACGAACCGGAGCAAAACCCCTGCGCCACACCACACCCGTTGCGGTTTTATCCATCGATTATGTAAGCTCCTTGCTGCACTCGCCACGCAGGCGTCTATCTGCCCTGTCCCGGTGTCCGTCCGAGCTCGCCCCCGCACGCAGCCTGCAGCGGTCTCCGCCATCGGGCACACTATGTACATACCAGCTGCCAATGCCGCCGGCCGGCGACGAGCCGACGCCCGTTTACGACAGTCTTGCCCACACCAACGCCCTCGCCGTGTCCATCGGCCCTGCCCGCCTTCGCATCGCACACGAGGTGATGCTTGCGAACGTCCCTCTCAGACCCGTCTTGTGAATCGCAGCAACCTGATTACTTCCTGCCACGATTCTGATAGAAGCGACTTATTTCATCTCCCGAGCTAAACTCGCCCCTCATGCCACAATACAGCGAAGCGTCCCGTCCTATGATGGCACTCGTTAGTGCTGCCGAGATAACGACTGGACCGCCAGCGGGCTTTTCGCTATAGCACCGGATGCCATCTTTCCCAGGCGCCACTCTGATTGGCACCCTCCCGACGCGGCAACTCATCCAGGCGCTCGTCCGTCTCAGCCTCCGTCTCCGATTCATCATCCATACACACACTTCCCATCCCCGAATTGCGTGCGATTCGTCCCTGCAAATGTCACCAGTGTTGCCCGCTATAGCGACGACCAGAACCAGACGGCGTGGAACGTCCCAGTCAGCACCGGAGGAACTCGGGCTGCATGTCCTCGGAGCCTTCGAGACCCATCGCGCCCAGACTACAACGTCCCGGTGAGGTGGCGCACTTTTGTAGACAGACGCCAGATACTCGATCTCTTGTCAGGTGCAAGGCGTACAGAGGCGTACAGAGACTTTGAGAAACATCGGCAGCGGGCATGGCACAGACGTGCCACAAACTTGCTGCTCATCCGCGACAGGCATCTTCAAGGGCAACGACGACCGCGGCACAGGAAGCTTAATGAAAGCCAATCGTTGCATCGTCGTCCCGCAGACCAGATGAGATGAGATTGAGATGGCAGCCCATAGATCGAACGTACGGTATGGTCCGCGGCCGGGAGACTGAAGTAGTAATACCATCGAGTAGGACAGCGCGCGCCAGTCGAGCGGAAAGTGGCAGTTCCGAAAAAAGCCAGTCGCAATCGATCCACCCGGTACTGTGCAGCTGCTCTGATAGAGTTCTGGCAGATCCCGAGTGGCTGGTCTCACGTAAGCGCGCCCTGGCATCCGCCATCGACAGCCCCATTCGCTCCCTATCGACCCTCCTCAAGACTCAAGGTGAGCTCGTCGCTGCCCGCAACGCCTCCAAAATCCTCATACCCCCCTTCATCGTGCTGTCCTCGCAGCCGCCATGGTCAACCTCCGGTCCCAAAAGCGCCTCGCCGCATCCGTCGCTGGCGTCGGCAAGCGAAAAATCTGGTTTGACCCCAACGAGCAGGCTGAGATCGGCAACGCCAACTCCCGCACTCATGTCAAGAAGCTCATCAAGGACGGCCGCATTATCATCAAGCCCACCACCGTCCACTCCCGCGCCCGCACCCGCGACCTCCTTGCCGCGAAGCGCAAGGGTCGCCACACCGGCCCCGGTAAGAGGAAGGGTACCGCCGACGCTCGTTTCCCCACGAAGGTCCAGTGGATGAGGAGGCAGCGGGTCTTGCGTCGGCTGTTGAGGAAGTACAGAGAGGCTGGGAAGATCGACAAGCACCTGTGAGTCCGCGATGGCGTTCTTTCTCCGTGCAGGACAGCCCCTCTTATGCAAACGCTCGTCGGTACAAAGCTACCACTCACTCTACCAGAAGTCGAAGGGTAACGTCTTCAAGAACAAGCGTGTCCTTATGGAGTACATTCACAAGGCCAAGGCCGAGAAGACCCGTACCAAGGTCCTCACGGACCAGATGGAGGCCCGCCGTGTCAAGAACAAGGTATGTCCTCGATCTTAGTCGCGTTAGTCTGATGTCCTTATCGCACCCTGTTACAGGCGGCTCGCGAGCGTCGTGCTGCGCGTGTGTTGGAGAAGAGGCAGGCAATCCTTGCTGTGGAGCACGATGCCCCCGTCCGGGAGTAAACCCGATAAATCCCCTTCTCTCCCATCCGCCCACTCGTCACATTCACGTATCAATACGCTGTACCCTATGCTATGCCCCCCACGCCAGTACGCCAAGCCCATGCTCGCATGTTATTACATGGTCTTCCGATGTCATCTCCACAGCACGGAGCAGATCCAGGTCTTACCCGGAAGTAAATGTATACGATATACAAACATTCCTGTGACTGCGCTCGGTATGACTGGTACGACCGGTAGCCTAGTTCCAGATAACACCACCTCATGAATGAGAACGACGCATTGATATGTTGGCGATTGCTCTGACGGGAGGATAGTGCATGCCTTTCGCCGTACGTCACCGTGTTGAGGGACACGGTAAAATAGATGACAAGCTCCGTATTTTCGCACTACTCGCACTACTACGTATACACAACCTAAGAAAATCAGTCCATAGTCATTGTACAGCCAGTCGGGGTTGCGCCCCTATCTCCCGAGGATGCGGCACCGCGCCTCACATAAATGTACATAGACGCCTACAACTCCTCCGAGGCCCCTTCCTGCTTGACCAGAGGCTGCTGGAGATGATCGGCGCGGATCCCTGCGACGGAAGATCGGTCGCGGGTCAGCAGGTCAGAGCAGGACGTGCGCGAGGTCCATACACATGCGCTTCACGTCGCGCTCCTTCGCGATCGCCTCGACCATCTCCCGCGTGATCGCCAGCGACTCGCCTGCTTCTGCGCCCTCGAGCCCGGAAGCGTCCCTCCGGACGCGGCGCACGAGGAGCCCGCACTCGTTCAGGGCGAACGCGGCGTCCTCGACGCGGAGGTTCGTCGCGCGCGCGATGTCCACGAGCGTGCAGCGGACGACGACGTGCGTCGTCGCGCTCCCGTCCGCGTTCGCGGTCGTCTCGACGCTCCGGAGCGTGGTCCACATCGGGTCTGTGTGCGGACGTAAATACCACACGTTCTGACGGACGCGCGCAGTGGCGTACACGGGCCACTGACCGTTCATGTCGTTCATGTGCGCCGTCCGGGCGGCAATGGCGGCCGCCGAGAGCTCCTCGCCGTCCCAGCCCTTGGTGCTCTTCCTCTTCTTCTTCGAGACGGACGAGCCGTCCTCAGTGTCGCGGGAAGGAGATTGCGCGAAGGCGTCCGCCACGTCCGTTGTCAGACCGGTCGTCACAACCTGCGCCGTATCCGGTGGTAGCACCGAGAGCAGCCGCCTGCAAATCGCACGAAGCACGTTGCACGGAGCCAGTATGTTTGTTAGGCGCATGACGTCCTGCGCGCAAACGCGACTAATTGCAGGTAGGGGCTGCACGCACCGGAAGAACCTGATGAGGGTGGACACCCAGTACGTGAGGTAGCTGCGCAACCCCAGATCCGACAGCGGCCGCTCGGGAGTCCCGATCTTCCCAGCCCTCCGGGAGAGCTCATAACCTAGCGGTATCAAAAGAGAGAAGATGACCACAGCACACAATGCACGCAAGCCAAATATGTCAGCTCCAATGGCGAAGACCCGGCGACGCCATCGCCACCAAGGCGACCTAACTGCGCACGCACTGAATTCTATGAGAAGCATGCCGTAGCCCTTCTTTTGATAAGGGGGCAGGACGACGATGCAGGCCAGATTGTAGTCGTCATACGACACTTTCTCCTGCGGGCCGCAACGTGTCAGCAAAGTTTACTTGGGATCCCGGCCGTCGTATATTACCTTCGAGAAGAAGCCAAGGACATGGTCCCTCTGAGAGTCAGCATCTGTGAGGATATAGAAGAGGACTGCGCGAAAAGGCGTAGCCCATGCCCCGGTCAGTGTGTCTTAAAGTGCGTAACGACTGAGCGCCGCCTCACAGTTGTCGCAGTCGAAAAAGAGGGTCTTTATGTCAATGAAGAACTTGCCGAACAGCGATAGGTTCTGGCAGTAGAGCTGACAGGGGTCGGCGTCAAGGTCAGCGTATACCGCATACAAGCACCGTGCAGGGCCAAGAAGAAACCGCGTACCTTCTCCTTTGCCCCATCGACTTCCCAGATGATGTGAGCCCCACGCTGATAGACTTTGCGCCCTGGCGGACTTTTCCGCGTACACTTTTTCTAAGACACCTGGCGTCCGTCAGCCTGGATAGACGTAATAGGCGAGCTGTGGTGCACGCACGAGGTGCACTTCCCAGGACAGGCCTTCTGCCATGTACTTGAAGCATCGATCGCAGACCCACAGGGTCGAGTTCTGGCCAGTGCCATGGCTGCGACCCAGTCCTCCCGCGAGAAGGTCGGACGTTCGCCCATGCGAGCGTATCGAAGACCGAGACACCCCGGGTATTCTGCCCACTGCACTGGGTGTATGCGAGCTCGGCGTGCCTGTCTCCTCGGTCTCCGACTCGGTCAGAGGATATGGCGAGAAGTACCTGTGCTGGATTAGCGCGAACCCAGACACACTCGTACCCACGACAGATACGCCAGGCGTGCCGCGCAGGCTAGAATGAAGTGTAGGATACGCACCACGTCTTGATCTGCCACCGTCCGAATATGACTTTGTCGAAGTTCCTTTTTGCGGTGATCTGCTTGTGATGCTCGATGTCATACTCTTCCTCCGTGATCACGCTCGCGTTCGCCTTGCTCGCGTCCTCGTCCTCAGGCTGCGCGGACCCTGAGCCTGCATCCTGATCGCGCGGGGGGCGGCTGGGAGAGCTACGTAGACTGGAAGACCCTGCGCCATCTACAGAGTCTCTCTTTCTTTTGCGTGTTGTGCCGTTGCTCATGTCGTTCACCTCATGTCCTCCTGCAGGACGGACATCGCGTTCCGCCACCCACTCATCGAGGCGTTTGTCTTTGTCCACGTAATGGACGTAGACCTCCGCGCCATGGCGATCCAGGATATGAACCTGTTCTGTGCGCACACGCGTTTGGTCGGGGGGCTCGGACATGCAGAGGGTGGCACTTACGTTCTACGCCGTTCCTGTTCACAATGTACACATCTCTGTCTCCTGCATGGGACTCCGGCGCGGCTAATGTCTTGGGCATGAGGCCGTGCCGTCGATGAAGGACTTCTGTGTGGAACACGCTCAAGAGCCGCTTAATGCAAGAAGACAGCCGAGGCCGGCGGGGGAAGGAGGACTTGAGGCTTAACGTTTGGCCGCTCAGCAAGTCCACGCGATTGCTGGACACGCGCAGGTCGGAGAATAAGTGAAGCAGACGTTCAGCTCAGAGCTGGTGGCAAGAACCAAGGCCATGTCCGACCGGGACCCCCGGACCATTGAATCTAGCGCTAGCCAAGGTCGTACATATTTGAGCTTTATCTACTCCGAGTTCAGACACCTGAGCTACGGCGCAGCAGCTCCAACTCGAATTTGACTCTAGGTTGGTAGCAGACTATCGGCTGCAGCTTTGTGCTGCTGCGTAGTCACGCTGCCGCTAGAGACGACTCCGACACAAACGCCACCCATCCATGGGTTTGCACTTCATGCTCCTAGCCTTCCTGCTGTTCAATGCAACTCATCATGAGCAGTATAGCGAGCAGCGCAACTTCCTTCGAGCGAAATCTCTACTTCCGAAACCACAATGTGGGTCGTCAGTATCACCGCTCCAGACAGCCTACCACACAATTTAATTGACATCTGCCTCAGAGAACTCCCTACCTAGAACCTCCGGTACCCGACGCGCTCAAGTTCGTGTGAGCTGCAGAAAGATCTTCGACCTCCGGTCGTAAGATAGAGGTGGCGATAGTGCGGGCTGCTACCTGCCCCCGCCAGACGCTGGCTCAAATCAGCCCAACCAGTACTAAACGTCCTGACAATAAGGTTCTTCTTCTTCTAGATCCCGTTTATTGCCCTGCGAGGCCGAGCCTCATGGTAGGCCGTAAATACAATACTGTCTACTTGACAATAAGGTTGACAACTGATAGAGCACGGATCACCTGGCATTGCACCCATCGTGAACCCACCAAAGGTTAGCCTGACTCTCACAGGAAACCGGGAAGGGTTTTGCGTACCCTCCTCAGGCACTTCTCTTCATGAAACTCATCGGAAGGTCTGCGTCATGCGGTTCGCTGGAGCGCGGAGTCTCCGAGCTGCCCATGTACAAGCTCGACTCAATCCCCAATTCGTCAAAGCGTCCAGGCAGGAATCGCGAGGAACAATGGCACATGTGCTGTGGAGAATGAAGGATGCAGTCGGATCGTCAAAAGGACACGAGCCAGAAAGGCATTATTCTTTGTATTGAACTCTACAACCCGGTTGTCTAGACTATCGACCCTCTAACCTCCTCCTGACTTGACCGATCCCGGACAATATGACACCAAAGTTGAGTGCCGTCCTGCAACTATACCTTGTACCATCTGGACACGTGCACGCACATTTGATATGGAGGCAGGGGGACATCCGTAACTGCTACTCTAGCGCGGCCTCGTATCTAACGATTCAAACCGCCGACAACTTCGTAGCTTTGTCGTCCGGCGCTGGCGCTCAAAGAAGGTGCAAGATCTAGGTGGTCAATAGCTCGAAGCCCGTGGAATGAAGTACCAGTAGCCTGCTGCTGCCAAGACGAACTCAAATGTGAACGGAGATGAAGGTGGTGGGACTCTGGTTGCCTACCTCCTGCACAAATGAGAGGAGGTTCTCGCCAGTCTCGTCAAGAAGAGAACCGGCGGACGGTCATTGCTGAGGGACCTGCCAAGCAGACCGGCATGGACACAGAACTTGACTGATGCACGGAGTATCAGACGACCGCTACTCCTTTGCGCGAAGGCTAGGCTCGACCCCTGCTGTGCGAGACTTACGGCTTCCACTATAGAGTTGTGCGGAAAATAGACGCGATCTGTGAACAAGTTACACGAAGGAAGGCTTCGGAAGCATGCGCAGTGTGGGCAGCCCATTGATACCGAGCTTTCCAAGCAACCACTGTCGGTACATAGAACTCCAAGATGAGTCAAGCTGGTGGTTTCAATTGCGCGAACAGACACCCTCGTCGAATACAACGTGTTGTGGAGGTTTCGCAGTCTGCGGATTGAAGATACCATTCCTGTGCTGACATACATGTGCAACACGACCAACAACAATGACAGATACACCTGGTGAAGAAGAGAAGTGCAATACGACCACAGCCAAACCCGTGCCTCAGCGCAACATCGGCGTCGAGGGCGAAGTAACCAGCCTCAATGTAGAGTCCGCCCCAGCGAAAGACGCGTCCCCCGCAAACGTGTTCGGCGCCAGTACATCGCCCCAAGGCATCCCTGCACCACTCGTATCCGGATCCGGGGACGCCCCTGCATTCCACTCGTCTCCGTATACCTCTCGCATAACCTCGTCCATCAGGTCCTCCTCGAGGTCCTCGTCTTGTCCTTGCTCTCGTTCTAATTCGTGAACGCCTCGGGCTGACGGCGTTAGACCTGCGGCTGGTCCTCCCTTACGCTCACCGTCCTTCTCCGAGCCGAACTCGCCGTGCTTCGGCTTGCTCCTAGAACGACGACCAGAGAAGATTGCATGGCAGGTCCGAGGCGTGAGGCTAGCCAGGTTTAGAGCAGGCCGACGTCCGCGGTGATTGTACCCGATGCCACTTCCGATCTTCTCGATGCCCCTCGGGAGCTCCGCAGGTGGTATAGCAGGAGTTGGCGGAATAACGGGCGTTTGTGCCTTTGGGATCGGAGTACCGGCCTGAGATCTCTTGCGTAGTTTCTTCGTCCAACGGCCAGATCCAGAGCTAGCGCTGTCGTCCACATCCCGGAAGGACTCGAGAGATATGCCTAGAATAGATTTCGTCTTGCGAAGCGGGGTGGTCGACTCAGAACGTCCAAGCTGCCTAGACGACTCAGCTGCAGGAATAGACGAGTCCGTGGATGCAAGGCTGTCCAGGTCGTCGAAGTTTAAGCTCGCATATTTGCGCAGTCTGCCTACACGGGATTCCAGAGGCGTCGGTGAACCCATGTACGGAGTATCGTCAAGGTTGGGTAAGATAGAAACATCAGCATCGGGAGCGTCTTCCACAGGTAGCGGGGGCGGTGCCGTCCGAGGAGTGTTGTCCGTTGTGTTTTTAGGAACGTCAGGAAGAGGGTCCGCAGGTGCACTGGGCGGAGCCGGTATCACAGTCACATCGCCAATACGCAAGCTCTGTCGTCGCCGCCTAGCCGACCGAGACCAAGTGGATTGGAGCGAGCTGCTGGAAGGAAGAGTACGCTGCCAGCTGAAGGAGAATTGTCCAGAGTCTTGGGAAATACGGTTTGCAGTAGGCTGTCCTAAAGAGGACCTTTCCGGATCCATTGCAACAAACGTGAACGTGTCCTTTGCAAGGGAAGAGAACGGTGCTGTGAGAGAGTCAGTGACGATGCGCATAGAAGGAGTAAGAGTGGACCTGGCAATCGCTTTGTAGTCAGGCTGGTCCAATCGCTGATACGCACGGCGGGGATCAGTGTCGTACGATAGTAGAAAAAGCAAGAGGCATACATGTCATGGAAGTACTCATGCATCTTCACACCCACACCGTCAATCCGCAGTGCTGGGTTCCTTTGAAGACACTATGTGCCCGTTGGCTGAAGTCAAAAGATATCGGAGAAGTGCAGTTGCACGCACCCTAGCAACTAGGCGATATGCACCATCGTCCATAGCTGGGTAATCTTCCATCAGCTTGGAGTGGAGGATTTTGCTGTGCAAGATGGCCGAGTGCATATTGTCCGCTTCAATAACGAAAGGGTGCTGTGGACGATGACCCACCGACGATCAGGACGAACAAGATGCATCCAAACAAAACTCGTACCGATCGAGTGAGAATCCAGAACAAGAGGAGCCCGAAACTCCACCAGTCAACGCCATAGTCATGGTCCCAACCCAGAACTAGTTCAGGCGCATGGAACATTTCGTCTTCGAGAGCCCGTAATCGTGTCTCGGCGCGATAGGTGGCAGTGTCGCCGCGGAGGAATCTCCCGCTCCCGAAGTCCGAGATCACGACATGCCCGTCTTCATCAATCAGAACACTTTCCGGCTTCAGGTTGGTGTGAACGAGGCCTCGTTCTTGGAGCCCCAGGATACCGGCGGTCTATAAGAGCAGTCTCATCAGACAACCACAATGATGTATAGTGGTTGGGATACTTCACTAGCTCAGCGGCACACAAGATTGCACTATGGCCTCTCAAAGGCCCTTCGCGTTCTATGACCGTTCGCAATTCTCTGCCATCCGTTCGATCCTACGACATGCAGAAACGTTGATAAGCTCCGTATATGCGCCTCTGTCGTGACGTAGAGCACTCACCGTGACTAGATACATCGCCTTCTCATCTTCGAAGCTCCACCACAACCTGATTACGAACGGAATTTCGAGCTTCGTTAATAACTTGAGTGCTTTTTGCTCGTTGCGAATGCGGACTGCAAGACGAGCAGCGCCATGTCCAGACTTCATAACGAGTTTCACGGTGTAGACTTCCCCGTTGTCGAACTTGCGTGCGAGAATAGATTCCTCCCCATCGTCTTTGGTGAGGTTCTGGATGTATTCGAAGTGGTTCGCATCGATGCACCCTGGGTCGTTTTTCAGGTTGACCTAGCAGCTTGAATGAGTAATATGTCCAGAACGCCCAAAGCCCAAACGCACCTTGTAGGGACTTCGGCGGGGACGGTCGCCTGACGATTCAACAACGACACTCAGCGACCTTCTTTTCCTGTCCTTCTTTGATACAACCATCACTTCCTGAGCGGGCACCGTTCAGTTGAGAATCATGAGTCCGCTAGAATAGCGCATATACTGACCTCTACGTCATCGTCCAACCACCCGGAGTCGAGCGCTTTGATATCGCCCAAGTGCTACAGCAACACTGGAATCAGAGGGACGTCATGCATGCGGCAGCCGGAGGATATACTTCAACTTCGAAGCTCGCCTCATGTGTAGATCGTGATATCGAAGCCAACCTATTCTGTGACAGCCACTTTGAACCGGTGCGTCTGCGGAAGAATCCTTCCTAATGATTACAGTGGTTATTCGTGGATTCAACAAAACACAGTACATGGAATGAGCGACCCTTACTGGTATGGATGTGAAAGGGCTCCTCTCCTCCGATGGAGGCGTCTCAAGTGGAGGACTGTCAACATTACTCGCCATAGACGGTAGATGTGGTTCAGACACCGAGGCCACGATGCCTCGAAAATCTGGACTGAGGAACCCATCGGTCTCTCTAGACATGCCGAGGACGCTCTACACATCACTAATCAGAACGAACACAACAAATCAACATGAATTCCCGAGTCGGAGTGTACCTGGCTGCGGTCGAGCCCTCCTGAAAGTCTCTCCGAAGAGAGGGACTTGCTCGCCATGGTTCTGCTAGCGTACATTGCGGCGCAGTGAAAGAGATGAGACTCGAAGGTGCCGTCGTGGGTCAAGTTCAACAACAAGCCCGAACAAATTCCAAACCTAGTGCCTTCTAGCCGAGATCGGGCCCGGATCTCGACGGTCGATCACCTTCCCCAATCACATCTCGCCCATACGCGAAGCTCAGGGGGTGAATTTACTTACGGGGCTGGGGCAGAGACATAGGCGGGTGATGTGAGGACATCCATATCTAACAACCACGGTCTACGAGAAGGGATTGTGTCGTAGATCGTTAAAGGTGTCCACACCCATCTAGTTCTACATTGTCGTGAGTCACTATAATCTACAGCAGATTCCGTGGTGGAGATGTGCGCATGGGAGCCGCTTCGTCAGGGCTTGTGTATCGCGTCCTTGGGGCACTAGAGATCTTCGATGCCGACCTCGCCCCAGCCTCCCCGATCTCTCATCCCGGCCGTGCCCCCTAACTTGCCCTTGCCTCTGGCCTTCCGTCCGCCAAGCTCCTTGTACATTTCGCGCATCTCCACCTTGGACGGCCGCGCTGCCCCTTCCACTTCCTGCTTCCACTTCTCCTCTCGGATCTCGCGAGGTGTCTGCTGGCCAGACCTTAACGGCGTAAGGTAGCCTGAGCGAGGCGATTGCGGAGGAGAACGATTGGGGATGGTGGTTAGATACGTCGTGCGCTACACACGAAACAACGATCATTATAACTTTCGCTTCGGACTCCTAAGTCCTACTCACCCAGTTCTGTTTGGACTCGCGTTTCGTCCACTTCCCCGGAGGCAAGCTCTCATCGTGGAAGTTCTCCTTCCGGTAGTGCTGGAACCACACTGCTCACAAAGCATCAGTAAGCCGACCCACATGCACCTCCCGCCTGTGCGCACCATAGTTTAAGGTCTGGCTCTTGTTCCACTTCTTCGAGACGCGGGAGCAGCGCGCGAGGTCCCGAATAGACAGATGAGAGAATACGCGCTGCGAGACGTCGGTGGGCAACACTCGTAGAGGGTCTCTCGATGGCCCGCTCTTCAGTCCGCTCAGAGGTTGGAGGGGACTTGGTCGTGAACCGCGTGTCGGTGAATGGGGGCGCGATGCAGGGCGCGAGCCAGGACGAGACATTCCCGGACTTCCGGGCAGAGACATCTGTCGCAGTCCGGTCAGTCAAATGTCGCGACATGGATTGGACGAGAAGAAGTACTCACGACATTTACAAGCTCATCATCATCGTCGGGACTTGTTCGCCCACTAGTGATGGTCTTCTCCAAAGATTCGAGAGTTTGGGTACGTAAAACGTCTTGCAAAAGACTCATGGTGGGCAGGATAGATGAAGCAGAGGGTTGATGGTGGTTGTTGAGCGAGGAATGGCTCGTCTTATATAGACTTGTCTCTCGGCCCATTACACTCGAAGCACGTGCATGACGTCACGGCCTGCACGGGCCCGGAATTCCGGACATGTCCAAATGCGCTAAGTTTCCGAGGAATCGTTGCTTCGGCAGGGCGGGGTTGAAATCACCTAGTACAAGTCGTCAACCTGGGACTAGGTACTTACAGTCACCGGGGGCATCGTCCTGTGGCACAATATTGTGTCCCAGCGTGAATCTAACTTAATCAGAGCCACTGTAGGATCATTACTTGGTTGGGTGTCCCATCGCAATCCCCTTAAGAAGTTTTGATGAAACCGTGTTATATACTAGTTACATTCATTGTGCAGGGTGGGGCAGGTGTGGGATCGAGGTGGGAAATAAAGAAATATGATTGTCTCAACGTGGTTCAGGTTACGATGCCTCTATGATGGGACACGATACTTCAACTCCTCCGGTGAGTACTGCACGACACGCGATACGTATGCATTCTCATAACTCCATGATGGGATACAACCGTTGCATCAACTGGCGCTGAGGACGGAGCGACGACTTCGAAGCTCAGGTGAGCTTCAATGTCTGCTCGGGTGGTGGTGCATAGCGGTAGCCACGAGGCAAGTTTCGCTCCGTCTCGATCCATATCGGAAGACTCGGAGGTCCGCTGTCATTCCGCACGACGAAACCGAGCCCAGTCCACATTCGTACCATATCGGTACATCCAGGGAAGAACGCACTCGATACATCTGTGCGCGTGTAGCAATCCAGATTGGCTTATTAGTAAATTGTCTGAATTTCCTGAAGCAAATGTACTAACCGTCTGGCGTGACTCGCAAACCTTCAGTCCAACTACGGCGCGGGATCTGAGTAAGATCCGCAACAATGGTCGGAATGGCCGGCTTGCGGACCTCGTTCGGCTTTGACTGGTTCCAAGGTGTCATCGTCGGAACGGCAACGTCGTCGGGACGAGCAGACGGCCACCTATGATTACAGGCATTCAGCACCGGATGAATGGCTGCATCGACTCGGAGACCGTTCACCAGAAAGTGTTGCACTGGCTGAAGTCGCTCTGCCATGGCAAGCTCAGCCCACGAGACAAGAAACCTGGAAGGACTTTATCGTGATTGACTCTGAAGGGCGGCTGGATTCCCTTGACGGCGGTGTCGAACGTCTCCGCCAACTTGGCAATCCAGTATACCTCAATGCCAGGGTACAGCGGATCGCCGATAGACTGCTCGAGAATCGCGCGTGTGAGCATGATGGGTTGCTCTTGCAAGTCATACTCCTCGATTGCCTTCTTCGTGAAGGGCGCTCCCTTCGTGAACTTGCCATCCTTCCAGTCTCTAAAGCGTTCATATTGCAACGCGGTCAGCGCAGCAAAGCGCTGGATAGACACCTCGTGGGGCACGACCCCAGGCTCGAGAGCGTCACCTAAATACCATTTTAATGTATTTACGGTCGGAGAAGAAGCTATTGAGTCTCTTACCTCTATCACCAGAAAGCCTGGGCATGAAGATGACATGGGCTTGGTCCTTGTTCCGGTAGTCGGGCTCGCGGAGCCTGCCGAAAATGTGTTCACGTAGCGCCTTATACTGAATCTCCGTAGAGGAGAGCTGGGGCTCCTGAGGCCAGAAGTTCCCAAATCCTGCAGGCCCTAATTACTCCGAATCAGCGTACACATCGCAGCCAAGGAGGAGCCGAGATGTCTACCGTGGCCCTGGAACGCCTTCTCGTTCACCCAAGAGAGCTTGTACGTCCCAGACACTACCGGCCAGATATCCTTGTAGAAGTCGGTCCCAGCGTGCTCCTCGTATTTGACCTGCTTATTGTAGATGTTTTCGAGAATGTCGTAGAGCGACGTCGGCGACTCGATGCCCCATGCAAACTTTGGCGGGGCACTGATGACGGTCGCCCTATGCGGCTTGGGGATCCTGCAAACGTAACAACGCCGCTCGGTCAGGAGTGGAAATGTCGATCAAACGTATGAGTGGCGTACTGAGCGGCAAGCTGAGGCCTGCCCGGATGCTCAACAGAGACCTCCACCCATCCGTCGCACATGTTGTCATAGTAATCCACACTGTCGAACTCAGAGATGATGTCCGGTTGCTTGATGAACTGAGGATTATCATCGACCTGCACCGAATGCGAGTGCCCGCTCCCGCCAAGGAAGACTAGACGGCCGTGATCGTCCGTGCGCAGCTCACCCAACCTCACCGGCCTAGGTTCACGAGCGGAACCCTGGAACTTGCCGTCCAGAGGAACTGGGGCAGTGCCCTTCTGTCCGCCTATCACTTGGGGTCCGGGATCGATGATCAGCCTTTTGCGCGATTCCAGAGAGAGGTCGAATGGGTCGCCAGAAGCATTGTCCTAAAACGACGATATTAGTCTGCACCTAGGCCGTAGGAACATGAATTGCGTACCACTGGGTCAACATCCGGGTTCCGCAAATCAGTATTGACTTGGCCCAATCGTCCTGCGTAATAGTTTCAGGATACCTGGGGAAACATGACGAATGAGACCATCCTACCGCGAGAGAGGAAGTAAGCCGCCTTCTTGTTGGCAACGTGAACTTTCCAAGTCAAGCTGTAGCCATGGGCATTGTTGATCTCCCCAAGGACCTTTCCCTGGTCGTCGTACGCATACACACGGAAACGTGCAGCCTTTCGTGCCTTCAACATCACGAGGAAGACCGCCATTGAAGGGTAGTCAAACGCACCTGTCGTTTGATGCGGCCCTGAGAGTCCCTGAACGAACCGAACGGATGTTCGTCGAGGCCAGGAACCTCAGGACCGTAGAAGTACTCGATCTCGGGGTGAGCCTCATCGGCTTTACCGTCCAATTGAGTCCCGGAGTCACCGACACGAGCAATGCCGATGGGAGGGAAGATCGCGACGCGGGCTATCTTTGCCGGGTCGACATTGGCAGATGGCTTGTCGGCGCTGGGATCGTAGGGCTTGAACGTGGACATGGTTCAGGAGAGCAGCGTATCTAGAGTGCGAGCTACGAGAGGCCCCGAGAGGGTTCAACTGTGTATGGCATTTTCAAGCTACATGTTATAATCGTTTCACGCCTGAAAACGCGCTTTGGGGCGCCATCTGCTCATAGCCGTGTGTAGCTCACATACCGTTCTGTTCGGGAGCACCGTTGTCCACCTGAGCACCCATAACGCCTTCGCCGCTAATTCGGAGGGAACATGCATCCCGTCATGAACAGGGAACGTGTTGGGGTACTGCAGGAGTCGTGTCAGTATTGGCTTGGCACGATACATGGAACCTGACAGTACGTACCGTACAACTCAGATGTCAGTCGGCATTTAGAACTTACGACAAAGCGCTGCACGAGGCGGAGGTTAGCACCAATTGAGAACACGGAAAAGCGCGATTAAGGTACACCACGACAATATCTCCGTACTCTTCACCGGAATGCAGGATTACCGGTGGAGACGTGTAGTTGATTCCAAGTGATCGATGCGTCGATGGACGCCTCAATGTCACTGCTCGCCGTATGGTCGTAGCCGATTGCACGGGAATGCCGTTTTCTGGACCTGCTTAGAACTCCCGACCTTCCGGAGCTTCACACTAGCAGATGTGCCTGCCTCATTTCCGAGCATCGTCTGAGAGATTCAATCAGAACTATCGTAAGTGGACTAAACATAACTAGATACATACTAACCTGGGGAGGAGACTGTACTAGGTCTTCGTGGCAGCTCTTGACATGTTCCATACCAGCGAGGGTCAACTGATTCCACCACAGCCGCGATAGAACCGTGAACGCAGTCCGGCTCTGAGCGAAAGTTGAACCTGAACTTGCCTCGTGATGAGGCATTACTATCGCTATCAATGGCTTCCATGCTTGGTATCGTAGCGAAAGAGCCTAGCGAGCGCTACTAGCGGCGACTATGGAGTGAGTCGACTTCTGGTGTTTATACGTGTTTGCTATCAAGCGGACTACGCAGCAGCCTATGTCTGATATCGCCGCCTCCCCCCGGGTTGACATCACCATAAAATTCACATAGTTCTGATACCGCAGCTAACACTCAAATGCCGCCGGCGCATGCAAGTATACATTATTGTACATGCTGGCAAGAAACCCGACTCGCAATTACAGCGACGGCGCCAATCCAGTCAAGCAAAACTTAATCTTCCCAATCGCCTCCCGAGTTCCCTGATGCTCAGGGCCCGTAGCGGCGTTGTACGCGCGCTGGACCTCCGCTACCAAGCCCTCAAACAATCCCTTCGGATCCAACGGCTTCCCGTCCGAGCCAGGCGGGTAGAACTCGAAACACGGAGCGGCGTGCCTCCCGCCGTCGATGACTTGTTCGACGAGAGCGTGCGCGACCGGGGATAGAATCTCCACCATGAGACGGTGGATGTTCCGGAAGAGCTGCGTGCGCTTGGCCGGCTGCCCTTCCGCCCAGCATCGGTCAAGCGTCTGGAGGAGGTAACAGAAGGTGGCATCCACTGCCAACGACAACTGTCGACAGTATATGAGCAGCCGCCTGGATGGCATGTGGCAGACGACAGCGGCGCTCTACGTACCCGGTAAGCGACCTCGCTCTTGCCCTTGTAGTCTGCGGTGTGTGGCTCGTTGACGTAGTCGATGCAGGTCCACTCCTTCCTTCGCTGGTACAGCTGGACGAAGATGGAGTAGTGGGAGTCCGGGACACCAATGCTGCCTTCGCCCTGGTCAACGATGGTCTCGAGCGCCTGGAGCGCGGTCTTCGTATCTACGACAACAGTCATCTTCTCCCCGAAAAATTCTTCACCGCGGAACTGCTTGTCGTGATTGCTTGAGAATAGATCGCGGTCCGTTGCAGAGACCTCATAGATGCCTGGGTTGTGAGTCATATCAATATTGGATCGCGACAAGGTCTGTCTGACAGTGGGCCTACCGTGCTGGAGCTCTCTATAAAACTCTCCAATACCGTTATAACCGGGCAGAAGCTGTATGGAATACTCGACGTCCTCTGCTACCTCTAGTTTGGGCGGAGGCATATAAGGCGCTTCGATCTGCACAATGAGTCTGTAAGCCACTAATACTTGGGTCGCATCGGACGACATTCTGACCTTCAAGAAGCACTCCAGATTCTCTTTGTTGGCGGGCCGTAGCGCCATCTCGATCTTCTCAAACAAGATTTCGGACGGATACGTCGGTATGAACAATTTGTCGTACAGCGGCTGAGTCCCTCCCAAGGCGGCTAGCATATTTCCGGCGAGCGCAAGGTGCAACATCTCTTGCTCCGCCACAGCTAGAAGAGATGGTCGTCGCTATCAGCCATAGCCAAATGAACATGGGGCCCAGCACAGCGGTTTGACGAACCTAGAATGTTCGCTCGCGCTTTGGATCCCCACCCGCCATTGTCGCGCTTGATACTGTACAACGCGCAGAAATAGATAGGAAGTGTCCCCAGCTCTACTTGCATCCCCTGTAAAAACCCGTCGTCAGCAGCGGAAGAACCAGGACTTGTGGGATCGCTTACCGTCTTGACATGTTCAATGAGTGCCTTCTTCGTCCACTTTGTCGGCACCCCTTCTACAGGACTAAAGATACCCATGGCTGAAAGTCTTTTGAAATTCGTGAAATCGCCTTGGGAGGGGACTACTGGGCTGCAAGATTTATACCATGTCGCTCAGACGCTGGCCCCTGCCTATGGCGCTACCATGTATGTACAACTGAGGATGCTTCTCTGCGACTCAGGATGTCCCTCGGCAGGGTCCCACATCGGTTGCAAACGATGGCGCCGTCCATTCATTGTGTCTGCAAACGTCAACCCCGGAATTTAACGCTCTCATGTCAAGATGTGAAATGCTTGTCCGGAGTTCGTCAGGTCCCGTCCTCCTCTCTGCTACACGTTGCGATATCGACAGCACGAGGCGGTCAAGTGATAGTGGACCGATACTAAATCGGTCGACGGTCTGTTCGAAAGCATGAGCGCCGCATGGGGGGACGGAGAGCGGAGGGGTATCGCATACCAATTGATCCCTTGCATCTCGCCGAACAAGGTCACACACGAGAGGGTCAGAGGGCATGTCGACCACACATTCTAGTGACTATGACAGTACGTGTCCGAGTTCTGATCTTTGCCAACATACGAACCGATTTCTTCCCCAAGTCATCATCGTTGGCGGCGGGCCTGCAGGCTGCGCAACTGCGCTCTCAATAGCCAGACGAACACCAGAGGGATCTGTCCGTATATTGATCATCGACGATGCGGACCCAAGTGCCTACAAGGTATCAGTACATTGAGCAACTGGGCGTAGATGACTAGTTGAGACACCTACAGATCGGCGAATCACTTCCCGCTGCAGCAAGACGTTCGTTATCCATGCTCGATCCATCGCTACTCCCCCGCCTGACCGAGGACACCTCTCGTGGTCTGCACGACGTTTGCACGGGGAATGCTTCTGCGTGGGCGAGTGCGGACCTGCACGAAACATACTCACTCATGAACCCTTACGGCGCGGGGTGGCACCTCGATCGCGCGCGTTTCGACGATATGTTGCGCCAAACCTGCGGATCTATGCTCTGGAGAGGCAAGGTCGTGGGAGTACGTCGGGCGGACAGGGGAGGGGTCGAAGGCTCGCCCGTCTTCGGGTGGGATATCGACGCAAAACCTGCCGGAACAAGTTCAATGAAGACGTTCCGCACGAGATGGTTGGTAGACGCGACCGGCCGCAAAGCATCTGTAGCGCAGAAGGTCAGTGCATTCATTCTCAATTGATCTCCTGAACACTACTCACCAGCGCGAACTAGATCGGGGCCAAGATGCGCAAACATTCCGACCTCCTCGCGTTCTACGTCGTCTTCGACAGGATTGATCCCGACTCGGATCGTGCGGACGACAACGACACCCGTACCCTCATCGAAGCTGCTTCAAGCGGCTGGTGGTACTCAGCCCGTCTCCCCCATGGGAAGCGTCTCGTCATGTACACGACCTCCCCGTGGGATGCGACAGCCCGTGTCGCGCGCACCGCCGCTGGCTTCCTAGACATGCTCCAGTCGGATACCGTCCACATATCCCACTCTCTATGCGGTGCATCATTGAGAAACGATCCCGCTGCGGAACCTCTTGAAGAGATGCCGCTCTACGAGATGTCTCCAGGGACGAAGTTCACACGGTGCACTACGGCGGCGTCATCGATCCTGGACCCATACGCGTCATGGGAGCCGCAAGGCAAATCCGGAGGCGGTAGCGGGCTCGAAGACGATCACCAAGGACGAGGCTGGTGCGCCGTTGGCGATGCAGCGCTTGCGTTCGACCCGCTCTCATCACAGGGGATCATCACCGCTTTGAATGCCGGTGCATTCCTTGGTTCGGTGCTGGCATGTCACTTGCACCCATCTACTGCAGAGAGCCCTCACCTAGAAGGCAGTGAGGCTGTGCGAGAGATACAGCAAGCGTACGAGCGCGTGCGGGAGAAGTACGAAGAGGGCCGCGCATACTACTATCGCATTGTCAGGAGGTTTGAGGACCCACAGACCCATGAGGGAGTGGCAGGCTTTTGGAAGGCACAGAGCTGAACACTGGTACATACTCACTGTCATGTAGCACCAAGATATTTCGCGTTTGTCTCTCCGAGAAATCCAACGGTGGGAGTAGTTGACGATCATTCAAATGATGGTTTGGGATCAAGGAGTCCCAGAACAGCAAGAGACTTGCCTTACTGGTCTACCAAGGCCACGGCCCACGTGGGCGGGCTCGAGGAGCGCCCCCGATCGCACGGCGTCGGAGCCAGTGGCTGCAGTACCCAGCGCCGAGAACGCACCTTCTGCCTCGACGTCGTCTTGCGAGCTCTTGCCATCGTCCCCCACATCCCTTGCATCACCGACACCGCCCACTGAGCACACTACCTCGTCGACTTCTTCGGTCTCTCGCATATACAATATCGGGAACCGCGTTTCGACGCGTCGCCACTGCACCTTCAAAACTCAGCTTGCAGGGTACCAGAGACTCATCAATCGCCGCCTCGAGCTGCTCAAAATGCCCACACACGCGACGCACATGCACCCCTCGTCGTCCGTCGTCTCCGCCGCCCAACCGCCACCCTCATCCCACGCCCCGACATCCATGTCCGCCCCCGCCCCCGCCCCCGCCCCCGCGCCCCGCGCACGAGGGCAGGGCACCCGCAAACGAGCGGCCGCAGCCGACGACGCTGCGTACCACGCTGCCGTCGGGACAAAACGCGCGGCCGCAGACCGCGCAGACGGAGACCGCGAGCGCATCAAGCGCAAACGAACTGACGCGGCCGGCGCCGCGTCGGCTGCCCTCGCTGCCGGCAACAATGCAGCAGACAAGGAGGAGAAGGACTCCCTAGTGAGTGCTCTATAGTCTGCGTTATGGTTTTGCAAGTCTTGGTCCTGGTTTTGGTCGGTGGCGGGCGGAGTGTCGGTTCTGTCTTCTGGGATGGGCGTCATCTGGATGCGGGTCCCGCTATAGGTGGCGCGGCACATTTGCTGGCGGGTAATGAGGGGCGAAGGCAGTGGCGGGTATGGAGCCACGGATGATGAGGAGTAGCTTGAAGCAATCCGAGGAGTGCCAAGAATCCGTTCAATGGATCAGCCCATGCACCGGCTCCCCACAGCTGCTATTCGCCGGTCGCGGTCTGCCTGACATGACCAGAGCAGATGCATGGTTGGCCTCAGTGAACACGGGCATGTTTGTTTCACTCGTTGGCCGTCGATCGAGCATCGAGGATTGGCCCTTCGGACATCCGGATTCTCAGGCAGGGAAGGGTGGACATAGGCAGTGCGGACTCTGCGTTGACTTCATTCGGCTCTGCACGCGTCCATCTGTCCACGACTGAATAACCCGCCCTTCCCGGCCCATCCCTTGAGTGACTTGCGCTGACAGTCCGCGTCCTCCGTGCCTGCTGTGCAGCGCCAAGCACGTCTCGCGTCTCACATGGCTCTGGATGCGATCAACATAAGCTTTGCTCGACAACGCCGTTCATTCGTTTGCAGTCAGATTCGTACGGCAGCCTTGTGGCGCCATGCCCATGTCTCTATGCCTTCCGTCTGCACTGACCTCCCGTCATTCACGCGTGACGCGACGTCCGTGTGCTGCCGGGAGGTCCGGGGACAGGGCGGGACAGGGGCATGCGTACTTTCGAAGGCCGAGGGAACATCGCGCACGAAGGGCTGCCCCGCAGCGGGCCTTATGACCCAGCAATCGGCCCACGAGCCGCGTCCGAGCACGCCTCCGCGGCCGAGCGCTATCTTCTCACGTCGCCCAGGAAACTGGGCCCCTTAAGCAACTTTCGGGTGAGAAGATTGCACTCGTGTTCGGCGCGCGGGCGGAAATAAGCAAGGTTCGACCACTCAGCGAGCTGATATGTTGAGGGCGTCTTCTGAGGAGGCTTTAGGGCTGAGGAATAGAAGGTGGAAGCTGAGGCACGCAGTGTCCATTGAGCTCGAACTGGCGAACAAGCGACTGCCGTGCCTCCCAAGATTTGTTGCACACGGAGCTTGACAGCGCGAGTCCCCCGCTTTCCAAACGTAGTGTCGCCAATGACTGTTGGCGTTGTCTGTGCGTCTGAGTCTGTGATGTTGAGTTTCGGGAGGATGTCCGACACGGAGACGACGTCCGCATCATTGGGTAGCTCCTCTGATATCCGACGCAATGTTGCTCAGGCCCCTTGTGCCGCAGAATGAACTGCGTATTTTTAGAGCTCGCATAGGAAATCTGTGGGAGCTACCAATAGCGTGCGGCCATTGATAGTTCTGATGTGATCCACGAAAACATATTGTGCCGGCATACCGTGCTCGGTTGTTGAGATTGGTGCAGGCAGGCATGTCGAAAGCAACATGCTTATTGACGCTAACATTGCGATGGCGCCGTATATCGAGGGGAGAAGTTGCCGAAGTTTCTGTGGAGCGTCGCCTTGGTAGAACATCTAGGGTACCTCGGGGACGCCCTTCCTGCGCCTTGCGCGGTGCATCAACAGCTGGGCGCTTGCTGCTGTCAGCAGCTTCATTGTCTTCTCTGATACTCCATTTTACCTCCGTCCAGCATCTGCTTCTGCCACACAGCACAGCGGGCTGATACGAACTATGACTGACAGGTAGATTTTACGACACTGCCAGTGGACGCACTGCACCGGTACCTTGCGTGCTTTGACTTGATCCCGGAACTGGACCCGTCGCCGCTGAGCGCGGAGGATCCAGGACCGCCGTCGTCGCTGCTCCGACCGAAAAGCCAGCTGGCGCCGCACGGGCACGCGCTGCGCCGGACGTCGACGGCGAGCCCGGGGCCGGGCGGCCCAGGGACGACAGGAAGTCGGGGGCGTCGAGATCGGCGACGGAGTTCTCGGCTGGTGGAAGAAGAACGGATACGGGCGCCAGCTCCTGTGTACGGGGACGTGGGGGAGGTGAACGGGGTGCTGGCCGGGATTGCGGAGCGGCACTTCCGGGAGGTGGAGGTGAGGGAGGTGGACACGGTGGCGGCGTTCATGTGCGCGGTGAAGGCGAAGGGGATGTTCAGGGAGGTCTGAGAGGCCTGTGCCTGCAGCGTCTGGCGCGGACATAGGGGCTAGATGATGTATGAGAGGGATTCGCACGGCTGCTCTGCCAGTGGGCGGGCGCGGGCAGCTCGGCATGCGCGCGCCCGGTGTCCTGTCCGTGACGGCTGGTGCCAATTATGGCCCGCGGATGCAGGCGAAACGCTGCGAATGCTCTCTACTTATCGCACGCTCAGCTGCACGTCTTAATTTTAGCTGGCCTGCTAGAGTCTCCTTGGCAACTCCGCACATCCTTCTCCCCGTTCTCGCAGGCCTGTCAAGTGCGTGCCATCTCCGGCACAACAACGCCATACGCCAGAACCCTTCCCTGCCGTCCCACAGCTCCACGTATATAACTCTCCCGTCCCGCCAGAATGCATCCCCCATCTTCCTCAGTCCTCTCTCCTTTCCCCTCTTTGCAGCAGAGCTGCCTGGTTCTGAATCTTGTAAGTCTTTCCTTGCCTTGTCCTCCGCAGCTCCATACTCACCTTCCTTCCCTCCCAGTGGCCGGTTCCCATCCCGTTTGGTCTTTCGCCCCTTCCTGAAGCTAGCTTCGCGTCGACTTTCTTTTCACCGATATCACAGTCATGAAGTACTTCCACTCTCTTGCTGCTATCCTCGCCATCCTCCCCGTCATCGCGCAGGCTTCGCCTCTGGTAGGTCGACCATCTTATCTAACTTCTATCCCATCTGACAACCGTTCTGTCCTCAGGGCAACTTCCAGAATGGTGTGAACGCTGCTCAGGCTCAGAAGGGCGCTCAGAAGGGCGGCAATGCAGCCAACAACGCGGGTAAGGGCGGCAACAACGCAGGCAAGGGCAACGCTGCCTCCACCTCGTCCGCTGCTGCCGCTCCCTCGTCGTCCGCTGCCGCCGGCAACAGCAACGACCCCCAATCGTCTCTGAGTGAGTTCCTGACAGAACCCTAACTTTATCGCACGGCCTCAGCTGACGCTCGATGCAATCTTCCAGCGCTCCTCGACTCGGTCATCGCGAAGGGCTTCGAGCAGAACGGCCAGGCCAATGCCACGGCGGGCCAAGTTGCCTCCCTCACGTCGTCGAACAACTTCATCAACTTCTGCGCGACCGTGCCCAACCTGCCGATCACGAACGGCCAGCAGATCACGTCCGGCTCGTGCAACCCAGCGCCGATGGGCGTCATCGCCGCGCAGTCGAACATGCCCTCCTCCAAGTTCGTCTTCCCCAAGAACGGCGCGACGATCCCCGCGAACCAGGACTTCACCATCCAGATGGCGATCGCGCACCTCAACACGGGCAACTTCGTGAACCCGGACACGAACTACTTCGCCGCGCCGCAGGTCGTCGACTCCGCGGGTGACATCACCGGCCACTCGCACGTCGTCGTCGAGGCGCTCACTGCCCTCGACCAGACCACGGTCACGGACCCGACGAAGTTTGCGTTCTTCAAGGGCCTGAACTCGGCCGCCCAGGGCGGCGTCCTCACCGCTGACGTCGCGGGCGGTCTCCCCGCCGGCACCTACCGCCTCTCGTCGATCAACACCGCCGCGAACCACCAGCCGGTCCTTGTCGCCGTCGCTCAGCACGGTTCGCTCGACGACCAGGTCTACGTGAGTATCAAGCCTCCGCTCTCGCGCAAGTACCGCATGCTCACTGGAATATTCTACAGTTCACCGTCTCGGACAGCGGTGCCGCTGCTGGCAACAACGCCGGGGCCGCGTCGTCCGCTGCTGCCGGTGCATCCGCAACCGCCGCCTCCGCGTCTGCTGCCTCCGCCGCCTCCAGCGCGAGCGCGACCGTCGGCGCCATCAAGGGCAACAACACCGGCAAGCAGGGTGTCCAGGGCGGCTTCGCCGGCGGCAACGCTGCCGCGCAGAAGGGTGCCCAGGCGCAGAAGGGCGGGAACAACGCTGCGCCCAAGGCCCCCGCCTTCGGCAAGGGCGGCTTCCGCGCTGCCCGCCGCTTCATCTAAGCTCCTCGGCTGAGGCTCTCTCACCTAGGGTGAAGGCCAGCGTCGTTGGTGGTGGTGGTTGTTCGATCTTCTCGCGCATTGGATGTCTGTTTGCAGTTTAGAATGACGAGTGCTGTGCTCTCATATCACGCTTTCGTGTTTCGGTATTTCTTGTATTCCTACTCGCATGCATGTAGACTACACACGACTGGTCGGCGCCTTGCTGTGCGGAGACCGCTGTCCTTAATGGACGGGTTATTCAGGGCTCTGGGACCCCAAACAACGCGTGTCTGTGTGACTGAAGGACCTGAATCGGCGTTGACATCGAGAAGGTGAGCAATTGGTCCTTGAAAGGCTTGCGATGTACGCCTTCGCCATTCGTCACTACAGGAGGAGACTTCACGGCTTGCATACAAACCGGTCAATATTGATAGTGACCAAGCATGAGTACACAGGAGTACATCGCGCGACTGGAATTCGCTGGCACGGGCTCCCAGCGGGGGCCACCGCCCGGCCATGCGGATTTCAATGGTCATAAAGCCACCCAGATTTTGGGTGGCGCGACACCAGGGCACCCATGAGGCCGCCAGCGGTGATACATGTGGGTGCCCTGGCCCCAAATATGGTAAATTTCTGGTCAGCAGGGCGCTTAGGGGTTGCTCGAGTGCGGTAGATGGTATTGTTTTGACTGCAAGCACTGTTGTATTGGACGACTTTGACACGCGTAGAATGCAACCAATATATCTCATTGACTCAAAGCAAACAACCATGCGTAGCTAATCCTCCATACGACTGGAAAGGGCGGGCCCCAATTGTTCCAGGTCGACGGAGCCGTCATCCTCATCCTCCTCGCCTTCCTGGGTGCCAGCATCCTCCATTTCGACCTCGGGCTCTGGTGCTCCGGAGCGAGCTGGGATGGGGACGTTGGTGCTCTCTTCAGTGAGGCCGACGTCGTTGTCCTCGTGGGTTGAGGATCTCGCGTGACCCCCCTATAACGGCATTCTGTGGCCTCAATATATAATTTTAAACCTGCCCTACGCTAACGATGGACTGTACGACTTACTCTGATCCAGAACTGGTCATATGGAGAGAGAATTCAAGGTGAGATGAGGGGGCACGCAGAGACGATCTCCCAGAATACACGACGCGATGGTGGAAGGAAGAAGGCAGCGATAGCACTGGCGCCTCTTAGGGCGAGTGCCTGTCTCGGCACAAGGCTCTCATCGAAGTCGCTCAGGACACCCCGCCACCGGCGCGTCCTTTGATTTCCGTTGACACAACATGGCCCACTGACGCGACCAGTGGCTTCCGCAAGGAGGCCAAGCGAAATCCGCTGGTCTTTATAACCATTGGATTCCGGGTGGTGTCCTCGGTGATAAGCATTGATCGCGCACGGGGCCTCTGATGGGCGCCTCCTCCCCCCGAATTCCCGTCGCGCGATGTACTCCTGTGTAGCTGTCTTCGGTCATCTGAGAGGTCCGACGGATCTATTGGTGTTATTTGGCACGAATGGGGATATGCCCCATGGCTGAGTTGGTTACAGCGTCCGACTGTTACCCAAGGCAATCGGAAGGTCGTGAGTTCGAGCCTCACTGGGGCAGTAAAGTTTTACTTTCCGTATCTAATGCGGAAACACCATCCCAGCCTTAGACCAAACAAAAAGACATAACCCGTAGGCCGCAGCTTCAGGGAAAGATGAGCTAGACATGGAATCGGCTCGCGGTGACTTCAAGGTTTTCCGATTTGAAACATCTGACGGAGGTCAACGGGCGTATGCAGCGGGGAATATGAAGGACGGTAATCTCGGGTTTGTTCGGCCTCCTCTTGATGCACCACGACCATCGTAACCTTTGCCAAACACCCGGGCCCGCCCACAGCACGCCTTGATACTACAATTGCTATATACGGACTTGCACTGGAAGAAGCGCTCCTCCCGAATTTCTACGACGCGCCCAATCGACTGCCGTCCAAGGTGTCACTCGACGGTCATGCTCGCCCTCCGTAGACTCCCTCGTTATGCTCCTAGGCTAACGCACATACGCGGGAATGCCACTCTGGAGGCCGCGTCTGCGCAGGCAAGTGCCTCTCCTCCTCCCCCGCCCGTGACAGCGAAGACCACGACCCAGCCGCCAGCACAGGAGGCTGCGTCCGAGGAGACCACCGAGGCCACCACACAGGGGGAGCAGACCAAGGGCAAGCAGCGCAAGTGGCCGACGCGTCGTCCCAATATCTCGCTGGAGCGGCCGAGGGAGTGGAGCAGGCCCATTGCAAAGGGCGTCGAGCCAGCGTATGACTATGCGTTACGCTACATCTTGCGTGATGCGCAGTTCGTGCGGAAGGAACTGGAGGAGCTACAGGCGAAGGTGCAGGCCGAGGAGGCAAAGCCTGAGGGCGAGAGGGACGTGGCGGCATTGGAACAGCTGAGGGAGAAGGTGAGAATACTGGAGATCCAGAGCGAGGTCAACTTGCCGGACGTCAGGTGGAAGGCGAGGAACGGGATGGGTAAGTTTATCCTTTTGCTATTCGGAGTCTTGTTGTGTATTTGATACGTGTGTCCTTGCCATGCAGCGGACTTGAGCAAGCCTATTTACAGGCATTTAGTCGAGCAAAGGTGGAGGGAAGAGGGAGGTCTAGACCTTCTGGTTTGTCTCTGCAGCACTATCCAGATTGTACTTTGCTCAGTATTGATTGTCTTTCCAGATGGAGCGCATCTACCAGATGAAAGTCGTTCCAGACATGCTTCCCGAACTTCAGCCCTCGTTCGACTTGCGTATACGTTACCTCGAGCCTCCTCCCAAGAATAACTACCTCCGTACACGCGTGAAGCGCAAGCTGAGGCAAGTTGAGCCTGGTATCTTCCTTCTTCCGGAGCAGGTACGTTGCTGTACCTTCTACACCGTGGAGCTGCGGTGACTAATCCGCAACATGTCTTTTAGACCAGGAGACCACCTGAGATATACACGACGTTGTTCCACACGGACACGCGTCTGTACACTCTTTTGATGGTCGACCTGGACGTGCCCAACCCGGACACTCAGTCGTTCACCACTTATCTCCATTGGATGCAGTACGTATATCTATGCTTGGTCCTGTGCGTGGTTCCTTACATGAGTCGGTCAGACCCAACATTCCGCTGTCCGCATCCACTGCTTCGCCTACTGTCCCTCTTCAAGCACATACGCCTTATGTCCCACCTCATCCCCATCGCAATACTCCCTACCACCGTTATGTCCTGCTGGTACTGCCTCAGGCTTCCGCATCGGACCCCATCGACGTTCCGGTTTTCCAGGAATCGGATAGGCTCGGCTTTGACTTCCGTGCGTTCGCGGCCCAATACGGGATTGACGGGGCTCGCGGAGGCGGCGCACACATGTGGCGCGAGGTTTGGGATGAAACCGTCTCGCACATCTACAAATTCACGCTCAGTACGTCAGTTTTGCATTTGCACTGGGGAGCTCTACTGATGCGCTCTGGCGCCCCTTTCAATCACAGAGCAGGAAGAGCCGCGGTTCGGCAAGATGCCCAAGCCGGACCCTTACGCGGAGCTCAAGAGCAAGAAAAAGTACCTCTAGACGCGTTGAACATAGCCTTCCTGTCACTAGTTGTAGATCTTCAGCTAATCCGAGTGTGCTCTCATCTCTGCGAGTCAACGTGCATCAGCCAGGAGTGGCTGAGCCGGTGTTGATACGCTGTGGTCGGTGCTGTGCACGGGACGTAAGCGCCACGAGGGCAGTAGTGGCCGCTGCGCGGCATCGGGTTTCGGATCTGCTTGGCGACGACCATGATAATGAGCTGCTCTCGCGTACACCATAACCCTCATCATCCTCTACTCCACCAGCTGTACGAGCCTACATGATGGCTGAGCTTTCGGCGGAGCCTCCGCGCACCCCAAATCTGGGCGACTCGTCGCCGCTCGGGGCTCTTATTAGACGAACGTCGTCAAGGAGGACCAAGAACTCCCGCAGACCAGCAAACCTCGAGCTTATGCCGTCACCTCCCCATTCTCACCCCGCAGCTCCAGGAAGCGCACCTCCGGCAACACACTCGCCCATCTTGCACACCGCATTCCGAACCAGCACGGCGACCTCCGCGTCATTCTACGACGATGGCGCGAGCATGCGCACCATGTCCTGGGACGCACGCTCACAAACCACCACCGGAGGATCCAGTTCGCCCTCGAGCTCGCACACCTTCCGAGGGCCCGCGCGCCCTCACGCACACGAGTCAGTGGCTTCTTCTAACTATGATCTCGACTCCATCACGAACAGGTACCGCGACACCTGGCGCTCGTCCGGCGTCGTGGAACCTCAATCCGTGTATGATCCCCCTGACGTCCCCGATCTCCCCACCGTGGTCGTCTCTGCTGCCCCCGAGCCCCAGCCATGGGAGCAGGAATACGCAGTCCTAGGGCCTTCGAAGGGTGGTCGCATGCCGTCGCAGGTGACCACCTCCGTGAATTTCTCAAGACCCGTGCAACCACCGAGCCCCGCGGAGTCGGAGCAGCGCAAGCGCGAAGTGCTGATGAGGAACGCGCGCGGAGGTCCAGGTTCAGGTCCGCGCTCACCTTCGCATTCCCCTCTCCCTAGTCCGCGGCTTGGCCCAAGCCCGCTTGGGTCGCCAACAGTTCCGCTGGGGCAGGGGTCGCGTCCGGTCTCGCCAGCGTCGCTTGGCGAGCCGCAGTATGAGAATTGGTCTGGCATCCCCTCTCCCACTCTGTCGTCACAGACGCAGACTCAGCCCTCCGGGCCCTCGCTTGGGTCGCGGATAGCATCGTCGCAGATCGTGTACTCGAATTATTCGTTCTACGAGCTCCCGCCTAGCCCGAGTTCTGCGAATGCGAATCAACAGTTCCCTTCTTCCCTGCCTGCCGACACTCAGGCTCCGAAGACGCCTACGACCCCTGGGCCGCCCGGGACCCAAGGGCGGCCAGGGGCGAAGAGCTCGGCGAGTAAGACGAAGGGAGCGAATCCCGCGCTCGCGAACCCGCAAACGCCGCAGGATTTCCTGCAGCTCGGCATCCAGCACCACCTCGAGAACCGGCTCACGGAGTCGGCGGCCGCGTTCGAGAAGAGCGCGACGCTCGGCGGGGGGTGTGGGGTGGGCATGCTCATGTGGGGTTTGGCCCAACGACACGGGTGGGGGTGCGAGAAGAATGAACAGGCGGGTTTCAGGTGGTTGAGGCGGGCGGCGGAGCTGGCGGTGTCGGATCTGGAGAAGGAGAAGCAGGGGGATATGAGCGCTGTGAGGGTGAGTTCTTTTCGCGTGCTTGGTCTGGGGAGTTGCTTGCTCATGGGTGACAAATGACTAGTCGGAGCTTGTGCTTGCGATCTATGAGGTTGGACAGAGCTTCTTCCGGGGTTGGGGAGTGCAGAAGGACAAGGAGATGGCAGTGGTGAGTCGGCTGCCCGCGAAGTATCCGAGACCCTGTGTCTAACGTCCACGTAGCAATACTATCGTGTCGCGGCGCGACTAGGCGACCCGGATGCTCAGCAGGAGCTCGCATTCTGCTTGTTGAACGGGAAGGGCTGCAAGAAGGATAAGAAGGAGTCAGCCAAGTGGTACCGGGCTGCAGTACGTTTCCTTCATTTTCCTCTTGGGCTCTCACCGACCGTCCCTTGTCGCAGGTTCAACAGGGAGTGAGTGACGTCGGACTCGCATGGATTTACAAGGAGAAATACCAATGACACCGGACGGCCCTCGTCGCTGGTCCTCGTCTTCTGCTCGTTGCACATATATCGCTTCACGCTTGGTTGATACCCATGCTATTGGCGTCGTCCGATGCCTTTTGCACATTGGCTGATCTTGGTACTTACATTGCTGTATCGTTATTTGGTTCTCGGCATACATGGCATCTGGTTTCCACGGAACCCTTTGTGTGCTTGCTGCTTGACGTATCTGCGCTTGTCTTTCAGATTGATGATTAAACCGCTACATACTCACCTGAACCTAGGTAACTTCAAGTTGTTGACCCATGTCTCCTCGTCCTCGTCCTTCGGATCTGCCCGCCTTTCTTTCCCACTTACTCTCCTTTAAAGACAAATAACGGGTGTATTCCTCTTTGCTCTATACATACCCCACTCCGTAGATTCCATCCCAGTTCACTGATCAGGCCGTTGACCCGTTTGTCAGCACGAAGGAGGCCGACATGAATGAGTAAGGTGAGTTCAGCATAAATTCACGCACTCTGCTGTATCTCACCCTCCCTAGGGAAGAAACAGTCTGGGTACCGCCCAATGAGCAGGCACGCCCAGCATCAGTGAATGGATCGGTTATCACAAGGCAGCCTTCTGTTCACAGCGCGACGGTCTTCTGAAGCGAGAAGAACGAGCCGGGATCGATTTACTCGCTATTCGGGGCAGGAGACCTGCGATCGATCAGCTGGAGTCAGTGTCAACCTCTATATGGTTCGGCCTTTCGGGCGAATCCTATGTTTTCGGATGCGAACAGTAGCGGCTGACCGTGCTAGCCTCGAGGTTGGCACAAATCAAACCATCCGCCACAGAGCGCCCGTCGTGGTATAAACAGCCGCCGTTCTGTCCTTTCCTTCTTTCCTCACCACCACCACCGTCTGCGAAGACCTTCTCCCAACCACTTACATCTCCGGCCGTGACCACGGTCCGCTTACACGCCGGATGCCTTCTTCTCTCAGGCCTTGCTGCCTGACAACGGTGGTCAGCATGGGACCCGACGTCCATGGGTAGTCCTCTTGCTTACCTTGCCGTTCCATCCTTGCTCATCATTATCTGTCGCCCAGGGCGTCGGAGACCCAGGTACGCTCGAGGTCAATCGTGAGTTCCTTTCGTCCTTCTCTGCTCTACGCCACATGTTGACTGTGGCGGTGGTTAGATTCGACGCGTACCATCCCGGGCAACAGCGGCGATTAAGCCTGTTCACCCTGGTGGCCCGTCTCTTCACTGGGGTGTGGCTGCCAACACGGGTCGAGCGGGTGACTGCGCCCAGGCGTCGGTGCCTCGCCGCTACAACGTCTTTTGACAATGGGCGTAAGCCGGGGCGCACCCGGGACGAGTACCTGTCCGCCTCCTCGGGGGTGGTTGGGAAAGGACGGACGCCGTAACCTGGAACGTGACTCGTAAAGAGTGACGGGTAGACGACGTACGCGCCACTGCCGACTGTCCTGTGGAAGTCGTGCAAGGGCGTCGCGTCGTCAGCAGACTGCTGCCTCAAGACGGTATGTTGTCGCCTTCGTTCCTTGTGTACTACTATACTCACACTTCTATCGCAGCCCGCGACGGTCCGACCTCTCCTCCAAGCGCGACGGGACACCAGGCGACAGGACACCAGGGGACGTCTGTGTAGGAAGTGTGCAGCGGTAAGTGGACTAGAAGCAACCACCTTCGAGTGGCGCGTCCGCACCCGCACCCGTATTACGGGGCACGTCTGCCAGACGTCTAATGCAGGTGAGTTCTCTTACAAACTCATCAGGCTGACGTATTCCATACAGGTAGACGAGTCACGACAGATGCCCTACGCTGTCCCCGCACTCGAAAGTGAGTCTCTCCGTCTTCGCCTCTTCCAGTTATGATGCTGACTTGAGCTGCCAGATGCGGGCGTCGAGGGTTGAGCTCGGGTTGCCAGTTGGCCCGCCCTCTGCCCGGTTGACGGCCCTGTCTATTGACGGGGGTCCTACGCACGGTGTGGCTTGCACACAGGTTCACATCAAGACCTCGACGTATGCTCGGATCCGTCCGAGGATGGATGGCATCGGACGAAACAGCAAGTGGCTTCGAGGGCGCAAGTTGCCTTTGATTCAAGACGCCGCCCCGAGGTACGGTCGTCCATTGCTTAGAAGTATGGACGTGCCTGGTGCAGGCCTCTTCGTGGCCCTCGGGACTAGTACCGCATATGCGGGAAGCCAACGTGCACCGAAATATGTGATGGAAGCTTGGAGGTTGTCGTTGCTCCACTGTCGTGGACGCGATGTTGTAGTTTTATGCAGTCAATGGAGGTACAGCTGAACGATGGATGTCGGGTTCTGTGAGGCCTGAATCCAACTGTTTGTGCCTAACAGATTGGACAGCCGTGACCACGCTACATTCAATAGTGGATTGTGTGTCGATTTCAAGTGCCAGCGCTCCCTCTGACAGCACACCCGTACTCATCAGTTTGACGACCTCCCTGACGCTTGTCTGGGAGGTAAAACTACGCTGCCCCAGTGAGGCTCGAACTCACGACCTTCCGATTGCGAAGAGTAACAGTCGGACGCTGTAACCAACTCAGCCATGGGGCACATATTTATGATGTCATCCGTTCACATTTCAACTGCGCAACCGCGAGGGGACATCAACGGCATCATTCTAATGTACGTACGTGGTTCGTGCTCATCATCCGAATGTCGATTATTTGCACCCCGTTACAGCTGTTTTCAGAACGATAGACCCTTGCACAACTTCTTATACATACAGCCGGAGCTCGACATGGGCGGCCCGAACCAGGGTTCAGCGGGACAACCGAAGTCCGAGTCCAGGCTAAGCTCGGCATGGGTGCGGCTAACGCGCTGTGTTACCTCGGGACTTAAATTCTATGGTCCGACGGTGTGTGTAAAAAGCCGCGCAGGGGCCTATCGTTTTGAAAATAGCTGTAATCCGAGGAGGCTGCGACTCTGCGCAGTGCGAAACACCTTTTACTCATACTGTGCCAACGTGGGCGGCGACCTGTGCGCACTTCATCGAGGTTACGCGACATGCTGCGGTAGTTGGCAAAATGATATTCACTTGTTTTATTTGTTCGCCGTCCAATTCTGGGGCATATGCTCTAGTACAATGTCGTCTCGTCATGCCTAGAGGTCTTCGGGGAACGGAAGGAGACGATTTCGAGGGAGCACCTATAGTTACGTACATCCTCTTTTCTTTGTAACGGTTGTGAGATGACTCAACTTGAAACTCGCAATGCTCGTGGCGGTTGCGCGCTCAATGTTGCCAACACGATGCGCCAGGAGTTGGCGATAAGTTGCGAACCCTTGGGTCCCAGCCTCCAGTTCAGACCTCCCCATATATAAGCAGTGTAAGCTGGTACGAACGCGCCGCGCGAATCGCGAATCGCGATGTATCGAAGGCGGCTGACCACATGGCCCCATGCTGTCGAACGCGTGCAGGGGACCCATATGCATCACCCGCTTCTTCTCGGGACGCTCGAAGAGTATATATGTCCTACGACTCGCTGAGAATTTCAAGTACTTCAGCTCCGCCGCTCCCTATTTTGACCAATGCCGTCCTTCAAGTCGGGCGTGCTGGGCGTAGGCGCGCTCGCGCTGGCTCTCTTGCTGCGCTCTGATGGCGCAGAGGCAATCAGGCCGGTGAACCCGCAGGTGGTAAAGCTCGCTGCAAAGAAGGCGACCCGCACAGCCGGCCATGCGAAACGGGCGACGCCTACTTTCCCCCTTTACAACTTTACGCAGCCTTTTGACCACTTCTCGGACACGGGGTTCACGTTCCAGCAGCGATACTGGGTTAGCGATCGCCACTACAAACCCGGCGGCCCTGTCATCGTCTTCGAGGCTGGCGAAGGCCCTGGAGAAGAGCGTATGCCCATCCTTGACACTGGTATCATCGACATCCTCGCCAACGCAACTAATGGCTTGGGCATCGTTCTGGAACACAGATACTACGGTCTGTCTTGGCGTACCGGACCATATGGGCTGCTGTGATTCTTACGTTCCTTATACTATCCGCAGGAAAATCTGTCCCAGTTCTCAACTTCACCACTGACTCTTTAAGGTGCGGATACACGCTGTCCTCAGCCGCGTGACCCAGAGCTGATACTGTACTTCTCTTTCCAGATGGTTGAACAATGAGCAAGCGGCAGCTGACTCGGCGAACTTCATCGACAACGTAACCATTCCTGGCATCAAAGGGGACATCACAGCTCCGGGAACGCCATGGATTTATTACGGTGTATGCATATTATCTTTCTACTTTCTGCGGCCGAAAATATTCACGCGTCCACATGCTCCTGAGAGCCTTCTGCGAGCGATGTCTGACACCGACCTTCCCTTCCTATTCACAGGGTTCCTACGGCGGCGCGCGGGCCGCCCACATGCGCGTGCTCTACCCCGATATCGTCTTCGGATCCATCTCGTCCTCGGGCGTGACGCACGCCACGGTCGTCGACTGGCGCTACTTCGACATCATCCGGCAGTACGCGCCGCAGGACTGCGTGGCGCGCATCGTCCAGACGGTCGACGAGGTCGACACTCTGCTCACGCGGAACAACCACACGCGCAACGCGATCAAGGCTGTCTTCGGCCTCAGCGGCATCTCGTACGATCCGGACTTCGCTAGCCTACTCTCGGTACGCACAAAATCATTCATAGTGATTCTGTGGGCGCAAGCTGACGAGAGATTCGTAGAGTCCGCTCGGCGCTTGGCAGAACAGGAACTGGGACCCTGCTATCGATGACCCCTCGTTCTTCGATTTTTGTGATGCGCTCGGTCCTCTGGACAACGCTACCGTCACTACTCACGGTGTCACGATTTCGAACGCGACCGCCCAATATGCGAACTACATAAACCAGGTATGCTCGTAAGCCTTCGCATGCAAGATCCATCATCACACCTCGCCTCATGTGAATAGACTATATCGCTGGATTGCCCAGTAGCCCAGCAGGATGAGGTTTGTAACGCCTTGCTGTACAGCCAGTGCGCGCATGCTGACCGATGAATCTCAGTGTTTCGGCTCGATTACCGACCCGGAGTCCTTCTCTCAGACCGACCTCTCTCAAACTTGGCGTCTGTGGAACTTCCAAGTTTGCACGCAATGGGGCTTCTTGATGGTATGCCCTACTGCACCGCCATATCTACGTAGAGAATCGACATATTTCGGCAGACTCCTCCGCCGGACCCGGCCACGCCTCGCATTATTTCCAAGCTTCTGACCAAGGAGTATGCCCATCTGACCTGCACGCTCGTACGATCTTCGCTGTGTTCTTGACCCCACGTAAGCTGATGATGCAATCCAGTCTTATCCGCCCGGCGAGCACTTCGCAATCCCCGCCTGGCCCAACGTTGAAGACGTCAACAAGCTTGGTGGCTACAATATCGCCTACGACCGTCTCGCAATCATCGACGGTGAAGGTATGGGCTACGGCGCCGGTATGACGACCATGCTCTCTGATTACGTCCGCGCACAATAGACGATCCTTGGAGGGGCGACACCCCTCACAGCCCTGATCCTCGTGCTCACAATCGGACAGACACGACCATTCGCCCTTTCAAGCTCATTCCAAGTAAACATATCTGTATCTTAGGCGACAGAATTATCTCTGACGCTTCTTTGTAGCTGCTGTCCACCACTGGGACGAGAACGGCCTGGCCGACCCCAGCGCAGAGCCCGACTTCGTTCAGACCATCCACCACCAGGAGGTCGCATTCGTTACGGAGTGGCTTAAGGGTTTCAAGCCCCCGTCTGCACATTGAGGTAGCGCACGTCGTGTTGGGTATACCACATACGGTGTAATGCATTAGGATATCGGGGACGGAACATGAGTACTGATATGAACGCTCGTTAGAACAATACACGCATCCGAAACGGGTAGTAATCACAAGTGGCAACGCATAAGAATACAGATGAAAGATCGTCACGGTGAAGTAGAGAGACATAAAGACATTCGAGTCAGAGCACGTTCGTCAACCAGCAACAACATCAATCAAAGTCGTCGAATTCGGAACCGCCATCGTCCTCGTCCCCGGAAGTGATTTCCACGTACTTCGATACCTTCGTCGCCGCTGCTCTCGCCGTCCGTTTCGGTGCCTCGACACGGGACTTAGGCGGAGGAGAAACGACATGGACTTCGTCATCTTCGTCAAACTCGTCATCCGAGACCACCACCTTCTTCGCAGGCTTCTTGACTGGGGCTTTCTTCGAGGCCTGACTGCTTGACGACGCCTTGCGCGATACTGGCGCCTTCTTCGCCGCTCCAGGAGCACCCTTGCCCAAGAAGTCCGTGATAGCTGCTTGTTTCCCGTTCTTCTTAGGTTGCGGTGCGTCGATCTCCATGATGTCGTCATCGTCATCTTTCTCCGCGGATGGCCTCTTTTTCTTCGACGCTGGCTTGATTACGACACCGTCATCGCTACCGGCGTCGGTATCGAGACTCTTCCGCTTCGAGGCTGACCCCGACTTCGCCGTGGCCTTGGCCTTCCCTTTGTCCTTCGACGCAGGAGCAGACTCAAGTTCAGAGTCCGAGTCGTCAGGCGGAGCTACCTTCTTCCTTGCGGCAGGCTTCGGCCGCGGTTCGACTACCATCTCGACGTCGTCATCGCTCTCCGCCTTCGAGACCTTGGCAGCAGCGACTCGTTTTCTGGGAGGTGGCGGGATATCGTCATCGCTATCCTCGTTCTTGATGTCGTTGCCCGAGCCAGAGGGTACGGCGGCGGGAGGCTTCTTTGCCTCGGTGGCCTTCTTCGGCTTCGACGCCGCCGCCTTGACAGGCTTGAAGTCCTCATCGTCGTCTTCGGCCTTCGGCTTCTTGGGCGCCGCACCGAGCTTAGCGCCCTTTCGCCGCTTCTTCTTGCCTCCAGACTCTTCGGCAGCGCAGAGCTTGCCTTCCCAATCCTCGCAGGTTTGCTGGATGACACCAGTCAGCCTCTGGCTTCGGACACTTGGCCTGCACCAGAACGACAACTCACCCGCCACTGCACAAGGAATGCGTCGAGGTCGGTCTGCCAAATCTGATTAGGAGTTCGCGCGAGGAGCTCCAGCAGCTCCTGTTCTTTCTCATTAGCTTGCTGCCGGAGCTTCTCGATCTGAAGAACGTTCAGGCAAGTCAGCTAATAGGGAGCATCTACGAACGACGCCGACTCGCCTTCTCCTTGGTCAAGCTCCAGATCGCCATGCCCAGAAGGTAATCAAAGTCGGAAAGGTTGCCCGCAGGGCCTCCTGCCTCGCCGTCTTCGTCCTCTTCCTCCACGACGTCCTCTGTCTCGCCAGCCGCCTTCGCTTTGGCGACTTTGGGGAAGGGGCGGAACTGCTTGTTGCGAAGGTCTTGAACAATGTCCGCCTTGCGACGGTTGGATACCGACAACTCCCTGTCGATGATCATCTTCACAAAGCGAGCCTGGTTGTTCAGCTTGTCGAGTTGAACCTCCAGCTCGTTCACGAGGTAGTCCTATCACAACATTCATTTACTACACAACACAACTCGGGCATGAGAACGTACCTTGCGCTTCTGGTAGTACGCGAGACGCTTGGGGTAGAAGTCCTCGATGATCTCCTCGGGAGCGTTGTACTTCTTGATCTTGCCGTCGAAGTCGAAGCAGACCATGTTGCTCGTGTTGATCTTGGTGGACAGCTTGAAGTATTCGTGGAACCCCTGCTTCTCCGCCTCCTCCATGCCCTTCGCAGACATAGTGACGATAAAGTGCACGTTCATGTTGTTGTGATGCTCCTCGTAGTCCTGCACCCATATAATCAGTATCGACGGCCATGTCTGGCAATGCGACGTCCTACCTTGACAGAACCATCACCCTTTTCGCCAATCATAGCCTCAAGCTCGGCCTTGAAATTCTGGGTCCAGCGGTGGATCGGCAACTCCGTGATTTCGACAGTCGTATCGTCAAGCTTGGTGCAAGTACCGATGACATCGTACTTGTTGTCGCCGACCTTCTTGACCGTGCCGCTGAAGCCACGCCACCAAGGGAGCATAGGCTCTTGCTCCTCGTTGTTCATCAGACGCCGGATGTTCGCGACGATGTCCTCCGGGTTGTACGCCGGGATCGTCGTACTCCATCCTGGTCGCTTCCCTCAACAACAGATCACACAGACCGAAGAGAAGTAACGTACCGGTACCGATACCCTCTGCGCCGTTCACCAATACCATCGGGACGATAGGCATGTACCACTCCGGCTCCACCTGCCTGCCGTCGTCCTGCTGGTACGTCAAGATTGCGTCGTCCGCAGGGTGCATGAGGGTCCGGACAATAGGTGCGAGCTCGGTGAAAATGTAACGGGCCGCGGCATGATCCTTGCCACCCTGGTCACGCGTACCAAACTGACCGTTCGGCATGAGGAGGTTGATGTTGTTGCTCCCGACAAAGTCTTGTGCCAAGTTGATGATGGTAGCCATCAAACTAGCTTCGCCGTGGTGGTACGCGGATACCTCGGAGACGTATCCGACGAGCTGAGCGACCTGTAGGGACGTTAGTACGAGGTGAAATAAACAAGTGGATAGAACTCAAGTCGACAGACCTTGATCTCCTTCTTCAAGTTACGCTTGAAGCAAGACCATATGACCTTGCGCTGACCGGGCTTCAAGCCATCCGCAACGGAGGGGATGGAACGGATGTTATCAGCCATCGAGAAGAGAATTAGCTCCCGGTTGATGAATTCAGAGAGTGGGATCTCGCGCTGCGTGTGGTCAAGGTAGGTACCGGGCTTGACGAGGGATTGGAATGGGATATCAGCAAGCATTTACGCACGTTGCGAGAAGCCTGGACGTACCTTGAACTGACGAAGCCACTCCTTACGATCGTCCGCCTTCTTCTTGCTGAAGGCAAGCTCAATCAGCTCCCTGTCCCCTTCTTTCGACGTAGAGAAAGGGATCATATGGCGCTTCATGTCGCGGAAGTAATCGCGCGCGTCCTCATCCTTGCTCGTACCCAAACCCTAATCCTTACTCAGACAGAGTCCCGCGGATAGTGAAGACTACTACGGACCTTGTAGTACTTATGCTGCCACTTGTGCGAGTCAGGCGTCTGCTCGAGCCACATTTCGTACTCGGGAATGGTGTAGAAGTTGATGACTTGTTTTCCCTTCCACACCTACTCCACATCGTCAGCATATAAATGTACCATATGACTTCCAACACGTACTCGAACCACAGGCGTGATGAACTCGACGAGGAATTTAGGCAGCTTCAAGAGCGACGGGTAGAAGTGGTCCAAGTAATTGATGAGGAGCCCCTTGATATGAGAACCATCGTGATCCTAGACACCAAAATCTCAGCACCACCACACCAGACAGCTGCGCCAGATCGCCCTTACCTGATCCGTCATCAACATGAGGCGACCGTACCGCAAGCCAGCCGTGTCTGTGTACGTCTTGTTATGCTGCAGCCCCAGAATCTTCTTGATATTCTGAATTTCCTCGTTCTTCATGATCTGGTCGTGCTTCGCGTCGCGGACGTTGAGCAGCTTTCCGCGTAGGGGGAAGACACCGTAAGAGTCGCGACCGACGACGCCCAGCCCAGCGATCGCGAGGGCCTTAGCCGAGTCTCCTTCGGTCAGGATGAGAGTGCATTCGCCTGCCTTCTTCGTGCCCGCGTTATTGGCGTCACACAGTTTAGTCATGCCCGTGATTCTGGCCAAGCTGGGTTAGTCGTATATCGCGATTCTTGCGACGATGCAACTAACCTAGACCTCCGATTACCATCAGTTTTCTTGAGTTGCTGGTCGGCCTTGAATTTCGCCCAGTTCAAGACATGGTCTACTATGGATGACTTCGCGACTGGAGGCAGGAGAGGCAACAGTCAGCAATCGCCCACGTTTCTCCGTACTTGGACCCACCCTTCTTCATGAAGTCCTCCGACAGGGTCGGCTTCGACCCGAACTTGCTCGCGGGCAGCGTCAGCGTCTCCTTCGTCTGCGAGTCGAACGTCGGGTTTTCCACCAGCGCATTCACGAATATCCACATGTGGCTCTTGATCTGCGCCGGCTTCACCGTCGCCGCCTTATTTTTCTTCGCAATCGACGTAATCAAATGCTTTGCGATCTGGTCCGCGATATAGTTCACGTGGGTGCCACCCTTGAACGTCGAGATCGAGTTTGCGAACGAAACCTGTTGTGGCGTCCCGTCCGACACCGCGAACGCCACCTCCCACCGCCCCCCAGCGGGCGCCTCGTAGACGACAGTGGGCTTGGGCTGCGCCGCCCCATCCGTTTTGTTCGCTGCCGCCTCCGCCGCCGAGTTCAGGAACAGCTCCACGTACTGCTTGAAGTTCTTGATCTTCAGCCGCTCGTCGTTCAGGAACACCTTCACGTCCTTCACCGTGCCTGCGAGGTCGTGCACCCGCTTCTTCAGCAGCGAGACCGTATCCTCGTCGATTGACTCCATCCCGAACCGCTTCAGGTCGGGCTTGAACGTCACGCGCGTATACTCCTCCCCACGACCGTTCTTCGTGATCTTCGCCTTGCCCATCTTGCTCATGTTCTCCGTCCACGTCTGCACGTATTTCTGGCTCGTGTTCTTGTCCGCCGTCTCCACCGTGAACTCGGTTGAGTAGATGTTCGCCAGCTTCGCTCCGTAGCCGTTGCGACCACCGGTGAGCTTCTTCTCGTCGTCGTCGTAGTTGGACGAGGAGAGGAGGTGGCCGAAGATGAGCTCGGGGATGTAGATCTTTTCCTTCGAGTGCATCTCAATTGGGATACCACGTCCGTTGTTGTACACGGAGATCGTGTTGTTCTCGATGTCAATGGTCACCTTGATGGTGTCCATGCTTGGGTCGTTGATCTGGACCCAAAGTGAGCGCCAAGGGGGCTTGACACGGAAATGACATTCACCTTGTTATCTGCCGCGTTGACGAGGATCTCGTCTACAATCTTGAAAAACCCAGGGACGTACTTGACTTCGCGGTAGACCATGCGTTTGTTGTCAGAGTCCCATGTCCACATGGTGGTCGTGATCGTCTCTACGCTGCCAATATACGAGTCGGGCCGCTTGAGGATATGCTCCAGTTGCGAGAGCTGCAAGCGGTGGTTAGAGCACGCATATACGCGTCTGCATGAGCATAACGCACCTTGGTGTACATCTCTGATGCACTCTTCTTCTTGCCATTGGTCCCCTTCAGTGCGGGCGCCGGCGCCGACGGGCCTGCGGCAGACACAGGGTCGTCGTCCTGGTCGTCCTCCTCCGTATCCGCGTTGTCGTCCTTGTCGACGAGCACTTTCGTCTTCTTAGTAGGCTTCGACTTCGCTGCTGCTTTCGGTGCAGCCTTTGCGGTCTTCTTCGCGGGAGCCTTGGTGGCCTTCTTCGTGGTATCGGGCACGAAGTCGTCGGACTCGGATCCCGAGACGTCGAGGTCGAAATTCTCCTCCGAGTCGCTCATCGTAGTAATTATTGTCGGCCGTCTGCAAGTTGTTGGGTGGGGAGTCGTCAGAAGGTAATGAAGGGGAGAGGGAGGAAAGCCTGGAGTGGCTGGTGACCGGTGATGGTTCGTGTCAGGTCGGCAAACGCGTCGCGCGACCGCCTTCACCGCGTCCAGCACGTGACATAGCCGCCCATCAAGCTCGGTTGTCTTCCAAAACCTGCAGCATCAGCACCTTCTCAAACTAGATTTCGTCGGGCTGCTGCATCTGCAGGCCTTGAAGAGTACTTTATGCTTTTATCGCACCCCTGGTATACCTTACAGGTCTCCCAAAGAGTCAGCTGGACCCAGGCGCGGTTGGTCACATACCACGTCACATTGCAATTGCCGGCGACGCGGTGCACCGGGTCGCCGGCAGTGCCGATGAGTACTGCGAGCGTCTGTTGAAGCGTCTTTCGTAGCGTGCAGTATTAGTCTGGCTCCTCTACGCGGGGTCGACTTTGCGTCGGATCCACTCGCCGGTCCAGACATGACACTACTACTTTTCCCGTGCTGCTCTCGCACAGGATCTCGCTACCTTCACGAGCGTAGCTCACACGCCCGGAATACCGTGACCCTTACGTCAAAGCCCTGCTCTCGTATCCGTGACGAGGCTCGGCATAGCTCATTACTCCTCCTTCTCGTGAGGGTTGCGTATCCTTGAATCCGTTCTCCATAGGTTCACATTCAGAGTGAGGTGAGTACATGTACTAGTACAGGTGGCATACAGAACCGTGATTGTCTCAGCACTGCGACTCGTCGTTCAAACAACTTCGGCCTTGATCTTATCCCAGAGGCTATTGACACGACCCATGAGCGAGTCGTAACCACGCCTATAAATGTAAGACTTACTTTTCAAAGATAAACGTAATGAAGTCCGCGGTCTTGCGAAGGTCAAACTCTCCGTCAAGAGTGAAAGGTTGACCTACGACGACGCCCTCGATGCGAGTCGTGAAAGGCTTCGCCATCGAACCGCCCGCTCCCACCATGCCACGCAAGCTTCCGGAGAGATGGACGACGCGGATGTCGAAAGCCTCGAGGGCATGATCTGCGACCCACTGCCCGATCTCAAGGGCCTCCTCCCCCACTCGTTGAGCTAGGTCCAGAGCCGCGCGAGCGGCGTCGAGTGTCACCGTCGCAGCGCGCGCCGCGTCGAGTGCGATCTTGGCAGCCTGGTAGGCCAGGTATTCGGCACACTTGAGCAGGTCGACCAACGCCTGAGTCGCTGCGTGGAAGGCGGCATCGTTGGCGACTTTGTAGGCCTGCAAAGCCTCCTTCGCGCCTTGAAGAACACCCCACTCTACCCCCTGTTTCGTGATCTCGAGCGTCTCATTTGCGGCATCTAGGGCGGCCTGGGACGTTTTGTCCGCGACGTCCACGGCTGTCTTCGCCACGTCGATTGCAGTTTTGCCAGTCTCTCTAGCAGCGTCGAGGGCGGCCTGGGCAGCCTTGAAGGCGGTCTCTTTGGCGACGAAGTCCACGGATTTCAGCACCGCCTCTGCGGCTTGGAGAACACCGTCGGCAATGGCTTTGGAGGCCTCGAGCGCGCCCACAGCAACGTAAAGGCCAGCGATTGCAGCTTTCTTCCAAAACTCGTACCACGGTGCACGCTCGTAGTCGTGGATGGTGCTATACAAGTCGTTAATCTGGTTCTGCAGGCTCTGCACGTCCCGACGTGCGCTTTCGATCGCGGCGTTGGCGGAACCGAACGCAGCATCGAAGTCCTTCTTCGCATAGTCGACGTCCCTTTGCGCTGCGTCGATAGCGTCGCTCACGTCTCGCTTAGCGTTGTCGAGGTCATGCTGCGCGCTCTGCAGCGCTTGCGCACGGTCCCGTTGCGCGGCGCTGACGGCGTTCTGTGCATTGGTCATCGCGGCATCATAGTCTTTCTGTGCGGAAGTGATGGCGTCCTGCAGACGTCCGATCTCCTTGTTGTATGCGTCGATGACCTTGTTGGATTCGGCCGTGACGCTCTCGTTCTTCGCGTCCCAGCTCTTCTTCGCATCGTCGAGATCAGCGAGGGCCTTGTCGACTCCTGCCTTCCATGCAGCTTCCGCCTCGTCGACTTTTGCCTGCGCGGCGTCAATGCCATCCCTAACGGTCTGCCGAGCCTGTTCGAATTGGCCCATGATATGGTCGTGGATGTACTGGAGGATGTGTTGCTCAAAGAGAGCATCAAACAGGAAGTCGGCATCGGAGAGATCGCTGAAGGATACGGCTCCGACAAGAGTCGCTTGGAGTCGAAAGAGGAGAAGATCGGTGAATTTGAGTTGCCTGAAGCACATGTGTGTTCAGCGTGCATCGTCGGAGAATAAGGGTATTGCACTCACGTGAACCATTGGAATTTGGGGGCGGGTAAGATGTCGACTGCGATGTGAACGGTAGATTCGGCTCCGAAGAGAGAGATAACGCCATCGACAAGCAAATGCTGGTCCGTAGGTCCGAGTTCGCACTCGATGACGGCGCGAGGGCCTGTTGTACCACGGACGACGAGGGGCCCAAGCGTGAAGTTGTCAACGCCGCCAGTGAGAGATATTCTCAGATTCGCCGCGTCAACAGCTAGAGCACTGCGTGAGCATAGCGTTCTGGCAACCACCACGAGAGACATACCACATTCGATATCAGCTCGCTTCCCAAACAAGATGACATCTGCCCGGAATGAGAAGCCTTGAGGGTAGAAAGTAGTGCCGATGGAAAGTCCTGCTGGACAGATATACAACTTGACCTCCTGGAAATCAAGGAAGTCACGAGGAGGAGCAGGTATCGTGACGTCGATGATGTCGCTCGCAAGCTTGACAACATCCGTGATGTTCAACGATTGGACTTCAGCATAGAGTAGCTCCTCTGCAACAGGTGTCAGATGGAAGCAGCGATGGTGAAAATCGATACGGACGTACTCATAGGATCCTCATTCACCGAAAGCGCCAGTTGTGCTGCAGTCTCGCCGATCATCAGACCGCCCTGCACCATGAATCCACTAGAGGAAGCATAAGCGATATCGCCGATGGGCGAGGAGGTATGAAGTCATACCTCGGCGTCCCGGTACTCACGAATTGCGCGAAGATGATCGAGATAGAAAGCGCCAAGTTCGGTCCAACCTTGACATTTGGGCTGATTCCGAACGGGTTCACCCACCATCCGGACAACTGGCCCGTTGCATCGGCGCCCAACAGGTTAGTCCCAAGCGAAAGGGTGAAAAGTAGGGGTGCCGGTGAATATGGGACGGGGATGTTGAGACCAGCCGAGAGTATCAGGCATACGGTAGGTTTGGTTGCGATGGAAAGCGTGAATGGTGTGCTTGTGACCCCGTTGCCGAGGTTCAGGCGGGTGGGAGCTGGCAGATAGACGTCCAAATCGAAGCCCTTGGCTTTAGACCAGCCAGCGCTTAGAGTGAGGCCAGATACGGGCCCACGCATGAGCGAGTTGAGAGCCTCAATTTCACCCAGCACCGCGCAGACCTGAACACCTGATGGGAGATCAGCGGACAGCAGTGCTTCCACGATGGTCTCCACATACCTTGGTGGAAAGAGAATCCGCTCGTGATCATATTGCCCAAGCTCGGGTCATCCTTCGAAGCGGCCACGAACACGACTTGTGTAAGAGCGAGGTCAAACGGCGTTCCTTCGATCTCGGGGACGACCTTGGAAAGCTGCCAAGCCTCGTCTGTCGCCGTCAAGGCAGCGAGCACGGTCCATTCGAGAGACTTCTTTGAGCCGTCAGGGGACCTGTACAGATGAACAGCTGCATCAAAGAGCAGAGTAGAAAACGCCACTTCGCCTCCAAGAATGAGATCAGTCGTCTTCCCATTCCCTTTGGCCTCAAAGGTGACCTGAAGGAAGGCACGCTTCAGCTCTATGTCTCCGAACTGAACAGCGTCGGTAGTGAGATCGCCACGAATCACGACGTTGTGAGGAGTGATGATGAGACCGGCGTCAAGCGATGTGTAGTCCCCGATGGTTACGCTGTTGAGACTGATGCTCAATCCGTTGCCAGAGGAAATAGATAGGCTCGCAGCTCCGATCGTCACGTCGAGGTCCGGAAGGGAAAGATCGCCGTGAGAGACCCGCCTGAAAAGGGTGTCGATGGTTTTCACTGTAACATGGCGGATCGATGCGTTCAGCTCGAACGAGCCGCGAGGGGTGTAGGACCCTTGGAAGGTCGTAGAGATATCCTCATACATCAAGTCCGCTGACACGCCGAAGGTGAGGGACTTCCATGGAGATGAGACGGCGAAAGACGTAGAGAAGGAGATGCCCGACAGCTTGAGAGGGGAAGGAGACCATTAACAGCGGCGATTTAGCGATCAGTACGTGTACTCACCACAAGCCCGCTAGCTCCAAGAGGATTTTTCCACGTGTCGATACTGGCTCCCAGAAAGATCGCGCCACCGAACTCCTGCATCTCATACTCCAAGCTCAGAGGAACGGTAGAACCTGGTACGTCGAGGTTCATGTTTCCGAAAACAGAGAACCCGTATTCCAAGGTGGACTGCGGCGATGGGTCGTACTTCAGCGTCCGTATGCCGAAGAGTCTGACACCGATCTTGGATAGAACGACTCCATCGAACGGCTTGAGGGCCAACCCCGCGAAGATACCTTCGAGCGTGAAGCTGTGAAGCGACGGCGGACGGTCCCATCCACCGTCTGCACCGAGGAAAACGTGGACAGCTAGGTCAGGCTCATCGACGCCCAGAACCTGTGAGAGAACGTCGTACAATGCGCCGCAGGATTCATCGACGACCAGGTCAGCGTCGAAGTGCCAGCCGATAGCCTTGGTCGTATCGAACTTGTAGTTCTGATGGTAGACGCTGATGTTACGGAACGTGATGCTGTCGAAAGCGGTGCCTTCGAGCGCAGATATCACAGACGAGAGGTGGAAGTCCTCGGTAAGCGTTGCACGCTCGACGGAGACGGGATTGTCGGGAAGAACGACGATATCAGACGGAGCAGGTCCTTCCCACTTCTCGAACTTGGCGCTCAGGCTCTGAAAACCGAATAGGGCAATGTCACCGACAACAACGAATCCTCCGTCCGGGG